CGTCATAGCTTCAAGGAACGAGGTATATTTCATTGGGCGCGTTCAGTAGCGCCTCCGAACGGAGTGAATCGAGTCGGAGCTCTTTGGATCTTCTCTCCGGAAATCGTCACTAGTTAGGAAATGGCGTCATCTTTAGCTCCTTTGACACTACGTGCACCGTCTCCGGACCCGGTGCTTCGGAGCTTGACTCCGAAGCCCCGGAGTTACGTGCACCGAGAGTGACTTTTGGCTGTCCAGTAGGAGTCAGTGACCCCTTGACTCCCGGGCCGCTACTGAGCGCGCCCACTGGCTCTCGCGCGGCATAGTTCCAGGGAACGCCACCAGAGAAGCCCTCTCCATGGCGACGCAGCGCATGCACCGGCACGGCTGCCGGTGAAAGGGAGCAGATAGAGCGCGCACGGGCAAACTCCGGAGAGGTTGCACGGCCGAGCACTGCGCGGCGCGGCCACTTCACGAGAACGCGCGCTTTTGAGAGCGCAGGCGCCCGTTTCCGGCTTGAGCGGCGTCGGCGTAACCGCGCGGTGCATTATGGGACGTTTCCCATGATGACGTCATACGAGACGTCACGAAGATCACCAGTGACGTCACCACGCGTTGCATTATGGGTAAATTCCTCCGCTTAATTTAGCGGAACACTTTTTATGCTTAATCTAGCGGGAAACATTTTCCGCTAAATTTAGCGGGAAATTTTTCCGCTATATTTAGCGAAAAATTTTCCCGCTAAATTTAGAGGGAAAAATTCTCCACTAAATTTAGCGGAAATATTTCCCGCTAAATATAGCGGAAAAAATTCCCGGCTAAATTTAGCGGCAAATTTTCTCCTAAATGGGGTCGAGCAGGAGGGGTATATCCTTCTATCCGTACCTTCCCCTCCTCCCCCTCAAGAGCTGCGCTCTAATTCGGCGTTCCAGGGGATTGTAAACGTCTTTAATTCTTTTTTTTTGTCTTTCTAGGGAATACTTTTTATTCCGAAGGACTTTACCTTTGATTGGGGGTGTTAAATTGACAATTATATTTGTCATTCGTTAACAGTAATCCTCCATTTCTTTTATTACAGCGAAGCTGTATGACTCGTTGGTCGTATTTCTTCGTGCCGGCGTCCTAACGAAAAAAAAAAAGCCTTCAGCGATTGAAGCGAAAAGTGCATATAACGCATACGACATACAGCACAGCATTCGCTTCAATGAAGAACAAGCACAAAACAAACATCCGAACCACATAGTTGATGATACGGCGCTCCTGATAGCAACGCGAAACACGTAGCGTTCATATTATATTCCTAACGAGCGTGTGGCTAGAAAGAATGTACTCGTCTGTGTTTCGTCCTCTCTCTGTTTTATACTTTCTGTTATCTAGTACGTAGCGTTCACCGCACACGTTTCGCGGTAAAGATTACTGTTGCGCAAGCTGCCGCGCGACGTGGGAAGTGACGTCACTAGCCTTTCATACAGGGTTTTTCACATAAGGGTGACAAAAACAATTCCTAAAATGAGTGTATTCGATGTAAAAGGGTAATTTTCTCGGGACCGCATTACTTGTGGTGGTTGACATCAGAAAATACGCGATACTTACTAATTGGTTCGCTAATTAACTTTCTAATTAGTGAAAATAGACATATGGTTCCAATTAGAAATTTGCTGGGCGTCATCGAAAACCACCAAATCAGTAATTTTCAGAGACTGAGCGCGTAAGAAGCGTAGTAGAGCGCTAAAGTTAACACTCGTAGAGCAGGTACAAAGCTGGGGCCCTCATAAACGGCCCCTAAAAAGAAAAAGAAAATTAAACAGACTAGTGGGGTCACGTGTGCCCCCCCAAAAAAATTATTTTACGCGAAAAGACAATTTTTTTCGTGCAATATTGACGGCGCCTTTTCCACTTGTTTTCTCTCTTGGCTTTTCGGGCGCATGGGGGAGATGTGGATCGGCTTCGCCTTCACGTTGAGGTGCAAAGGGCGAATGACAATCTCTTTGAGGTCAAAAGAGCGAATGATCATTCCGTGACGTCATACACTTTGAGCACAGAATTTCAAATAAATCTCTCACCGTCAATATCGCTGTTATTTATTCATTTATTTATGCGTAAAATTTATTTTTTGATACGCGCGTTCCTACAAGACTTCCCGCAATCGTCAGCCCTGTACCTGCTCCACGAGTGGTACATTTAGCGCACTATACAGGGCGATTCAAGGAGAGGCCAGGCTCCTTAAATCGACCACGAAATTCGCTTTGTGCAGCGTTGCCCACACATGCTGCGTTTTCTTTTTTTGTAAACTTTGGAAGGAGCAAACTTACCTGGAAAAAGTAAAAAAAGAAAAAGGCTTAGCTCCTATGGAAACGCAGCGACGCTGCCGGTCTTCAAACAACACGGCGCCGTTTCGCACGGGAGACAAGAGATAGCGCAAGCGGTCGCAACGCCAACTGCCGCCAACGAACGAGCATACGGCGCCGAGAGCCGGCGTCTTTAGCAGACAAGGAACTGCAGTCGTTACCGCGTCTGCTTTTGTTTCTGTGACTGTCGCCACCTGCGGAACGCACGCCACTTTTGAGTCGAAAAGCTCGTCTGCTAAAGACGCCGGCTCTCGGCGCCGTATGCTCGTTCGTTGGCGGCGTTCGTTGCGCCATCTCTTGATCCCGTGCGAAACGGCACCGTGTTGTTTGAAGACCGGTGGCGTTGCTGCGTTTCCATAGGAGCTAAGCCTTTTCTTTCTTTACTTTTTCCTCGGGTAAATTCGCTCTTTGCAAATTTTACACAAAAAAATGCACCATCTGTGGGCAACGCTTCACAAAGTCGTGGCGCGATAGGTTAAGAAACCAAATTTTGCGGTCGATTTAAAGAGCCTGGTCTCTCCTTGAATCAATTTGTACTACGCTTCCCATGCGCACAAAGCCTTCGTGAAAATGACTGATGTAGGGGTTTTCGATGACCCTTAGCAAGTTTCTATTGGAACCATATGTATTTTCACTAATGAAAAAGTTAATTATTTCTTTTAATTATCAAACTAATTAGTAAGTATCGCGCATTTTGTAACGTCCGCAACCACGAGTAACACGGATCCTAAAAAATTATCCTTTCACCTCAAATACACTAATTTTAAGAATATTTGGCACCCTTACGCGAAACACCCGGTAAATAAAAAGTTTTGGCTACAGTGCATTCACTTTTCTTTTGCCAATCGTTTGGTAGAGTGCAGTGGGCAGTGAGCAATCGTTGCAGGTGATACAGCTTCGCTGGCCGACCACCTTCACAGCGTGGATTGGAGCGCCGACTTAATTTTCTCGTCTTCTCTCCTTTTCTTTGCCTTTTACCCTTTTTCGCTACATCTAGCGGAGAAACTGAATTTGTCCGCTAAATCTAGCGGAGAAATTGAATTCCACAACTAAATTTAGCGGGGAATTAAATTTGTGTTGAGATCACGTAGCAGGGAATTGAATTGGTGTTGAGGTCACGTGACGTCAATTTTTTCGCTAAATTTAGTAGGTGTTAAGGCCACGTGACGTCAATTTTCCCGCTAAATTTAGTAGGTGTTAAGGTCACGTGATGTCAATTTTCCCGCTAAATTTAGTAGGTGTTAAGGTCACGTGATGTCAATTTTCTTGCTAAATTTAGTAGGTGTTAAGGTCACGTGACGTCAATTTTTTCGCTAAATTTAGTAGGTGTTAAGGCCACGTGACGTCAATTTTCCCGCTAAATTTAGTAGGTGTTAAGGCCACGTGACGTCAATTTTCCCGCTAAATTTAGTAGGTGTTAAGGCCACGTGACGTCAATTTTCCCGCTAAATTTAGTAGGTGTTAAGGTCACGTGATGTCAATTTTCCCGCTAAATTTAGTAGGTGTTAAGGCCACGTGACGTCAATTTTCCCGCTAAATTTAGCGCGGTTACGCCGACGCCGCTCAACCTTGAAACTGGCCTCTAAGAGCTGCGCTCTAAAAGTAGAAAAAAGTGTGTGCGAAGTACCATAGCGGAACGTTGGCAATCTCCGTGCCTCGAAGTTCGGAAGTTTTGTATCTCCGGAAGAAAATTTAGCTACGGCGTTCGTGCACATACCTGAATGCTCCCCCAAGAACACGATTTAACATATATTTTTACATAAATATATATAAAAAAAATATAAGCCGGACCATAATTGCCCAATCTGACGTGGAAACACCCGGCACTAATAAATAAGAGAAACCGTTTTGGTGCAAGTTCGTCACATTTCGCCCAAATGTAGCAGGATATGTACCACGGTAAGCACTTTGGCGCAGTAATCACATATCTGAATTTCAGTGATTTCAAACTGCGTAATAAAGTTTGTTTTGCCGACACGACAGTCCATCGCGTCATAACCTTCCAGACGGGACGTCGGCGGACCCTCGCCGCCGTATATCGACAGGGCGATCGCACCGACGCCGGAAACATCCGCTGCACGCGCCGGCTGGACGTCGTCATCGTAAGCTCGGCACGTTGTTTCAGGTGTCTAAAACAAGGTACCTTCGCATGTGAGCTAACGACATGCCACGCCTTGGTAGGGGCTGTGACAAACATGTGGCACCCCCCGGCCTAACCTTCGATGGCCCGGCAGGCAACATTGATCATCCGCGCCAAATAAACGTCTTTAAATAATTAAAAGCGCCGAAAAAGACAAGGACAAAGAAGTGGAACGACACAAGGACTTCTTTGTCCTTGTTTTTTTTTTCGGCGCTTTTAATTATTTAAAGAACCATGAACCAACTGGCCCAACTTTCCACTTTGTTCCACTTTGCCGAAATAAACGCCGTCGAGCACAGCCTCTCGCAGTGTCAGTCATCGTTCACCATCACCAGGCTGCAGGTCGTCTCTTTTCTCGGCGGGTGCTCCGGCCCCCTTGTCCGCGATCACGGGCCCCCTGTCCGCGATCACGGGCGATCGTGACAGGAGCCCACTGCGACCACCAGCATGGCGCGGGGCCCCCCTCCAGCGAGGCGTGGACAATGGCTTGTCGGCACGACCTCACCCACATCGATACGGGCGGGAATGGAACATGAGTTTTGTTTCGCGTGGCGTGAGCGAAATTTCGACAGCGGCTTTATTGGCCTCGGGAGCACCCCTAGCTCCCCAAGGTTCCAGCGGCACTGAAGAGCTGTCCCTGGAAGTCCCCTACACGAGCAACGGGCAACGTCAGACCTGCAACTGCAGCATAGCCTGCAAAAGAAAAAGGTTCTCGTTCAACGACGAAATACGACGCCGCCCCACCCCGAAGTTAAAAGTAGGGCTCAGCGGCACCGTGTTTTCTGTAAAACCCAAGCATTAAGCCCCGAGCTGGTTCTATCAAAATTGGGGACAACCGAAAAGCCCCGACTTTTATTTAGAACACACCGCAGACCAATGGTTGGCCCAAGCAAGGGTGAAAAAAAAAAAAAAATGTTCATACAAAAAGAGGCATTTGGGAACCAAATTAGCAGGAGAAGAGGTTGGGAGGAATTATATTTGCATGCACAAACACACAGATACAAAAGGTTTAGTTTTTAATAATCTTTATACAAAGCGAATCATGCAGTGTAAATTCTTCATACTTTCTTACTTGGAAATTCGCTTATATGTCAATTATACCAATATTCAAGAATAATAAGCATCGCAAAGGCGTCTCTCAAAAATTTTGGAGGGTTCCCTTCAGTGACGATGCAAGGGCAGGAGGAAAACTTGAAACGATTCGTGCGAGCAAGGACTGGTGTAAACGAGTTCTGATTGAGATGTCTCGTGCTTCGTCTCATCAACGGCTGTAGATAATGAGGCACACAAAGCCTAATTTTCATTTTGTAGTTCAAGGACGCGCCTGAATAAGAAAGAAGACGGCAATGTTTGCGAGAAGAAAACCTTTAAGTAGAGCGGAAAGCCAGACTCAACTGTCCGCGCTTTGTTCGGCACCCGTTCTTCTGTCGGGACGTTTCCCAAGTACACGCGCATGAGGGATCCCCATTCCCTTAGAGCCCCGATAAACGGCTAATTGTGGCCCGACAAAGAGACTTGACCAGGTAGACTAACGAATGTGTGGGCAAAGCCCGAAAGCAGGAAAGAGCGGCAGCGAAGGCCGTGGGCAGCCCGTCGCGGGCCTCACTCGCCTTGTGTGCCGCTTCGAGGGCGCCGACGAGCGCGAGCAGCTCGGCCGATCCGAGCTCCAGACACAGGCGGCGGGGCCCCGTCTGGTCCCGCAAGCACAACTCCAGCGCCGTCAGGGGCACGCCCAGCGAGCTCACCCGGTCGCTGCCCAGCACCAACTGCAGTCCAACGGACAAATCTATTGGCACGAGAGACTGTGGAGCATTGCCAGGTAAAAAGGAAGCATGCGCGCGTGCTAGCCGCCGTAGCAATTCACTGGGGACAAGATCCATCTAGGGGGATTAACCGGGAAGTCAGGGAGATTCGGCAGGTGATTCTGCCACCGGGAGGAATACCGCGATTCGTCTTAGGGCAGTCGCTTCGAAGTAGGACAATGCATGACCAAGTGCACGATGATGACGTTCAAGTAAACACCACGTAGCCATGCTCGATCAAGCAGACGAGTCGCAACGAGGCAGCCTAGTTTTTTTGTCGCGCACAGAAAGAGGTTTCCTGACGAACGACATATCCCAGGGCTGCCGCGCGAGATGCCTTCGACGATGACTCGAGCTTTTTCTGGCTCGAAACACACGCGCTGAACCCGAGTCCACAACTCGAGCAGTTCTTTCGCGCGTTCTTTGGGGCGACCGAGCCGACGCGCGAGCTCGGAGCGCAGGTGCTCACCTTGACGGCCCAGTCGAAGTCGGTCAGGAACGGCCCCGAAACGGTCCCGAGCAGCAGGTGGCGGAGAACGCTGTCGGAGCGCCTTTCCAGCACCGCCTTGGCCGCCGCTCTGTGCGAGGCCGGAATCCGCCCCAGCTGTGGACAGAGAGACGGGCTCACTACGGCGTCCGACATGTCCTATAGGCCCTCTGCGCCTTGCTCTGCACTGCAACTGTCGAGGAACCTGTGAAGCCCGCCTGCTGCCGTACGGGGAGGGCGAGCATCCAAGCCGGGGGGAACGAAAGTGCCCGACACAACGCCAACACAACATCCGTGTGTACTCAAGCATCCAAATGAGCGCAGCCGGCGCAAAGAAGAAAGAAACCGCTGATGGCTCTTTAACTCGGACACGGCCGGGACCGTCGCTTACGGTGCTTTCAGGCGTTCCGGCCGACGTACTCCAGGACTCGAAGCAGGCCTTCCAGGCAGCGTTGCTCTGCCAGAATTCGGACAGGGTCCATAGGTCGGAGTAGCGGTCGAACGAGGGACCCCTCAGGCCACACGCGCTGTCCGCCACGCCGTCCAGGTACTGCGCACCAAACGCCAGCCATCAGCTAGCCAATGGTGACCACGAGAGTGCTCGTCGCTTCGAGCAAAACACGTGTCATATGCGCCAATACTGCAGATGGCCAGAAACTCTTTGTGTTCACTGTTGTTTGGGAAGGAACTAGACGTCCTCGATAGGTGGGATTCACTAAAGTAACTGGATCGTGGGATCGTGAGCCATTTTGGCTCATAAAATGAGCTATTTGTCCTTGACCTCTCCATTCTTGGTGAGCCGACCTAAATTCGCTGGTGACAGGTAACTTCATAGAGACATTTCTTGTACATCGAAATTTTGCTATCCTCGCACCGGCGAAACAAGCGTATGTACATCTTCGTACCACCACCACATGCTGTGTCGGTGCTTGCAGGCACTGAAAAGTAAGTTTACTGTTTTAAAATACGCAAGAAAAACAAGATAATTGTAAGAGATCCGTGGAGTTGGGCATGATTGATAAGTTGATTGCATACACAGTGCCAAAGACGCTTATATTGGCGAGGAACGTCTCCAGTTCGATGATGCTCCACGGTGATCTCGGCGCGAATGGATCAGAACGACCCTCTCGAAGGTTCGAAGATTTGGAGGGGCCGAAATGGCGATAGCCATAGCAACGGAGACCGATTAGCCAATCACCTTGCGGGGTTTCGGTCATCTGTATGTTAGTGTTTGTGTTCGGCTAGCAGGTAGGGAAGGCAATGGCGCTATTTTCCCAGGATCCAGCGACTTTAGTATTCCCTAGACGCTTTATTTGAGGTGACTGCTCACAGCCAGACTTCTACAAGATACTAAAAAAAAAAGTACAATTGAGGTTAGGTTAGGAAATACCACGCTAAAAAGAAACTAAGTGGAGTACTAAACGCCCAACTTTAGAAAGGATCTGAGTAGAGTACTAAATATGCATAAAAGTATCTCGTTACTTCCGAGATTTTTTCAAGTTACAAATTGTTATAAAAATCAGTCACACAGCTGTTCGAAAATAAAGGAAAAAAAACGCTCTTACCAAAAAGGTTTAGTCACTCGAAGGAACAGCTGATTCTCGAAGTTTTCGTCGGACAGCCTGCCCCGGTTCTTTTTGAACACATGACCGCCGACGCTGAACACGTGCTACGGAAGCGCTGGAAGGCACAACGATCTACCCCGAGAGAAGATCATGTGCAAGGTGCTTCGTGAATTATTCCACCCTCCCTCCTATCAATCATTGTGAGAGAAAAGATGTCTTCTCGCCCGCACCCTTCACCCAGGGTAGAATATGAATATTAAAAGAGAACTTGGCAGCGACCTTAATCTTCAAAATCATATAATGCGGGAAATGCCGTATTTAGGAGAGGTCGTTTCAATAGTATGGAACACAGTCTTTCCGGGAGCGAAGAACCTATATTTTTAATGCAACCAGGGACGGGGAGGCGGAAAGGAGGGGGCCACTGTACGAGCGACGGAGAGGTGCCCCCTCTAAATTTAGGGCTGTGTTACGTGACCAGGAAGAGGGGGCACAGTAGGAGAACGGGAGGAGGGGGGAGAGGGACGGGGATTTGGTGTACCACGTGTCGTATATTTCTCTACTAAATTTAGAGACCGAATCATTACACCCGCTAAAATTAGCGGGGGAAACCGGATTGGTGTTCGGGTCACTTGAAGTTTATTTCCCCTCTAAATTTAGCGGGAAAAATGAATTGGTGTTTAGGACACTAGACGCGCAATTTCCCGCCAGATTTAGCGGGGAAACTCAAATGACGTACAAGTCACGTGACATGAACTTCCCTTCTTGTATACGTCACGTCAATTTTCCCGCTATATTTAACGGAAAATACACGGACAGGCAAACATTTTTGGGGGTTGGGCATTAAAGAGCATTTCATGCTTTAAAACTGACTGCGAATAGTTTCTAGTCATTTCGCGTGAACGTGAACACGTGGTTCAATCGCAGCTAGAATCCATAACCAAAGACCCGCCATAGCGAGCAAAATATGCTCGTCCACCGGACCAATTGTGACCACGTGAGCCGTTTCTCCGAGCATGTCGGAGCAAAGAAGCGGAGCTTCACGCGCACGCACCGGAACCGAGCGGTGAAGCTTGAAGCAGGCGGGAGCGCCGGTGCAAAGCAGTCAAGCTTCACGTGAGAGAATTCTCCAGACATTTGGAATTTTCGGCCGGTTCTCACATGCAGCGAAGCGCAGATGTAGGGCTGCTCACATGTCGTCAGCTACTTATCGTCTGCCATGAGCAACAGCTTTGATGGTGCAACACAAATCTGGTAAACGCTCCCGTGAGCACGCGCTTAGCGTGAAGTCAGCGCTGTGGTTGTAGTGCTTCACTGCATGAATCGAATAGGACCTTAAAGGGATACGGAATCGAAACTTGAAATATAGAGAAAACATCAAGAAATGAGTTCAATGTGATCAGCTAAGCCTGTAATGAATAATCGCACGGTCGTATTTTGAGCAGATGGCTATATTTTATGCTCTAAATGCCGCGATTTTGGCGAGCGCTTCAAAATCAGCCATGGAGGAGCGCGATGCATCTCGGGAGATCCGGCAGACGTCTTGACGTCATCATGCCTCGGACGACCAAGCGTACCGTAGTGACGAGTTTTGCCACTTGGAGGCGTCAACGCGTTACAATCTCGCTTTGTCGAAGTACCCAAGGGCTGTAGATATCGCGGGGCCAGCACGCGCACCAAACCTGAGAACAACCGAAGCACGCGTTTGCACGTCGCGCGAGAGCTGAAACCAAGGTGGCTCACTTCGTTTTGGCTCTTTCCACCAAGACGCCTCGGTATTGCGTTCAGGCCTAGGCAATCTATACCAGTGAGCGGACATACCGCTGCGGCGCTGCTTTCAGAGGCATGTTGTCGTCACGACATTCCATTGAAGCTTCATAACCAACTACCAGGTGGTTTTTGATTATCGTTTAATTCACTTTAAAATATGTTTTCTTGCGTTTTCTAGCGCAATATTTATGTTTCTGTGGTTGTGCTGCTACCTGCGTCGTGTTGAAACAAAGAAATGAGCTCCAGAATTTGGTTTCCGTACCCCTTTAAAGTGCCAATCCAATCAGATAGCAAACACTGCCTGCGAATATTTAGAATTCTAGAATATTCGCGCAGTTGCACTTCTCGTTCGCGAGTTTCTCGAGCGTGCGATTTTAATCTGCCAGGGGTTCCATCCCAGAGCGTAGCTCCATTGTACGGCTTGTGAAGGCCAGTTCAGACAGTTGCGTTTGAGTGCGTCTGACTGCGTTGCGTCGAGAACCGAAAGCGAGTCCCCGGCACATCTGTGCTTCGTATGAAGCGTGGACTCCAATTCAAGGAATCATCTTGGCACGCGATATAAGCAGCAGGGATGTCCTGGTTTCTCGCAGCCGCAACGCAGTCAGACGCAGTCAAACGCAACTGTCTGAACCAGGCTTTAGACTGCCGAGTGCGAGTCGTCCCTTTGACCTGTTATACTTGCGTAATGCAAAATAAAGACCACGATCGGGAGCTTCGGAGCACCCCACTATCAAGCGTCAAGAGTGCCAACTGGCCGCTAGAGGCCGGTTCGCGTTTGCGGAGTTTCCGTCTACGCGAACGCAATGCAGGCGACGGAGCCGCAAAAGTCATGCCGACCCAAATGCAGTGACGCGACTAGCTGTTGCACCAAAATGCGTACCCTGCTACATCCGACTACTTTTGGTCGAGATGATATGATCTGCGCAATTATTTGGTTCGAAAATACAATAGGCCCCGCTATAGGGCCGGACGGTGTCCGGATTTTCGAAACTTTCGATTACCGCCTCAATTAATGCACTGCTCTATTTGATATCCGTGCTGACAGTACTGGGAAGTGGAGAAACATTTCTCACGTTTGTGGTCTGTTCTGGAGGCATAGGCAGTTTCATGGGGTGCGCTTCTCGCAGCGCACTGGTGCACTGCAGTGAAGCGAGAACCGCGACACCGCCACTTTGCGCCTCTTGCTTCGCCACAGTGCAGCTGCGTGCTAAGGGGAAAGCCCGACGCTCGTTCCCTAGTCTGGGGTGTCATTTTACGCTATCGTCGATAGCCTGCCCCGTTAAACCAACTCATCTTTTTTTTTTTTCTTTCTTTTTTACAGATTGGGTCAAATTATGTTTGCCGTCTACCGCCCTTTCAGTGCGCATTTTATTTAATAACTTTCTTTTACACATTCGGCGAAAACGTCCAGACATGACTCCACTTCCAAAAGATAACCCACTCCCTATTTTTGGCAGGATTTACTATTTTTCACAAACACAGAAAGGTAGCCCACCTACAGTAATTGCAGAGCTCTGGCCAATGGTGACCTCGGTAGAAATGGTGTTAGTTAGCCACGACGGGAAGTAAGCGAACATTGCTGACCGGGAAGGACAGCCGTCTTTTGTTCATCACCCTTCTTTGCAATCATAAGTTTAGCAGGTCGCAAAACCTAAAACTAGCATTTTTTAAACTTCATTCAGACACCGAAAGTGAGCACACTTCATATTTTCATACAATTTACTTTCGCTTTTAAGCGGGCTATCTCTCGGGATGTTATGTTAGTTATTTCGAGCGTTCCTCTCCATTTGGAGGATAATCTTAGACCTCCGGGATCTTGCTACATCCAATGGAATAACTACAACATCTTTGATTTTAACTTTTTTCTGAGGGAGTTTTTCTTCATTTATGAACGTTTTTAAATCACTGTTCTTTTCATAAGACCCCCAGTTTCTTTCTTTGTCTTTTGACGGGTTACGTTCCAGTAGAGAGGGCACAGGTACATTGGCAAACCACAGCAAGGATTTTCTGGTTAGCCACTCTGACGTCTCCTGAACCTCAAGTCGAGCCCCGAAGAAGAATCTTGACTCCTCAAGGCTTATGTCCTTCTTTCTTTCTTTTTTTTTTTTTTTTCCTGGTTGTTTTGGTGAGTTAATTTGTCTCGAATACCACAAAATATTTTTATAAAACTGTCAAACACAAAAAAAAAAAGAAGATTCCAACAAGTTTTTTTAGTGGACATACAGAACAACCATAATTTTATCACATTCCAATATACAAGCATAGAATCATGCCGTTTTTAATTTCCAAATGTCATTAGTTAGCATTACCATACAGCAATCAATCGAGAATATTAATTCCTTAGAAACACAAATCAATATTATCCTAAATGCTTCTCACAGAAACACAAATCAATATTATCTTAAATGCTTCTCACAGAAACACAAATCAATATTATCTTAAACGCTTTTTCGTTCTGTTCCTAACAAGCATGTTGGTAAATCCTGCTCAATATCACTCACAGCAGCTCATATATCTGTCCTTCATCAGCCAGCATAGTGACTTTTCTACTTTTGGTTGTTTCAAGATTTTCTCACCCAGTGTTTTAACAAAGTGGTAAGGCATATTGCTGTCGTGCTTGGTGCTTTTACACGTTGTGTTTGAGTCATTTGAGGGGCTTACCGTGCAGTAGGTCGCACAGGAGTGGGAAGTCAAAGTTGTCTTTTGATGGAATGGCCAACCCGTAAAACTTAACATATAATATTCGCACTGGTGGAATGAAAACGAAGTGCGCGCTCCAAAACCTCATGCTGCTGCTCCAAAATGGACGTCGAGCTACTTTAAAAGGATTGAAAACTTATCCACGACGACCTTGATGGTCGTCATAGATAGAACCTTCGGATCTACTTGGTGGCAAAGAAGAGACACCTGCTTTGCGGCTCGGAGGCATACGCGTTAGTGGCTCCCAGAACGGTCGGAGAATCGAGGAATCTGATACCGAACCCTGGGCGTTGACCCTGGGGACACATTTTGCGCCTGAAGACTCGGAGCTTCAAGCGCAAAATCGAGTCGGTATGACTTGAGTGCCGCTTGTTGTCTACGAGTCTACGATTATTACTTGGGCCGGGGTCCTTGAGCGATTGGCAGCAATACTGTGCCTCAACAACAGTTGCAACGACGTCCTCGCAGCATCTATCAACAGGAACACCGTGGAGTGGAAAGCTAGCGACGCCCCTGCAGGACACCGATGTGCTGCTACATTAAACGGCAGAGACACACCGGGCCACAATTACAGTTCAAGGTAACGGCAGACACAAAATATCGCTCCAGAAAGTCAGGCCTTTCTTTCAATGCGGTAGTACTCACGTTTTCAATTCGTTCCACCGGGCACTTTGATAGCAAACACAAACCGCCGTCAACCTCAACGGGCGCCGCCATCATTCATTCGGATTGGATTTGGATTTGAATTGGGATGGCTGGCCGACTGGCGTGCGTGAATGAAACGCCAAGGTACAAAACCCTCACCCTGGAGTAAATTTTGGAACACGGCCCGACTGTTGTGTTTACCGTGCCCAAATAAAAGTACTCCCTCAATTTCCGCCCGATGGCGTCATAGAAGACGAGTGATGTTGTCATGTTGTCGCTGGTCGCGATCCTGGTGGTGTTCTAGCAGCTGTGGTTTATGTAGCAGACGCCTGTTCTGCTGCAGGTCGCTCTCCACTTGGACAGTCCACTGAAGCTCCAGCAGCCAGAGCAGCCAGAGATTGGGACGTAGCACCAGCCGCTGACTACAGCGCTTTTCCAGCCCCTGACGGGACGCCCCGATCCGAGTGGCTCGTTGTTTTTCGCCCCGCTTCGGTTGCATAGTGTTTATTTCCTGGAATTTAGCTCTATATGTTCCCATTCTAGCTTCAAACAGCAGTGAGCTCCCCAATGAATTACCATACAACTGTTCCTTCCTTATTTCTTGTTTTAGTACCCTGTATGTTGTTAAAGCTGATTTCCCCTGCATTCTCTTCCCACAATTTCCTGCTTTCTTTACTCCCTTTTCTACCGATATGCCCTAATCGGCCCCATCTCGTCGAATGTATTTAGATCTCAGCTTTCGGGTTCAGTTTGTCCATTTAGCGTTTAGACTTTTCATATGTAGATACTTGTACACTTTCACTGCCCACCTTGTATCCTATACTTCAGCTGGTCTTTGTTCAAATTTTACTTAACTGATCGCTTCTCTTCTCTCGAAAGATGCCCAACCCACATCCCCCTGTACTCCGGTGTATTCCCATGTGCCCCAATGCCAATCTACCCTCACTCCTGCCTCGATTTCTCACCTGAAACACAATACCGAATTCCCAAATGGCAGTCCTGGCACCATGACTCCCTTCCATACACCCCTAACGACTATGTATCTATTATACGCAGGTCCAGAGTGCCCTGTGTTTCATAATAGCCGAGTCTCGTTTCCCCTTCTTTATTACATTATCTTTATGTTCTTTCAGATACTTTCTTCCCCCACTTAACCATGCTCCCAGATATTTGTACTTTTCTACGTGTTTTATCACCGTGTCCTGTATCTCCAAGGGCTCCCCTCCTCGCTGTTGAAAATTATTATACCCGACTCGTCCCTACTGAAATTTAGGCCTAACCTGTCCCCTTCCCAGCTGCAAATCCTAATCAGTTCCTGCATTGTCTCACGACTTTCTGATAAGAGTACAATGTCATCTGCATAGATTAACCCTGGCAATACTTGATTTATTTAATGTCCTTCCTCCATGTAAGTCAGGCCAAAACCTAAGTTGCACTGCTATAATCTTTTTTCCAATTACACTGAAGTATACCAAAATGTCTTGATATGGTGATGACAATGTCCAATGAATGATATGACGAGGACACACTTTACGATAGGCAGAGTTCGCTCTGGTATCTTTGTTTAAATGGTTTGTTCCTGTTGCCACTCCGTTTCTTTACGCACACTTATTTTTGCCAGGTGGGCCTGCTAGGGGGCCACGGGCCGGGATTCAATGGAAGAACCGTGCCCAGCCGCGGGCCGGTCAGAAAACCTCCGCAGACCGGATTTGAACCGCAGTTCGGGTTTTAAATACCCCTGGTTTAGAGTTCCCCGTTTATCAGATCCTTTCATAGAGAAACCCACTTGAGAGAAATCGGTGACAAGATAGTGAATTTGTTTTTATAGAAACAAACACAATTTGCCTAACTCGGCTGATAGTTGGGCCATTCTGCCTCCACCCACAGCTCAGCTGAGCCAGTTGCTCGGGAGGCCAATGAATTTGGAAAAGACTCAACAGGGCCAATTGTGGCACTTCGATCAATGCACTTTGGTGGACGTCACAACCCCATTGTTCCCCAACTGCAAGTGGCACCTCGCCCAGTTTACAAGAGAGGCAGCAAAGCCCGACATGCTCCACGCCGGTTGGATTGCTAAGCAGGTCTCCTGGATGAAGTCTCCTCGAAGCAAAGGTACTCCATCGGAGGATTTTCAAACCAAAGGGTTGGCAGATCCAGGGGGGGCTGCCCTACACATGATCCACGCCCAGAGTTCTTGCAAAAGAATCTTTATTGGCTCCAGTTATTGCATCCTCAAACACCTCTCCAAAGGCACGTCCCGAGTCTGCAAATTGTCCAGGTCGCTCGAGACACGAGCTGCGGCAGCGGGGGAGGCGCACGTGGTGCGGGCACAACTAGACGTACCGCACGGGGCCAAGGGGGGACCTCTTCGGACAGGCTTCCCATGCACTTTTCAAGAAAGTTGATTCTTTGGTACCACGGGCGAGACTTCCTTCGCTCCGGGAGACCTCTCACCCCTAGGGGACGTGCTCCAGACGAACCGTCGGCCGTGCGGTTCTTGTTGGCGCAGAGGGGGAAGGGAGTCCCTTCCAGTCGGGGCTGAGATCATCACTTTCCGAGATGCTGTTGGGACATAGCGGCGCTCCAATGAACAAATCGCACCAATTAGAAATAATAGCCCTCGCGTGCACGTAAAGAGGTCCTTTGCAGTCTGTGTAATGAGTATACGACGGGAAGGAGAAAATCTGTCCTCGCAGTTAAAAGGCCCGCCGGCGATTCTCCAATTTGTGACCGCACACCCCGGGGCAAAACATTTGTTTCTCTTCACCACATTACCATCCATTGCTTTCACTAGAGTATGGCCACAATTCCCAATATTGTACGGAACAAAGACCAAGAACATGCTTGGAATGTTCTCGACCAAGTGGACCAATAAAACTTTTTAAGGACTTATGTTGCGTCAAGCACCAAATCTTTGTTTAATGCGCCCCATCTCGATTGCCATAACCACGAGCACATTTCAAAGCAATGGTTTTGGTGCTTGGTACTTGCTGTCGGATTCGGAACTGCATCTTCGGAGGCAGTCGGTTTGGCACTTCTGGACTGCAGCCGCCTCTCGATGCCGTCATACTCTGTTTTACCTTAAGACAAACCACAGAGGAGCCTACGAGCCATCAAAGCCAGTCCAATGGCGCTCGAGTGACCTTCGAGGGGGGCACTGTGGCACGTGGGCATGTAGAAATACAGTACGTTCAAAGCATCGGATTAAGTGGGAGGACTCGTAGCGTCCGCTGCAGTAAGGTGAAACGGGGTCTAGCGAGGGCTAAGAAATTAAAGCGCCCACTGCTCCTATCTTCTTGCACTCTCGCAAGCGTGTGGTAATGGCTACACACTCAACTTCTCCAAGAGCTGCGCCGTCGTTCAGTTGGTCCTCACTGCCACGCCCACCGGCTGTGATCGCCACAGTGAGGACCCAAATTTCCTCAGGGGGCAAAGAGAAATGATCATTGCTTGCTAACGTAAGTTTTGGAAGGCTAACTGATGGTAACGAGATCGAGGATCAATGCCGCAGGCAAGCAAATATATCCGTAGAACACCGTTGGAAAACAATTGGCCGAATGTTTGGTCATTTTGCAAAACGCGTTAAAATGTAGTAGGTTTATAGGGTGGGTGTTGCCTAGGGCAGTATGATTGTTAGTCTTTCAGTGCATGGGGTGGGTGGTGCTCTTTAATCCAGGTGGTGCCTAGGGTAGGGGCTTGTTTAGAAACAGATTACATCGCACCATTGTCTCTTTGTGACACTGCACGCACTTCCCTTCAGCACCACCCGTATACAAAGCCTTTAAGCTGAATTTTCTAAATCGGCAAGAGGAGAAACGCGCTTTCCTGCTCTTTCCACTCCTCATTCTGCATGCTCCTTCTACACTACCCGTTTTTGCTCCTCTCTTTGGCCTTTCCATCCCTCTCCGCATGGTTTCTTACACCACCTGCTTCTGCTCCTCCTGTTCCTGCGTGCTGGGTCCATAGCTCAGCGAGTGGTGCACTTGGCTTCCACGCCGGTGACTGGGGTTCGACCCCTGGCAACGTTTGCTATTTGTTTCAAGATCATTTAGTGATAACGGATTAACCGCCCTGCAAAATTCGTGCTTACGCGGCTCCTGAGGTTGGTTTACCCTATGAAGTTACTGTTTAAATAAATGCTGTATGGTGATGCAGTAACCTAGAATCGAGGCTCCAGTGTTGCTCTAAAAAAAGTGCTGGATTTACAGCCTGCGGAGCTCGAAGGAGTGGCAGTCGCTGGCCCCTGACCGGGTTCGTACGAGGTGCCCCCGCTGGATGCCGGAGCAGCCACCAACACCTCGGCAGAGCTGCGGGCATTGCGACACACTGGGGAACGTGCCACGACACTGGCCTGTTGCCGAGGCATGTGCCGCAGAGTCTACCTCAAAGCCGACGTACGCACTGCACCGAAGAATCGATGCATCGCTAACCAGGTGCAGGCACCCTAACAGTATTGCTACACCCTTATTTCGTGCAATTAGACTGGGTGCAGCCGGAAAGCTGCCTTTCTCTAGTGCAGGTTTTAAAGAATGCTCGGTGGGGTGGACAAGCGTAGGCTTTAAAAGGGAGACCACAAAGGAGAGAAAAAAAAAAAAGCTGCTTTTACATTGGCAAACAAATCACGGACAGAATCAGTCGGTCTGCAACTTGTGACCAAACATTTTAGAAGGCCAAGATAGGGCCCTTATTGCTGCACTCTGAGACTTCATAAAGTTGCATTACCGACGGCGCGCTTGGACGCTCCTGCATGTGGGGCAATTGCGACTGCGCTGCAGATCACCTGACCGACCCTTCGGCACCGCTGCGGAGGTGCGAGGGCATATTTGATGCGGCCTCCGCATCCGAGAACGGGACCGAAGTGCCCCCCTCTACACGACCCCATCTTGGCGTTGCATGCCACCCCAACGGGCGCCCCCCCAAGAACAGACGAGTGCCCCGGTCTAAGACACCATTCCTTCCAAACCGAGCGAGACGTATGCCTCGTCGAAAACAGCTCCGTCTCAAGCAACGTCCCCCTCAAGAAAGTTAAGCATCCTTTTGCTGCCACAGTGTCGAAGCCACCTAGCGGGCCTGCCCAGAAGTCGGAATGCCACGTCGGTACCGTCCCAGAGCATGTCGCTGCTCCCTCCGCCCGGGGTCTGCCAGCACACGCCCCCTCCGCACGCCGGGAACCCCCACCGCCGGTCGTGCACCCCGAAGTTCGTCCCGACGGCGGGCAAGCACAAAATAAAAGAAATGTGGAGATCAAGTACCACTCCGCTAAAATTAAATAGCTGCCCAAGTTCCTCTTGTAAACGAAGAAAGGAGCTCTCATTAGAGCCGGACATCCGCCTTGGGTGCCGTGAGGGATGCCGCGTGGCTCCGAGAGAAAGTCCAACCTCGTGGGCCGTACGCCCCGGCCACGAGCGGGAAGGACGGGAGAGCGGGCAGATGCAACGCCTTCCCGTATGATGCAGCCGGATCACACTCCCCAGGCAGTCACGGCCGGAGCCGGAGCCGTGCGTCGAGGTGTAGCCCTCCGTGGGAAACAAGGCCGGCCTCAGTGGTTCTTGGCGGCCTCCTTGGCTGCCACGATCAGCGGGTGCAGGCTGGTGAGCGGCCGAGCTTGCTTCAGGAACGGGTGCTGCGAGGCGAAACGCACGCAATCAGATGCCAATAAGCGCAGACTCGGTGGCTGGACAAGAGAAAGGATAACCACCACGCCCCCTGCGCGTGTTGCTTCGACGGTAAGGAAAGTTTTCAACTGTTGTTACCGTTGCATCACCAAGAAAAAAAGTACTAGCTCGAGCAAGAGCTGTTTTTCGCTAGAAATATGTTCGGTAAGTACTTGTGGCAGCAACTGCCTCCCTATATTAAAGGCGCCACGACGCGACTCTTAAATCGAAGGAATTCCAAGTGTATTAGTTTTATTTTGAGTGTCGCATCACGTACGAGAGAAAATGTGCTGTATTCCATCAAAAGGTAGCAGAACCTCGTTGAGGGGTTTTTCCTGGCTGTGATGTTCACCAACGCCATCCAATTCCCATGGGGACTTGTATGAATTTTCTGTCAGTTGTGCTTGATTTCCTGGCACTTACATCCCAACGAGACGCGTTGGGTCACTTGGCTGTGACTGACCGTCCTTTTGTTAGCTCTGTTCCCTATCTTTTCTATTATTCGCCGAGCCGTGCTTTTTGCTCGGGCGTGCAACCTCTTGGACTATGCTCCAAAGGTACCGAGGCCGATGCAATGGGCCATTTATTTTTCCGTGCCCTTCTCCGACAAGCTTTGTGTTACGTTCTGTTACGTTTTCAATAGTTACAATTTGTGTGGAGCGCAAAGCTTGCGATCTTGCACTGTGTGTGGCAAGCGCAGGTCTTGCTTCACTGTTTTGCGTCGGCAGGCGCGTCGAGCTTCACTGCCTTGCACCACTAGGAGCGGCAGCCAACACAGAAAGGGTTAGCTCCATGGGCTCAGAAATTTCGCTCACTCTTATAGATCCTTTTCATGGCAAACGCCATCAGACAGCGTTTTTAACATCCCAGCGAACTTCCGGTTCATAAAAAGAATGAGCAAAGCCCGCCTTAACACTGCCGCTTGAAATGTCGATGAAATGTTTACCCACAAATTCTCCGGGAGAACGCCAAGAAAACCAAGAAGCACGAGATCTGTTATAATTCTTGGAATATTCTAGTAAACCGACTCGTTTGCCCCGAGACGTCGTACGGCCGAATAACCTCGTTAACCCTTCCGCGTAGCATTTAAGCTTTCTAGTACTAGTGACATAAGCAGCTCGACAGGCTTGCAAAGATGGTCCGACCAGAGGTCATTCGGGACGTAAACGGCAGTTCGTGTTCGTAAACAGTTAAAGGGCCCATAGCCCTGGGGCAGTGAACAGGAGGCGCCTCCATCTGGCTGTTAGTTGGCACCACTGGTGGCCAAACTGAGCAACTTTTGGAAGGGGAAACCACCAAATGATTGGGCACGAGCGCCATTTCGGGGTTTGGCAGCGTACTCGGAGATTCGAGCTCGAGATCGTGTCCAACGACTGTGGCCGTGAGCCACTTCAGAGTTGCGAAAATTCCGCAAAAGATGAAGTTACCTGTCAAACCAAACTGTATTGCCCGGTCGGTATAGGTCGACTTCCTTCGGTCCTCAATTTAAGAAATATAGACCATCATTCGAGTAACAAGCTAGTTCTCTACAGCCGCCACGGAAGCTCAAGAGAAGTACTTCGACGTCTTTGGTGGCGCTGCCGCCGGCATGTTACAGCGCAGACACCTGGCACAGGCAAACACGGACTTGTTTGTAAACAGCAAGGTGGTCTACGGGTGCGCAAAAGCATCGTTGGTTTGTACATTTTCCCGGTACCCTATCGACGAAGCTCTACCACGGTGCAACGGAGCTACATTATTAGAAAGTGCTCGTCACACGGCAATCGCTATAGGATCACGTTTTGCGATGCACGTCGGGGTACATCGTAGTGATTGAGCAAGAAGTATCACCCAAATCAAAACTGGCTTCCCAACCTCGCTGTCTGAAGCTTATAACGACAATGAGAAAACCCGAAATATTCAATCCTTGTATCTGGACTCGTGGATTGTACTGTAGTAACAAATGCAATAAAAATATTCTGTTATTGGTAAGACTTTACAATAGATAAATGTTTCGGCGGTTCCTCCTGCGCCTCTATCCCGGTAAATGTTTATCTATTTGCAATGTGCGTACTGGTAGGCTTGCCCGTAACGCATTTCGAGGCGGAAAAAGTAACAAAATCGAAGTACGTCTTTTCCGACGTGAGGAGCTTCCCGACGCAAATATAACATACTTGCACCTTCTGTGCCGTGCGTCACGCTAGAGGACTGTGTGCGAGAGAATCTGCCGTAGAACGGACACTCACGGATGGCGGCGAACCCCTTTTAAACGATCGACTCCACGCAACAGATGCAGGATTGGGACGGACCTTGAGCAGCTCGGAGGCGGAGTACCTCCGGTCGACGTCCACCTCGAGGCAGCGGTCGAGCATGTCCCGAAAAGGGGCCGTGAGCTTGTCCCGGTCCTTGATCTCGGGCTTGCCGTTGGTGGCAATCAGGTACAGGGCCCGCAGGGGGTTCTCGTTGAGGTAGGGGGGCTCGCCTTCGATCATCTCGATGGCCATCACCCCGAGGGACCAGACGTCCACCTTAGGGCCGTACTGCTTGCGGGTCACCACCTCGGGGGCCATCCAGTATGGGGTGCCCACCATCGTCGTACGCTTGCTCTGCTCCGGCGAGATCTGGGCGCAGAAGCCGAAGTCCGTCAGCTTCACGCTGCCGTCCATGCCCAGGAGGATGTTGTCGCTCTTGATGTCTCGGTGGATCACATGGTTGCAGTGCAGGAACTCCAGGGCCTGCAGCACCTGGGGGACGAGCGTGGTTCAGGACCCCGTTCCCCCTGGGGACGGCCGAGTTCCTTACCTCCCGGCAGACGGCAGCGATCTGGCCCTCGTCCATGCAGGTCTCCGTCACCACGTCCGTCAGGGACCCTCCGGCCAGGTACTCCATCACCACCTGCGGCGGGGTGGCCATTTGGGTTGCATTCCAGAGACGCCACCTCGTATTCCAAGGTGGACAAAAAGTCTCGAGCCAAGTTTGCGCACGGCTGCTCTTAGGGAGCCAGACATAATTGGAGCAAAAGTCCGTACATCGTCAAGGGAGAACACTGGTCTTGGGGCTTTCTTCCCTAATTTCTGACCAAACCTAATGAAACAGCATAAGCTTGTTCAGATTTCTGTGCTAATTTCAAATAACTAATATTTTTTTTTATTCGCAATTAGGATAATTATAATTAATGCAGCTTTATTTCCAAAAACAATGGTGAAAAAACATTTTTTAAAACTCATGTTTTACCATATGGTCAGACCCTACAAATTGTGAAGATTACAATATGGGAAGTATTTTTTAGACTGAACCATTATTAGCGACTTTAAATCCCATTGAAATTCAATGTGTGGCTATTGAGCAATAAAATTGCTCGCAAGCCATGCACCTATATTAAAACATCTGCTTCCAACATTGTATGCTACCTATATGTTTCTAAGAAAGTTACAGTTATGTCTGCTCTAGATACCGAAAATTTGTCCGAAATCTGTTTTGCTCAGATAGGTATTATAAAGTGATAATATGGCTCAAAGATAAGAAACTTGGCAAATCAAAAGAAAAATAGCTGTAAATTTCAAAATTGGAAAAAAACAAGTTTATAATTTTTTATGGATTTTTTGGTTCCAAAGATTCATGTTACGGTGCCTGAAATGTGCCTTCGACTGATGTGTTCAGCATTCCATCCTGACATCCAAAGTGGTCCCCAAGTACCACAACTGATGTGTTTAGCATTCCACCCTGACATCCAAAGTGGTCCCCAAGTAACACAAAAGCTGGCGTATCATGCTGCTGGGAGCAGAAATGGAGGAAGCGCTTTAAAGGATAGTCGGAGAGCGAGGGCATGCAAAGCGGTCACCCACCCAGAGCTCCTCCCCGACCAGGTAGGAGTCAAGGTAGTTGACTACGTTGGGGTGCTTGTTCTCGCGCATCACCAGGATCTCGTTGATGATGAGCTCCTTCTTGGGCTGCTGGCACAGGTTCATCTGCTTGATGGCCACCTCGGTGCCCGTCGAGGTCTCAATGGCCGTGTACACCGTGCCCGAGGCCCCCTGACCGATCTTTTCCATCTTGGTGTACTTGCGGTTGGGGTCCCCCACTGACACGATGCTGCGCAGCTTCTCCATTATCTCCTCGTCCGTCATCTTCTTCTTGCGGGCCCGCGCCACCGCCCCCGTCGTGGCCCCGCCGCCGCTGTTGTTGTTGGCAATGTCCCGGGCGTCGTAGCCTCCGTTCTTGTTGTCCTCCTCGATCGGCCGGGTGTACTGCGGGGCGGAGCTTGTTAAGAGGACCGCAAGAGGGGAAGAGGGGAAAGGGGCCACTCACGATGGACTTGGTCTTGTCCGGCCGGGTGGCGATGGGAGGCGGCGGTCCGGGCTCTTCCTCGTCCTCCTCGGGAGAAGAGGGCGGCTCTGGGTGAGACTGTCAAAAAGACCCACCCCGCTCAGTCGGCTCCAGCAACCGTGCCATACGGTTCTCTATTGTTACGGCGACCGCCAAGGTGAGAATGGCGTCTCGTTCCTACACCTCCGGCCTTGCCCCTTCGGCTACGCGTGCATGCACGAGGAGACAAGTTATCCGCGCTAGGAAGCACCTCCCTACCCTTCTCGTCTCGCGAGAGACTATGGCAGTCTGTAGGCCTAACAAGGATGCTGGGGGTGCTGCCTCCAATGCGCTTCCCCGGCTAACCGTGGCAGAACTGCCCTTCTAAGCACTTTGCCGGTCTGATACGTCCGTGGATCAGAAACCGCCAAAGAGGCCGGCGGAAGCCGAGCACCGACCTGGGTGGCTCGGACTCAAAAAAGTGTCGAGCGCCTGACGCGACGCAGCTTTTGAAATCTTCATTTCAATGGCAACGTCCCGAAGAAGAGCCCAAGGAGCACAGCGGCACGCGGTCGCGAGTGCGACAGACGGTCGCATGTTCTGGCGATGTTCCACGAGGAAGCGCGACCAGCGAATGACTGCTGGGTACGACGGCTCGCGGGATGCGGAAGGCAAAGCACGGGAGAGTGCACGCACCTTATAGATGATCTTCTCGGACACGTTTCTTCGGGGCTCGTGAGGTGGGAGGAACTTGGGGGCATTTTCGGGCTCAGATATGCTGTCCTCCTGAAACAGACATAGCAGGAACTGTCCAGCAGGCCTCCCCAGTGTTGGTCAGACGAATGGCACTGGTGAGTCCTGGCCCGGACGTTTTGAGGCCCCTCCGTTTCTTCCTTTCCATTCTTGGCAATCGAAACACGCGTTGCTAAATCTGATGTCAAAGACACCCTGGGTACCAATTCCAAAACCAATGCTGACACAGTGGCACCTGTGATTCTCAAATGCAAAGGGCTTAGTCCCGCCTTTCCCAGCGAACTCACTCGTGGTACTGGGAGCGGAAAGAGGGGACTAGGCGACAGAATTTCGGGAAGCGGGGTGCAAGCAGACTTCAGGAAAAATGCCTGTCGCTTCCCCACAGAACCTCTTCATGCACAAAGGTTTCTTCTACCTTCTGGGACCCCACAAAAAAGCGAGTGACCGACACGCCGTTCAGGAGCGGCAGAGCGTCCATTCGGCTCGTCCACTCAATGCGCTGCAATGCACCCTATTTGTCGGCATCTTTCAAACTTGAAATATTCGGCGGACCACCCTTCGGAACACACCCCCTCCGTAACTGCATGTTCGTCCTTGCGGTTGACATAGGTCCAGCTGAATCCGAGATTTATTCAATTTAGGGAGCAAAGCTTATATAATAAAACTAGATGTAAGAAACAATGTCTCTTATATTCCATTTGTATCCACCTAGACTCCGAATCTTCAGCCACAGCAACAGCCAAACCAAAAAATACCGAGCGTGCAACCGTGTGGCAAAAGGGGGCCACTCCTGCCAATGTTTGAGCCCACCAAGCCGACCGAAGGACTTCTTCGTGCTGGTTAGGTACTTCGAGAAGCCGGAGCCAAGCGGAGAAGCGTGGAAACGACGGCGCATTGGCCTTTCCAAGGAACTGCATTAACCGGTTTATTAACAGACTTGCCGTAATCTCATGCAGAGGTGTAACAAGATAGTTAATTTTTTTAGGAAAATTATGAAAGAAGGAACACTTTCAGGAAAATGATAAAAGAAGGAACAATATGAAAGGCTGAGTTCACCTACCAAAAAAAATGACAAAGTACAATGTTCTGCCTAGGAATGGTTACTCGCAACAAGTATGAGAGCATGACGGAACACAGAGAAGGATAGACGGAGTACGAGGACAAAAGCAGCTTTTGCTGAGCCTAGCATACGCCCCGATATTAAAACGGGACAGACAAGAAATACTTTTTCTCCTTGAGCAGCCACTGTAGCTTTGATTCTGGCAAAATGAAGGCGATAAAATGTAAGCCAATTTTATTCTATTTTCTCTTCACCTTGTTTTCCGTTATAACAAATGCCACACCGACCCGCAACGCTATTCAACGAGTTTGCGAAGAACAGGGCTTAGCAGGAAGTTTGTCCGTACGAAAAGTAGTGTTTCTCTTTCTCTGACCCGAGAGAGCCGACATTTTTCTACTTCCAGGTGATAAATGCAGCACCTACAGGCACCGTTGCAGTAAATTGTACCGCGCTCAAATCTAGGCAGTAGTTCCGAAGGGCATAGTCAGGTCCACGCCCAAGTTCTCGGAAAGTATGGGTAACCTCCTCGGCGCGACTACGACCGCTCGCGGGCTCCCGGCGCTGTTGTCCCGCTCCGACATGAGGAAGCGAGGTCGTGGCAGCACAGCCTACTACTCACGGAGGTCGAGGATCCGATCACCGTCGTTGCAACAGCATACTTGTCTCCCAAAAAGCTCGGCGGAGAGGGATCTGCAAGAGACACGAGCGTCAGCCAGCCCGGGGAAGGTCGGAGGGCGTCTGGGGGGCTAGCCAAGCGGGAAGAGCACCGGCCCAAAGAGCGCCTTTCAGCTAAAGCCGGTTCTTACCGTTTGCGGAATGTATCGAGAAACCACCGATGAAACTGCTCCAAATAATTTATCCATGAATCGGGAGAACAAAAAAATCTGAGTGCATTCACGCTATCGCGTGTCGCGGCGACAGGAGCTCGGCACGTGTGTAGTTCACGGTTCATTATCATTGTGGCTTCGTTGGCGTTTCTGCGCGTCCTCCCGAGCATTATTTGGAGGATTTTGGTGCCATTCTCGCTTCCGCTCTCCATTCCATTTCCCTGCCCGATCCGTACTCCACCTCCAATGAGCTTCTTCGGCGTGCCGTAAGAAGTTGCGTTTCTCAAACACCCTACACACTTTCTAAGGTCTAGCCATATGGCGTGCAGGTCAGTCTTCTCGGACGGTCGAGCGCACGCGCAACAAGGCGTTGGCCACGGCCATTGTCCGAGTGAGCGGAGTGTCTCTTTCAGACGCCTCCAGCACGCGTTGCTTTCGACGCCTGCTCTGCCTGCATGCTCGAAACACCGGGAGCCTTCACTGAGGATGACCACACAACTCCCCAGGGATGTTGTCTCTAACGGCCGTTGGTGTAAAATAAATGCGATGGTTCAGCACCTACAACCTCTTCACCCCCAATACCTTGGCAAGCGCCGCGGGAGTGGATGGGAACGTGGGCGCCGGATCTAGGGTTGCCACCTGCCCGGTTTTCGGCCGGCACGGCCAACTTGTTGGGAGAGGAGGCTGATTGAAAGTCTTTATCTAAAACAGGCTGTCATTTGCCAGATTTTTCAACCATCCAAGCACAAGCACACTTAGTGACAGAATTGAAGCCTTTTCATAGTAAGCACTGCACTCTTTTCTCTATGAATATCAAAGACTTATATTATTCGCTAGAACCTAAGCATTACTTGAACGCGTAGGTCAGTTTCTTGAAAACAATCTTGTTAGATTCCAGTCACATTCTGGGATAGGGGTAGCCAACTTCCTTAGGATTCTTAAACTATATTTAAAAGCAACTGTGGTTCAACACAATAATCAAGATTTCATTCAGAAACGTGGAATATGCATAGGTTTGGCAGTTGCTCCAATTTTGTCAGAGATTTATTTAAGTTATCTAGATCTAAAGCTCCATGATATCGTCCGGAACCGTTCTCCTAGCGACGCTCTTGTAAGGCAGTATGTCGACGACCTTTTGATCTGCAGTACCAATTCTAATTTAGTGGCATCACTTGAAAAGGCTGCTCTTAACAGTTCTCCAGAATTAAAGTTTTCTGTAGATAGACCAGAGGGGGGTAACTTACAATTTTTAGATCTACAGCTGAAACATCCATCCAATTTGTGCTCAGAATACGGCAAGCCAAATGCAAAACCTCCCCTTCCATTTCACAGTTGTCACTCAAAACATGTAAAGGCTGGCATAGTACGCAATTTGGTCAACAGTGCTCTGAAAAAATCATGTTCCCACTTTATCGAGTCTGCTCTCAAGCGCTTGTTTGACCGTTTTAAAGCCGCTGGGTACCTTCAAGATTACGTGTTCAATCAGTTGTTGTTCCTCATCTCCCTCAAGAAAAAGTTTTAAAGTGTTCTTCAACCCACAAAGCGTGTAGTTCTTCCGTTTTTTCACCAGATTTCGCATAATCTTAAATCTATTGGTAATAAGTATGGTATTAGCACGGTTTTCAGCAATGATTACAGACTGAATCGTTTGACTTTGTTTGCTTCCGTCAGAGCAGGCTGCACTAAAAAACACAAGGAAAAAGAGGTCAGTTGCGTGTCGGGATCCCGTTTGATTGCGGATTATGCTATATAGGACAGACCAAGTGCTGTATAAACGATCGTCTCACTGAACACAAACGTTGTGTCAAAAACAAAGATCCTTATTCGGAAGTATCAAAACATGTAGTTGAATGCAATAATTGTCTACCTAACTGGGACTCAACAACAGTCATCTTATCAGAAAAGGATGATCGGAAGCGTTTGATAAAAGGATCTATAACAATCGTGAATCATGGGAATGCGGTAAATAAGCCATCCCTCACAATAGATAAAGAACAAAGAAAATTCCTACAAATTTGATGTCCCCACGTCTTGTCAATTGTTGTGTTGAGGCCTTTGTCCGATTTTAAGTCTTTTCACTTTATTGTTTCCTGGTCGTTTGTTCGTTGCGTCCTTCCTGCTATAATGTTGGGGTTTCTTGGGGACTAATGCACTTTGGTCCTTCTACTTTGCTTTTGTATAAACGACTTCCTGTTATAGTGTTAAGGTTTCTTGGGGACTAATGCACTTTAGTCCTTCGATTTTGCTTTTGTTTTTGTATAAACAATCTCATTACTTCTCAGTTCTATTGTAATGCTTGTTTTTTTTTTTTTGTTGTACTGCTTGTGGCACGGGTTTTCCCAATTCTCCCTCTTTTTCTTTCGTCTCTTTTGTTTTGCGTAGGTCTCTCCCTCTCTTTCCTTCGTCTCTTTTGATTTGTGTGGGACTTGACGCCTATATAAGCACCCTTCGTTGTCAAATAAAATTCAGCTGTGTTTGAGACTTTGTGTTTGTCTGTCCCTTTTTGTCCCAGTCCCGGGGTTTTTGTCAAAATGTTTTTTTTTGTTTGTTTGTTTTTTTCGGGGGAAAGGGGGGAGGTTTTTTTAGTATATTTTACGCCGTCAACGCAAAAACTAGCATAAAAAGTGCTTGTCGTTTTTTTTTACATGAAGTACACAATAATTTGTTGACTCCAGCGTAGAGAAAGCACGTGAGCGAGCTTGTTTGAGAAACGACTGCATCGTTCAAAATCTTTAAACGGGTGCAACAGCAAGCAGGCACACGAGGGGGAAATGGGAAAAAGCAGAAAGCTGGCGCCTGCGGAAGTGCAGGAAACACGCGACTACTCTACAGGACTGCCCCGTCCTCCCGATAGCGATCTGTGCTTTTGGGGGGGAGTGAATGGTTTTTGATACTTTTAACAATTGTTGGCATCCTGACAGACATGCGTCATGTATCGCCTGTCCTGGGAGGTGGCCGGCCAAGGCGTGTCCACTTTCTTTCCCACTTTCCGCTTGTATTTTTTTTAGTCACGTACGTTCACATGGTGTTACAAAAATGTATTTGCTTCAATGCAGTAAAACTCGTTGTTTTATTTAATCTGGAACTTTTTTGCAGTCTTTGCCCAAACATGAGGATATGCTGAAACATGCGCTGACTGTCTCCAGGAAAGGCTGACATCTGTAGTGAAATCGTAGTGTGCGTGTATCTCAAAGTAAAAGGAGCAGTGCACAATACAAACAACCTGCTGGGTGCTAACTCATCCCTGCTGCACAAAATGAGTAGAGATGTGGGATGTACTATTTTTGGCACCTTACTTTAGACTAAATGATACGTATCAATGCATGTAATTCAGTTAACGCATTCGAGTGCTTATGCATGCTATCGTATCATTATACCTATGTTAATCAATATCACTTTTGAAGCTCTTGTCAAAATAAATTTAATTTGTATATTAAATATTGTCAATGCTGCGTGTCCCCGCCCCCTCTCCCCCCCGACATGGCCAGATTTTTCTTTGAGGAAAGGTGGCAACCCTAACCGGTCGCGATAATGCTGCACGATGCGAGGATGCGCGATCGGAGAGGATTGGGCAATCCGAGAAACTAAACTTATATTTCCACTGTTGCACCTCCGCTCTCTTATATAGTACTATGTCGATTTGCCAACGATTTGACGAGCCAGAATCGCACCCCCGTAGACTAACCGAGAAAATACAACGAATGGCAGGAGATGCGCAGTTGTTCAGTTCCTCAATCACACTGGGTTACTCAATGCCAAGATCGCTCTCCGAGCACAATGGAGATGGGTAGGAACGGCCCCGGCAAGGGCGGGCACGGCAAGACACGGGGACATGCAGGACAGCCCAAGAAGGTGCTACGTACGTGAGATCTGCCACAGCTCTACTAGCTCGGCTGCAGTCAGAGGGAAAGGAGGACAGACTGTTAGACCCCGCCACCAGGGAACGCCACTCACCCGCACTCACCCCAGAGAGCATGCCCAATGCAGCTGACTTTACTCACACAAATCACAGCCAAACACCTCATTTCTCTCATTTCACGCTCCTCCACTTTTCCCCCGCTCAATGTGAGTGCTGGCTACCTCAAACATTGGCAACCCACTGTGAAAAGACTCTTAGTGCACAGGCGAGCTGGAGGTGGCTAATCACGTCGGTTAACACCCAAGACTGCGGTGCAGAAAAAGAAAAAAACTTTTAGTCTAAGAAACTGACACAGAAGGGAACGAAAGAGGCGGACTTTTTCATTTGAAGCGGCGTTAATATTTGGGAAGCTTTACCCGCGTTGGGGTACAAAGAGCAGCAGTCGCCGTGTTCCCGAGGTCACCCAGATATAATTCCTGAAACCCTCTCCCGTCGTCCTCGGTGATAAGGGCATTGTATTGTGGGTTTGACTGCATAGTCTCTCAAAAGTTATCTGTTTTTGATAATGCTTTCAAAAAGAGACTTTTGCGTAGAAGCTGGTTGACAATGATGGTACTGTGGGTTTGACCGTTTGGTCTCTCGTAAATGTGTGCATTCTTTGTATTTGAAGTGCTTTCAACGAAGATCTCTGCGTAGAAGGTGCTTGAGAATGGCTCTGTCGGTATATATACGATTCTCGAGAAATAAACCAGTTAGTTAAGTCTGAGACATCCCTTTCTGTGATTGTTCCTCCGACTAAAAGTTCTTTTTCCTTTTCTGCATCAGTCTCAGACATGATCAGCAACTCACCATTCTTGCAAACATCAGTTGCCAAACATTTGTAGTTTTCAAAAGTAAAATTATATGCGACACACTCGCCAAGCTGCCTGCCACTTGGCAGGGGACAATACCCCAACCTAGTGCTGTCCCCCAAGAAAAGCACTGACAGAAAGCTAGCCCAGTGCGCCACCACCCAATCGTCTGCAGATGCCTTCAACTCGCCCAAACTTCTACATTACTCAGCCTCAAGAAGTTCGGAGCAGAGAGCAAAGGCCTCGACACACCGGATGGATCGATGTTAACGGTTGTACTCTTTAAAACAGGCAATAGCTTGCCCCACATATACTAAAAAGAATTTTAAGGTATTTTTGTAACTATTACTAGGCTGTAGGAATGATTACCAGGAAGTTTTGGGGGATCAGACAAAAAGACTGAACCATCCGTTCTATCGGCAAGGAGGTCGCCGATTCGGTCGCTCCTTGTCGGCGTCACGACGGACCCACTGGGGTACAGGGTTGAGACTCGCAAGAAAGAGTCCCAATTGTTGTTTGGGTACCCACCTAGGGTGCGGTTGATGGTCATGTACTTGGAGCGCCCCTTGTCCTTGGTGGAGGCGTCGTACCAGTTGAGCACGTCCAGCACTGCCTGCGGGTTCTTCTTCTGCTCCAGCTTGGTGATGTTCGAGTTCTGGAGCAGCCGGGCCCAGGACTCCGGCATACCCTGCACAGAGGCCATGGCTCGCGCAGCTGCCCCCCAAGAGGAGGCTGCGCCTCACCGTGAACTCTCCCGTGACGGCGTCGAAGCCCACATGCACCGTGTGCTCGAAGTTGGTGGGCGGGGAGATGACGGGCTTCTCCTGCTCCCGGCGCTCTTTCTTGGCGGCCCCTGCAGTGGAGGGGGCGGGTGAGCGGACGGAGGGGGTGGGGGAGTGTGCCGAGTCTCAGGGCTCACCCTTGGAAGGCTTGAGCTTCCCCTTCTTGCGGTCGTCCCCGTCGGGCTCCTTGGGCAGCGGACGCATGTCCACGGGCACCGCCGAGGGGGCCGGAGGGGGGCCGCCCCCGCGCACGCTGTGGGAGACGCTTCGTGACCCTCTTGCTCGCACGCCCCACGTTGCCACGGCGCTTGGAATGCGCCTCTGACCAGTGCATCGAGCGCGTCTAAAGTGGCAACGAATGACCTCACAAACGCCACAGAGTGCGACAGAACGGGCGTCTGCCACATGCAGCACCACAACCGTGATGCTTCCACGACATTCTCTGGTGGAAATCGAGGAACCACTTTTTTGGATACGGTAGACACAACGATCGGGGATGCATTCCAGACACCGTGGCAAGGAGAGGAACCGAGGCATTCCAACGAAGTGGGTGCCGTGGTGGCTGAGGGAAGGCTCTCACCTGGCACTGGTGAGCCTGACAGGCGGTGCGGGGGGTTTGTCGTCCATGCCTGCTCCACTCATGGGCCGGGCTGCGCACCGCCTGCGGGGGACATTGCTCACGGACATGCCCATCTCCCCACAAAACTGGGAACCAATCCTCGGGTGCCATATGAATGGCCACAATAGTCGTGCTAGCACCGGAGCGGCTCCTTGTATCGAATGTTAAGCGCGAGAGTAAATGTTTTTTGTAAACGAAAAAGGTGTAGAGGCTCATTCACCCCTACTACTTCCGGTAATTAATGTGCAATTGAAAATTAGGCTTTCGACTCCCTGAGTTACACGGCGACTCGACGAATTTGCTCGTTTCGGGGGACTGATTTCTTTGCCATCTCGATGAGATATCTGTTTGTCGCAGTTCGGTCAAACGTTGCGTTGTGGTGTGCTCAAACAGATTTAGGCCAATAAATTTAAATGTGTGACCATGCAACAACCATTAGAGCAAATGTTAAAAGAATGTTGCAAATTCTAACTTTTCCCAAGCAAACATTAGTAGAATGTTCGGCAATCTTTAGAGAATGTGCAAACGCGAATGTTCGGTGAACACCCTGAATGCATTTGGAACAGTAAGGCAACATTCGCGCAATGTTGGGTGCTACCTGGGTGGAACTTTCCATCCGTTCACTGTCAGTATCCTGCATTTCTTATCTTTTCGATGGCTTTTGTGAACGTGCAGTGTCCCAAACTGCAGGCTGTCACGGTCACTCTATCTGCCGCCGTTACTTGAGGGGCAACTGTCTAAATTTAATTCAGGAACATTTTTAACGATAGAGAGCTTTCCCGATCGCCACAGCTGCAATTCCTGGGCGGGCTAAGCATCCGACCCGGAGGGCAAGGAGCCACCCTAGGATGTTTCTGCAACGAGGCAGTCGCGAGGCGCACTCGAAACAACGGCTCTGCCCCTGGCCAGGACGGAGACGACAGCGCTCACGGCCAGGCTGTCCGATCTCTTTGGGCGACGAGACCGGCCGTGCGGAATCAGTCCAGGGCCACTTTCGCAACCCAGGGTGCGGCTCCGTGCACTGATAACGCCTAGGCAGGACACGCACCGCGGGCCGCCACACCGAGGTTGCGTCCGCGACTAGGTGGACGCACGGGATGCGCCTCCGCGAAAGATCGGCCACCTGACCGCTGGGCATTCTCGGTGCGATCGGGCCGTTGGACCGCGTGCGCTAAGGGCAGCCTCGGTGATCGCCGTGATCGCACCAGCCGTACGGGCAGACGGCGTCGGACAAGACGTCTGACGAAGCCTCGCTGGTCGACTCCGGCGCGGGACGCGCGCCCCGACGCGCTGCTGTCCGCCCGATCGTCGAGTCGGCCCCAACACGACTGGCCAGCTAGCTTCGGAACAGGCGTTCCTCGCAGGCAGGAAGCGGCCTCACCTTTCTTTCCCTACGAAGAGCGCACAGTAGACACGGAGGACATATCACCGCTACCATAACCACGGGACCCCCAAGCCAGCCCAAGCAGCCGCGGCGACTGACGCCTTTTTAATCTGTGACGTCACACATGTCTCCGACCAGCCGACTGCACCAACTGACTCATCCAGACACATCTACTGCGAACCCACAACATTGCACTCGGGCAGTAGCGCTTATTTACCACCAAGTTAAAATACTTAGACGTAGAAACCGTAAATACGGCTTGCTTTCCGCTATGCGTAAAATTTCCCGGACGGCCGCAGGCGGGCAGTCGACTGAAATTCACAGATGGCGCCAGTAGTGCAGAAACGGTGAAACGTGAAACGGTGAACCAAACATCTGTGGCTGTCTGTGGTCTATGTCACTGTGCCGCACCATAGCCTCTGGCCGTGCTATCTGTCAACTAAACTGACAATTAATTAGGCAACTTGGCGATTAGCGCGGTGCACGAGCCGGTGGGCGGTTGTCGTGGTGCGTCGTCGACCGGTTCAGGACGCTTGGCAGCCGGTCGGGAGGACCTTCCCGGAGAGACGACTGAGCGCCTCCTCAGATGGGCGACTTGAGCGAGCGCACGGCGAGCGGCAGCCTCCGTAGGAGCGGGGACACGCGGTGAGCGGGCCTTCGTTCGACTGTCGGCATGGCGGGCGGCGTGGCCACGCACTGGAGAAACCGGGTGCTCAAGTCGCTGCAAGAGCGCAACTGCGTCGAGTCCAAGCAGTTCGAGGACATCATCCAGTTCAGTGAGTGGCCGCATCGCGTGGCCCCCCGTGCCTCGACCCGAGCCCCCCTTCCCTCGCAGGCAGTCAGCTCTTCGAGCGCGTGGACGCGCTGAGGGCCGACAATGTCCAGCTCACGGTGCAGAAGGAGCGTCTCCAGCAGGAGAACCTCCAGCTCCAGATGAACTCGGAGACCAGGTCTGTCCCTGGGCCACTTGTGCGCTTGACGCGGGCGTGATCTGTGCATCCTTTTGTATGCGGAGCGCAAGTTCGTCTGCTTCTTTTGCAGGGGTTGTGGTGACGTCAGAACGCCGAGCTCCGATTGGCTCTGATTGAGGGATAGTGGGTAGACCTCAAAGCAAGCTGCCTTGAGGTCTACCCACTATCCTTCATTCAGAACCAATCAGAGCTCGGCGTTCTGACGTCACCATAACCCCTGCAAAAGAAGCAGACGAACTTGCGCTCCGCATAGGGTTATTGTAGGTTTTAATCCACTCGGCGGCGGGCCAGCAGGCACACCTTAGGATGTCCTGCACACTGACGAGTGGATACTACAAAATAACTATTATTTGCTCTACCTTGTGCTCTCATACTTCCCCTGCGAGACAGTGGTGCCTGCAGCCTGATTCTAGGTGGTGCCACGCATCTAACTTGAGGACCTTGTCCTGGCAGTGTGTCTACGTGACTCAGAGTGTAGATTCTTGCGGGAGTTGAACAGTCCTCAACGAAATGAAGGAGACCAGCGGAGCGCTTGTCCTCGCTAGAGTGGCTAAGCTCTGCTTGAGGAGCGTATGCAATTACTGTAGCTCAGAGTAACCATATGGCTCCGCCTTTTAATTGAATCGCCAGAGTAACCGTAATGCTCGAGGCCACATGGTCCCCTGGGGGGCTATGTTCGACAAATGTTTCGTTTCTCCTAAAAAGAAACGGAAGTGACCGAAGTGACAATATCGCGTCTGATTGGTTAGAAACTTTGTCATTTGAACCTCTAGTCAATCAGACGCGACATCGTCAGTTCCATCACTTCAGTTTCTTTTTAGGAGAAAGGAAACATTTGTCAAACACAGCCCCCCTGGTCTCTTTCGTTGAGCACTGTTTGTAAAAATCAAACAATCGTATACGTCCTCGGGTGTTCGAGAATGTCCATTTGGGCATATCTTTTTGCGTGAGAGTGTCCGCGCAAGCTCTCTGAAAATAATAAATAGTTTCAGAAGGTAGTCCAATTGATAAGCAACATAAAAATGTGCAGAGCGTGCATGCTGACGAAGTAGCAAAGGGTCTTCCATTAGTGGCTGAAATCGAGCAGAAACAAAAGCATATCAGGAACGCATTTGGGCATAAACTAATTTGTGAACTGTGCAAATAGTGGACAAATTAGCATGCCATCGTGTGAAAGCCCCTCTTTGTATGCGCAATGAGGATTGTGTTGCGTGGAAACTTGCCGAAAACAGTTACTGCAACTCAACCAAAGCCTTTGCTTGAATAGGAGGGCTCATAATATCCGGCAGCTCACGACCATCCCCAAACTGGGGGGTTCTCAAACCGGGTTTCTGGGAAGGTTCCCCAGAGTACCTCCGAGGGTTTCCTGAGCTCCCAACTTTCGTACACCGTTGTGGCCCCCAAGTAAAATGTTTTCCGAGTGGGTAACTCCGCCGATTTTTTTAGAGTCTTCAATTTGGCTGAATATTGGCAAACTGCATCAATATCTCTTTTTCAGCTGCTAGCCAAAAATACTTTATAAAAATGAAACATTTCTGTGGAGTTATTGAATTTTCAAATTATGCCAGCCATGTAAGTTTTGGGAGGCAGCTCTCTACTAGCAACATTGAAAATCCCTACTTTTTTCCTATCAGTGTGCGTCAGTGGCGGGAAGGCAGACAAGTAAACTGCGAAGTGGCTTTCCGGGTCACCAGTGATCGAGATGTTTTTTTTTGCAGCTTCAAGGTTGAAAGATTTTCTGCAATCTGTAACAATTGTGCTCCGTGGTAGATTGCACAAACAGAGCCGGGAAAAGCTTCTTTGTCTTCTACCCTTGTTTTCGGAAAAAAAGAAAAAAAAAGTGTTCTTTATTAGTGGTAGGCGAGCCATGTCAAGATGCTTTTGTTTAAGCCTGAGCCGTGTACCAAAAGAACTAGTGTCACATGAAACATCGTTGCCTCTGCTGGGAATACTTTATAGCCGCATGCTGATGAGTTCAGTATTTTTCTGCATTGGGAAAAGCTTCAAGATAGGCAACTGCAGACTCAAGCCGGCGTGGTATCACTACGACCTCCATCCAAAGAGAAGCACTAATAAAATTGGGGAAAATAGTGCATATTCTAGCAGTAGTAGAGATTTGACACAGTCACATCTGTTGTTTACAATGGCTTTTAGGTAAATTTTTAAAATTTAATTTATAGTAGGGTGGTTTAACCAATCCGCTTGGGAGAACAGAAGCCATTACAGCCATCTCAAAGCTACTCTCGGCGTTCCAATCAGACAGCCTGTCGAAAGCAAGAAGTTTGTCTAAAAGAAGTTAAAGTCTGAGTTTAGACGTGACTTTCGATACACTGCTCTTGGTGTCTGGTATTAGGGAGTTTTTGGAAACAGTGGTTGAACTCCGATAGGCGATAGAGGCCTGGTACGTTTGTCAAATGGTTGGCATGCAATCTCGGAGAAGAGTTGGTGAAAACGTCTATTTTATTGTATTGCAGAGAAATAATATATAGGAATGAAATATGAGAAAGCTTTGAATGTTGTTGACGGAAGGCATGTTAATTTATCGCTAGTAAAGGCTGTGCAAAACCAAACATCCTTTACCACCCTCGTGAATGAGAGGTTGAATTCATTGCATTCTACTTCAACGGTGAACAAAAATTATATGTATAAGTATGAATTTTCCTTCGGTTAACTTTTTGTCGCCTTATTTTAAATTTTCTGTTTTATGATGCATTCCTTTACTTTACGGACTATTGCATCTCCAAGCAACTATTCTTTGCTTGAAAATGTATAGTGTATTTTATACGTCTGTCATTGCATTGCACCTTGATGATGTTTGGCTTGGTGGCTGCAGAGTTTTTTTTAATATTAGCACAATCTTCATGAACAGTAACTTCTTGCCACCTGGCGTACACGTGTGGAGTTCATTCCATTCTATACACTATTTCAATGTTTATGAGAGGCCCGTACAGGCACTTGCATTTGACTATAACCAACTAAGACAAGTCCGGTTTTTAAGATTGGTTATAACCAATTCTGCAGCAGAGCGTCTGGTCATAAGCCGTTGCAAGAGGCTTAAAAACTGGTCTTGTCTCAGTCGGTCATATTCGGTTGCAAGTGCGTGAACCAAGGTGTCGAACCGGAACCAAATTGAATTCAAACCGGAGTCAAACCATTATTTTTAGCCGAATCAGAACTGAAATGAACCAAAACTTTTTGCCGCCATCTTGGAACTGAACTGGGAAAAAATATAACGGTGACCGGTTAAAAATGATTCGCAGTATTTTTTTTTCTTCTTTTTTGTTAGTGTCACAAAATGAATATTTGGGAATAAAAAAAAATGGCAGCTCTATTTCTACATATTTCTACAAATCTTCTCGCGGCATTTTTCTCCTAGACAGGCAATCTGATTTTGAAGCTAATTGAAATAGCTATGTGTTCCTGATACATACATAACTTCTCAAACAAATGGAAGTCTGTTATTGCCTTTTTTATGTGATGAACATAAATTTTATGCGTCTGTGGGCTGGACAACAAAAAGTACACAGGTGCGCACGGCGGAACTATGACGATTATGAACGCAAACCATCGGAAAGCGACCAGTTAAGTAACTGCCATTTTGAGTTGAGCATAAATTACTACTTCGTTCGATTAACAAAAAAAAAAATTATGAATTAGCGAGGGTGTTGTTTTTTTGCAAATTTAATTGACCAGCAACTTGTCAAAAATAAACCGCAACGGCCAGGGTATGCAAGTTTATCCTGTCTAAGAAAGTGTCCGCTTAGGTACGCGCTATTTAGACCTCTGAAAAGAAAAAAAAAAAAGATTTTTTTAGACAGTCTGATTGGGACACGCATGTCAAAAAATAAATTTTACGCAAAGAAAAACATTTTTTCAGAGCAATATTGACGGCGAGAGATTTATTTGAAATTCTGCGCGCGAAGTTCATGACGTCGCGGGTCATTCCGGAATGACCATCTCGGTCGTGAAGATGAAGCCGATCCACCTCTCCTCCTCACTCCCGAAATGCTGAGAGAGAAAACAAGTGGGAAAGGAAATGACTGTTGACTTAATCGCGTCTTGCGCCGTCAATATTGCTCTAAAATATTTGTTTGTTTTTTTTCGCGTGAAATGAATTTTTTGACGTGTGTGTCCCGACCAGACTGATAAAAAAAACTTTTTATTTTTTTTTATTTTCAGGGGTTTTTTAAGGCCAGATTTGATTTGAGTACGAAGACGTGTATATATTAGTGTAAACAATTTTGATTGCGCCTTTTTGCATGATTCTTTGCTTGCATCACGGTGCTGAAGGTAAATAATGCTGATTACGAAAACAAGCGTTGTGACTACCACTCAGTGTTTCTGTAAAAGGTAGACTGAAAGGGCTTGTCCGAAAACTTTCGTGATATTTTGAAAATTGCATTGCTTTTAGCTATGTTGTGTCGTCATCATATATATGTGAAACGTATTTCATAAACCATAGTTTACGACATAAATGGCAACGAGGTGCCCTTTCCATGATTTTATGCTCTGTAGATAAATCCTTAGTTCAAGGGCACAACTGCGATTTAACTTTTAATACTGCGACGCAAAGTCACACCAATCGCGTGTATTTTAGGCGACCTACCACAATTTGCGACAACCTTTTGATTCGGGTACAATACATGTGACTCTGGTAAACAGAGGAATGTTGAGTCGTATAAACATGACATTGTGTATGTTAACCAAGGTTTTCTTCTGCTGGTGTGTCGAAATTAAAGACGGAATTTCATAGTTTTGGTGCCTGAAAATGAAAGTGGATTGTACGAATGACAGAAGAAACTGCAGAGTTAATCATTTCACGGCAGAAATAGTGCCTATTGCCAGAACAGTGCGGAAAATATATTCTCAATATAAAGGCTCAAATCGGTTAGAAGCAGTTTGAACCATTATTTTTGCTCCCCGGAACTGAACCGAAAGCGGTGAACCCAAAGCCAAACTGAACCGATAAAAATTTTGGTTCGACACTCTGGTGTGGACGGGCCTTCACAGTCCACGTCTGTCCGGTGATGGCCCAGCACCCGCAAGTTCATCGCTTTGGGAAGCGGGCATAGCACGCGCCATGTGTACCAACGCTGAAAATGGCACCAGCCAGAAGTGCTTTTCTGGAATAGTGTATAGGCAGTTAGTAAATCACTCAAGCAGTAAGCATATGCATGCTACAAATGTAGTAACTTTGTTACACGTGTTGGCATCTGCAACGGTAACTTTTCTAAAGCAATTTTAAAACAAATGGCACATGCATTCAGGTAAGATTGTGTGCAGCACTCACATTTCAAGAATTTTTATTTATTTTACAAAAGAAAACCTGCGGCACCGTAACTTCGGCATTATAGCAGGTACAGCCCATGGATTAAAGAACTAAGCACAGAACACTTGAATATACAGCCTTGGTTGTCAAGAAAGAGAATACATAAACGCTAAAATCGTGGTGCTTATTAAGTAATTTGTCAAAAAATGTATTGCAAGACTCCTTGAGCTTTCTTTGCCAGCGTAACTGCTTGCTTGTGATAGAAGGAGAGCGGATTGACGCCAGCGAATTCACAAAACTAGTGAGCCGCAGCTTGAGCATACCAGGTTGCCCAAAACCATTTTCTCAAAATCACAATTGCTTTTCTTTTTCTTTTTTCATAGTTTAGCTCATAGGTCCAAGTCATACTTTGTAGGAAATAGAGATTATTAATAACTTCAGATGTCACGAACGCCCCTGTTTGCTCGCTGTTAGATGCGAGCAAGGAAGGCGTATCTGATCGCCGGCCGCACACCTTGCTTCCCGCCAGTGACGTCAGGTTTGAAGTGCAGGAAAAACTAGGGAGAACGAAACCCCATATAAGCGGGTCTCGTAGCTACTCCCCGCAGAAAGGAGGAGGGTGTCCCTCTTTCTCGTAGGAGGAATGAGGGAGGGCCCTTTCTGGCTGTTCGTCAGCCTTTAAGGATTATATAGCGAATCTGAGCTACCCTTTGATACATAGCAATAAGCCAAACACTTGCTAGTGCATTATTGTATACGAGGAGTGTATTACATCAACACCGAGACCGGGAGGGGCTTCCACCATGCTGTCAGCTTGGGGATGTGAAGGGAGTCTAGCGGACCCTGAGCGGGGGCGTGTTTTCAGCCTGGGTAAGCCCCGAGCTGCCCTGGAGACGAAGCTGTTCCAGCTGCAGGAGGAGATGACCGAGCTGCTCAGGCGCAAGTCCCAGGTGGGTGCCCCTCCTCTTCTCAGTCCCGGCATTGGCTCGCTCCGCCTAGATCCAGTATTGTGCGGAAATGAGGGTTCCATGGAGTCGGAGTTGCGTTTTCAAATTTCCTCGAGCGAAATTGGGTCGACTTTTGGGAGAAGCCTCGGGGACGTCTGTGCTGGGAGCGCGTGGGTCCTGCGTCCTCTGGCGGCGGGCGTCGACAGTGATCTATGTGTGCATGCGTGCGGCTGCTGCTCTCCTCCAGGCTTTGTTTTGTAGCACTTTTAGCAGGTTGAGTTGGGGGGAGGAGGGCTTCTCGAAAAAGTTGCTTAATGTGCATGGAAATATTGCTTCTCCACACGGTATTCTATACGCGGAAGGCTTCTATGACTTCACACATGCCTGACAGCAATTGTGAAAGTTTGCTTATGCTCATCTTTGCTGCAAGCACCCTGACGAAGCAGTCACGCCGTGGGATAAGAGGACCAAAGGGGGGCTTGCTCAGACCGCAAGTGATGGGAGAGCAGCATCGGGGGAGCTGCGCGCTAGTTTTGGGGGCTTTTTCTTAAAGGCGGTAGCCATATATGGGTAGTTAGCACTGCGAATCGAAGAGTGTGATCGTCGTCGTAGCCGAATAGCTAAACTTGATGCTAAATTTTAACAGAGAAATTTAATTGGAGGGTAATTGCCATGCGACTCCCTGACAAAAGCATGTGGTATGGGTGCCAATTTAGCAGACTCGTGTCCCACTGAATTTGGCAGATTGTTTTCACATAACACAGTGACGTTGAGCGACACTGTGGAGTCGCTTGTCATGTGACACCGCCACATTGTGTGGTATCGTGATGTCATGAGGCACGATGACACTGCAGTGCCACTTAGCACCCCGCATGCAGTGTCTAAATTGGGCTGAATGCGGTTGCCGAGTGTCTGACGGGGCACCGTGTCTCGCAGCACTCCCAGCAACTCATTGACCTCAAGAACAGCCTGGAGGATCGGGATCGCCAGCTGCACCTCAAGGACGCCAGGTGAGGGAGTCCCGAACGACACCGTGTGCGGTGCGCTGGAGGAATGTCCCCGGAGGCAACGGTCTTACCTCTGCAGACCCGAAAGGCGGTGGCGATGTTGCAAAGTAATTTACGGGAAACCATCGATGAGCAAAGTCGGCGGAGACAAGACACTCCCCCTCCGTCTGCCACCCGAAGCCCACGCAAAAAGGACGGGAAGCGAGGTACCGACCCCGGCAGCGTCCGATGGAGTCCACGGAGCGCCGCGGTGGCGACGGCTTTCCGGGTTCAACGAGATCCGGGAAGGGACGAAGGCGTTTATCCAACTGCTCTTAGGGCGGCCTCCACGAGGTCGCGATGACCCCGACTTGTCGAGGGGAGTAGGGGGACCACCTTCAGTCGCTTTGCCCCCTCTAGTGCATTGGAAACCTTGCCCCAGCCTCCCAGAAGGACCAGGAGTTCTGCTGACCAATCGAGAACCGCGTGAGCGTCGTGTGCTTTGGTCGCAATAGCAGACCTGCATAAAAATTTCTACAGATTTCTACAGACAGCACATTTCTAGTGGGAATATATAGTTTAGGAACGCCGTAAGTAAACTCGATTGGTTGGCTCGTGATTCCCGCCAGAATTACTTGCTCGTAGTTGCCGACGAATTGATTGTGTGTTGCTGCGTGCCAGGATCCAGGAGTGTGAGCTGGAAGTGGCCTCCCTGAAGCAGAGCCTGGCTGCAGTCAAGAAGGACTTGCAGGACATGAAGGATGCCAACCAGGTACGAAAGCACGTGGGCCATCCTGCCCCGGTGCTCCTTTCCAAAGGACGACGGTGCTCCAAATTTTTTACTGTAAGGTCATGCATTCCTTTAAGCACCAACTTTCCTGCCACCCATCATTGTCGATCACGAAAAAGGAGAAGGGAATGACGAGGCGCCAGTGGCAATATCGCCCGAAAATGCGATTCGCGCGTGAATTTTTTGACTCGCCATTCTCCGACTTCTTACCGTAAATGGCACCAATTGGCTATTCCCAGACTCCGAGGTAAAAAATAGACTCGCGGACTCGGTTCGTAAAACTCTCATAGGGGAAAAATCCGAGAGGCTTTAAGTAAAGAGCGTTAGGACGGAGTGGCGGTGTGTGCTCCCCGGGCGGCCTAGACCCCTACGGCGACTGTGAGGATACAGTGCCCAGGATGCATCTTGGGCATACTGCCATCGAAAGGGAGCGAGGTCATCGCAATCCTGGCGGTTGGTCGAAAATGGCGAAAAAGGCAACGTCCCGCCTCGCTTCCGCCGACTGTCTGGCTGCGGAGCATAGCCGAACGGGCACCTCTCGTGCTACCGCCATGATCGCAACGGCAGGAATGGACCTTGGGGGCGGTGGGAGACGTTGAGGGGCCCTTGTCCGCAGCTGCTGCACGACGAGCACGAGGCCCTGCAGCTGGCATACTCAAGCCTCGAGCGAAACTTCTCCTCCCTGGACCGGGAGCACCAGGACCTCATCAAGCGCTGGATGGCCCTCAAGTCGAGGGACGCCGACCGACTCAACGCCGAGAATGAGCGCGTCGTCAGGTAAGAGCACGCTCGTCGCAGGTCCCATACACTGCGGTGTCGCGCTGCTTGGCATCACCATCTCCAAGTGAAAGCGCCAGTCGTGCCTTTCAAGGTACTGAAAGGACAATGGCACAATTGACAGAGCGATAAGTTGACTTGTCGATGGGAAGGCAAAATCGCTCGATTCAAAAGGCACTTACCCGGTCCTTAACTTCAGCGATTTCTTTATAATCCCTGATTTGCCCCAGAATTGGCTGACACACCGATAGATGTGGCTGTACCAATACCCCAAGTATTGCTTGAAAAAAAAAAAAAAAAAGAAAGTTCTTGCAAGGGTAATGAATTTTTTAACTTCGATCTCACCGAGGGCCCCCATTGGCAACACTGAAGTGTGACGGCAGAAATGGTACAAAGTGGGCAGTGAACCAAATTTCCAACTGATAACGAGACGTTTGATGGCGGGAAAAAAATGCTTGGACACTAAGGAGTATGAAAAAACGCACGACATGCTGTGATTAAGACTACCCGTGCCACCTGAAAGTCGGTACCATTTACTGCTGAGCGCATGGAAATTTGAATGTTGGTTTTGGCATCATCTTCACTTACGGTTTTCTCAATAGCTATTTTGAATTTTAAGGCTATAAATAGCGTACCGTAAGACTAAAGGCCGGGTATGAAGAGTATGCAATTTGTTTGGGTAGGTAAAAATATAACCGGGTTCCCTTTTAAAGGGGTTAGGACACAAAAATTAAACGGGTAGAATATTACTTAAATGGAATGCTCATAGGCTACTTTGTATATAGTATAAGTTTCACAATTTTTAGAGCTCTAGTAATTGCAGTAATCAACTCACGAAAGTTGATCATTCGTGAATTTTGTGAAGTATGCTTCACGGTGTGCACTGTTTGTTTCAAGCATTCGCGCCAACTTTGTGCAAGTATGGAGTGAGCGTCCGCGTCGCAGTTTTTTCAGGTGTGAATTATTTTCATAACACGCACCACCGTGGGTGTGCATTTTGTTTCAGCATAAAGTATTGCAAACTTATCTTTAAGATTGTCTACGGTAACGCAACTCCTAGAGGTTACCCACGATTTTGCGCTTACTATTAACGATAGACAACAAACTGATGCCATTTTTATAGACCTATCAAAAGCCTTTGACCGTGTGCCCCATCAGAAATTAATAAGTAAGTTGCAGTCAGTTGGAATTAGTCATGCTTTGATTTCCTGGATTTATGGTTACCTTGTCAAACGCAAACAGTATGTTACACTGAACGGTAGTACCTCTGGGATGCTGGATGTGTTTTCCGGAGTGCCACAGGGGTCAGTGCTTGGCCCATTGCTATTTTTGATTTATGTAAATGATTTGCCGGCTTGTGTTGATCCAACTGTGAAAGTGAGACTCTTCGCCGACGATTTCGTCATATATACAACCATAGCTGGACCTGAGAGTCAGATAATTCTTAACAAATCATTGCAAAACATAAGCCTTTGGTGTAAGAGATGGGGTATGAAAATCAATCACGACAAAACTGCTGTTATCACTATCACTAACAAGAAAAACCCGTTAGACTTCTCATATATGTTAGATAATAAAACTATTAATAAAGTAAATGAAATAAAGTACCTGGGAGTTACAATATCCAGTAACCTTAAGTGGGAGACACATGTCACAAACGTATGCAGTAATGCATTTAAGAAGTTGGGCTTCTTGAGAAGAAAATTAAAAAACTCTACGTCTGCAACTAAACTGTCAGCATACAAGGCACTGGTCAGACCAGTTTTGGAATATGCCAGTATTATCTGGAGTCCGTATCAGGATTACCTTGACAATAAGCTGGAAAAAGTTCAAAGGATCGCAGTAAGGTTCATCTATTCTAATTACTCATGGAGGGCTAGCGTTACCGCTATGCTTGCGAACGCAAAGTTGGACACCCTAAAAGATCGAAGAAAAATTGCTAGCCTAAAGTTTTTGTACGCACTGTACCAACAACAAATAAATATAGAACAAGAAAAATACCTCAAGGCCCCCTTTGTGCACTCAAAGCGAACCAACCATAACAAGACGATCAGGCCGTATTCAGCCAAAAACAACACGTTTAAATATTCCTCTTTCCCCCGCGTTATTGATGATTGGAATAAGTTACCAGAAGAAATCGTAAATAGTACATCAGCGCAGTCTTTTGCCGAGACTCTCACTTCTATGCTCTAGCATAACATTCCGCCTATACGTTTTTCTTTTTGTGTCTTTTTTTTTTTTTTTAATTGAATGTCTTATACCGCTGTAGTGCTTCTTGTTTGTACTAATGTCCACTTCTGTATGGGTCTTCAATGACCTACAGTATTGATAAATAAAATAAAAATAAAAAAATGGTAGGACGGTTTGCTCGGCAATTCATTGTCAAGTAGAACTATTTCAGAATGGTCAGTCTTTATTTTTATATTTATTCATAACTCATAAGAAGTACTTAGGTGTTTTTAGAGTTTGTTTTTATCGCGTTTCTCATTTTCAGTTGCACCGCACATACCGATTGAAACTGGAACGTTCTAATCTACCGACTCTGTGCCCCGTAAAATGTTATCCTTTATGAATTCTGACATAGAATTGTGATCGGTGTCAGATGCCTTCAGTATTCTTGTTGCTCAGACATTGTGTGTTTGTGTTCAAACTGGTTGGATAGAAATATTTACACACTACATGTACAACATTATGTTTTTTTATTAAAATCATTTATTAGTTTTTGATGGCTGGCAATTTTTAATTTGTCTTCACCAATTTGAATGAATAAACGGTCTGGTGTAAGTGCAAGTCCTTTTACTACCTTATATATTTTAATAACTTCACTAGTAACTATTGATAGCCTAATTTGGAAATTCATGCTATATTTGAGGAGGGGGAAGGGTGCGGTCATGCAACCTAATTAAACGGTATACAATTCTTAAAAATTTGGATTGTTTGATAAAAAAAAGTTGGGGTACTTAATTTCTTCTGGTGGGGAAGGTAGGTAGGTGAGTAGAAAACGTTCATTGAAAGCGAAGAACTATGAATAGAAGGATTTCGCGCCGCAGTGATCCCCGGATCTGGCAGCCTCGTTCTTGCATGATTTTGGGTGATGAGGGATGACTGTGCGATCGGTCTTGAGGGGTGTTTTCATATGGAATCCCCCAGATCGGCCTTGGCTACGAAGTCCAGGAAGTCCAGATTGGGAGAAAAAAATATTTAATGTAATTCTACATGCATGCTATATCTACACGATTCTACATCCGTCCTATATCCATGTAACTCAACAAAATATTTCTACACACGCGTCTTTGCGAGAGAAAGTGTTTGTGGGCAAGAAGAGTTCTAAATGTTACTCTCTGGGTAAATATTTTAAGGTACCTACGGTTATTTTTGTAAAATATACTTGTAACGAATAGGCATAGTTTCGGTTTGCTTCTACTCGCTTGGTGCCAATATCAAAACTATTAACTCCTGCAAAAACGGGACATGATCTTATATTGGGATAAAAAGACGGGATGGCAGAAGTGGACCTCAAAAACAGGACTGTCCCGGCCAAAACGGGACGTCTGGTCACCCTATCAATGGCTCCCTCTTGAGCAACCAACGGGGTGTCGAATAGCAGGTTAGGAACGTCCATTTGTTATCACCAATATTAAGTAAAAGATTGTTTCATATTTCTTTGAAATTGTCGTACGACAAGCCACAATCGAATTAACTTTTATATGCCACCAAATAAACGTAGCGGCCTTTAAACCCAAGTGCAAACAAGTCTGGTATTTTGGGCGTACTCGAGCACCAAGACGTGTATGCATACTTTTTGTTTTACAGAACTCCAGGCTACAACTTGAACAAACAAGTATAAAGACGAATTGCGACAGTTCCCAGCCGGCTTTCATTTTAATCTTGGCTTCAGGATTAGCGACCGTGCATAAGGCGAGCACACTTGAAATAGCAACGTTTGCTTTCAGGCGTACCGGCGTAGCGCTTGTTTCCCTCCTTAACAAAACAACAAAGCGCCGCGCATATGTCGATGCCTCGCAGTCTATAAGAGAGCGGCAGAAGATAGCGGAAGGAGTCCCCCACCCCCTCTCTCGTCATTTCCCACGAAGCAGCGACGAGCTGCAAAAAACCATGCCAAGCCGCCGCAAAGCGAGCCGGAGAGTGCAGATAGATCAATAGGCACCTTTCCTCCTTTTCCATCACTCGTAGAGAACCAGCCGTACGAGCTAACGGCACCATTGCGAAGCGAGCGTAGACTCAACTTCTCTCGAAATGTATGGAGAAGTCACATGACCCGCCCTTCCTCGACGTCGCCCCACAAACCCTCATCCAACCCATGGTCCCCCAGGGACCTTACGCTTTGCCATACTCATGAACTCACCGACCTCGTGAACTCACATATCTCACAAAACTCATGAACTCACGCCCCTCACTCAACCTCAAACTAGTGAGCTTTCGAGGCTTACAAACTTGCTCACCCTCACCTCTCGCTTGATTGGTGAGGGTGAGTGAAATGAGTGAGTGCACTCACGAGTGAGTTTTGCCAAATTATGAGGAACATACAATGAGTCCTAGCAGTATAGTTATCTCATATTTTATTTCTGGCGTGTCCTAACCCCTTTAAAAAGGCTTGGCACGACTAGCGGTCCTAGCTCCGGTTGGCGAAGTATTGGCTCGGCCGGGTATCTGCAATCTGAAAGTCTCCAGAGGATGCAAACAGTCGCCTTTCTTTCTGGGGAAAATTTTGGGGCTATTAGAAGGTGGAACGGTGGCATTTCCTCGCCGGGGACACGGGTAGAGTCGCGTCTGCCACGCAGACCGTCGAAACGGGATGCGGATGTGTTGCCCGCGGGTGAAGGTGGGACGATGAGACATGTGTCGTGTGTGCACATTCCCTGCAGGCTGAAGCAGGCCCAGGTCAAGAGGGACCTAGAAGAGGCTGCCAGGGAGCCCATCGTGGTTCCCGGGGACAGGTGAGTGCCTTTCCGAGCTCTGCATGAGCAGAACTGCCCGTCGAGATGGGAAGCAATTCCCGCCCCGCACCCTGTATTCCGCAGGAGGCAGGGATTAGACATGAGAGCTGCGTTGTCGTTCGGCCTCGCGTTTCGATCGGCGGGAGTCGCAGCCGACCGCCTACTCGTGTCTGACCAGTTTCTGTGCAATGCTCTTTCGTTACGGGAAGTATGTTGCAGGAAACAGCTAGGAGTTGGCCGTATGAGACGTTCTACGCTAAAGACCGTTGCTGCGCGGCAAGGCCAGAAGGCAAGACTGCAGCCGAACGACTGTGCAGCCGCACTGGTGCATGCCGGGGCCACTGGGGAAGGCAGCTCTGTCTGTCAGGGTGCAGGCTGGCTCACACATTGGCGTTCGAGTGCATTGAAATCGCCCGTCACCACTTGCGACAAAAAGGCCACGCTTGCAATGTCTTAGATGGCCCCAAAGTACTTCCGATCCTTGCATGACGAGACTGGAGGTTTCGTAGTATCTGAGATTTCAAATGTACCGTATTTATTCAAATATAAGTCTACCTTTTTTTTTTTTGGAAATCGTAACCAAAGAATTTCGACCTACATTCGCGACCAAATTTTGAGACCCTACCAGAGGCATGAAGCTATCGAGTCACCAAGCCGGCGTTGCCGTAGAGCCACGCCGCTTCTTGTTTCAAAAAGCTTTTGGTAAACAACCGAAATGGCCCGCCCGCGGTGGCCGGTGCCGCTATTGCGCGCACCCCTCGGGCGTCAGATTTCGCCATCGCGCCTCTAGCGTTCCCCTTGCTGGGCAACGGGGAAGGAGGGGAATGCGATGCGCCATGCAGTTTGCCCTCCATCCTCGCAAACATGCACAAAAAAAAAAAAAAAAAAAAAGATGTTACTTTTGTTAGTTGCTTGAGGCGGCTCGGCTCGCGTGTTGCTCATGGCGACACGGCGGCTTTGCTTGCGTCTTTGTAGTTTGTCTTTCGTCGCTTCGCACCTTCTTTCGTTTCTTCTTGTCGTCATTTTACAATGGTGTCAGTGAAGTATTGTTGCGAATTCGCGAGGATGTCTACCAAGTTGACGAAGCTTCGGACGACGATGACATGTCCAGAAGTTCTGACGGTGATTAAGTTTTTGGCATCGCCCCGTGATTTAGCTGAGAGTGATGTAAATAAAGGTTTGTTTCTTTCTTTTGCTCAAAATTTCCCGTTCTTAAAAATAAAAAAAAAGTCGACCTATATTTGAATTATTTTTTTTTCTAGTCTCGGTGGGTCCAATAAATAGAGTTCGACCTATTTTCGAGTAAATACGGTATGTGTTATCTGTGAGAGGTCATCAGTTATAGCATTGTCAGAAATAATTGGAGCCCGAAGTGAATGAATGACGCGAGAAATGAGGAAATTTATGCAGACTAGAAGCTTTCCGGGGCTACCCGACCTGGTCATAAGCGGAGACTGGCAGTTGCGACGCATTCGGTCACGCTCAAGCGCCGGTGTGTTAACCTCCCTTAACGCTCTTCCACATGCCTACTCTCTCAACAACTGGTCAGAAAGGATTGCACGTGTCACCGTGGAGGTCGTCTGAACCGGCTTGGTTTTCGCGACGACCCACTGCGCAAAAAAAGGCAGAGCGCGTTCCAACGTCGCCCGCTCCTTCTGCCTTTCGAGGTTGGTCCGACGGAAAGACCTTTCTGACGCACCGGGCGTGCAGCGAACCCGATTTTCGAGCGACTTCCCCGTTCGACACCGTGTCTCCAACTTAAAACGAATTGCTCAAACAAGTGGAGTGATTAGACTGCCTCCAATGTCAAGCATCTAGTGCCTTCGTCTAGTGTTGGTACTCTTGGCAGCTGAAGCTGTACGGTGGCTCCGATGCACGCTAGCTTTCGCAGGTGCCGTCGAGGGAACGGGTGCTGGGGAACTTACCGTATCTCTGCCCGTGGCATGTCAGGCAACCTTGGCAAGCTGTATAGAGAAGCAATTAGTAAACTGAAATTTGAATGAAGGTAATATGAAGTGGAGGACATGCAGTAGGTGGGGAAAGTATACGCATAATTATAAAGTTTAAGCATAATGTGCACAAACTGATTCCGAAAACCTACATTTGGGTACCTACACACTAACGGCGCGGTAAGCGGATTAATGGGGCAGAAAAGAGAACAAAAGAAGCGGAAAATGTGGGACGGAGGTATTCGACAGAAATGGGCTTTGGCAACGTACGAGTCGTCGATACTGTCCGTCCTAAGTTGTACCGTCGTCCTCTGGGACGGTTCCCTCGCATTTCCGACGGGGCCCAAAATGCGTGGCATCTGTCGCTTCAGAACTAGGGCCCACCTAGTTGGGTCCCCGTCTGTCGGCCAGTGGGCGTGGCGAGCACCCCGCACTGAGGCCAGGCGTCGTCGTTTCAGCTCCCGGCTGCCGCCGCCTTGCGTCCAGTCCCTGGTCCCCAGCCGGCTCGTCCTCAAATACGTGAGCAGCCCTCCTCCGACCCACCCCGCTTTCGCACGCAAGGGGGGTCGGTGTTCCCGGAATCGGCCTCGCCCGACCGGTAGCGTTTGTTTGTCGAGCCTCGTCGCCCCACGAATGGCATTGCAGTGGAGGGAGGCTTGTAACAACTTGGGGGAATTGCTCTTCGTAAACGTGATCGGCATTTGACTGCGACGGCGAATACCTATTTGCGTGCGGGGCCGAGGGAGCCCGTTTCGCCCAAAGAGTCGCGACGACGGTCTCTGGTTTTGTCAGAAAAGCCAGGAGTCGCAGACGTACGAAGCTGGCAGTGGCGGTACTTGTCCACGGCCCGTGTATCTTGTATAATCCCCGCAAATCAAATGCGAGGTTAGAATGGTATGACATATCCGGTCGTAGGAATCGGTGTGAGTCCTTGCATCTGGCTCGTGCCTTGGAAAGAGCGCTCGTCGTAGGAGGGTGGGTCGCGCTTCTCCGCAGCGCCCGTCCAGACTGCGGAAAAGTGCGCGCGGAACGCGGCGTGCCTTTCGGGGGTTCTGCCGTCTGCCCGCGTTTGGGCTCGAGAGCGTACCAGCGTGCCACGTCCTTGCCCCCAGGAGGCCCACGAGGGGGAGGTGAATGCGGTGCGCTTTGCCCCCTCGGGCAAGATCCTGTGCACGGGAGGTGGGGACCGCAAGCTCAAGGTCTGGGAGTTCTCCAGGGGTGAGTGCACCCGCGGCCTCTTCTCAGCGGTCGGGGCCTGGCCCCCGCGAGTGCATTCCCTCGACCAAGGGAGCTGGCAAACCCTCCGCAGGTCGTTTGTGAAGGGGTGCCGGCGAGACTTCTTTAATCTGGAGCAGCGCTCCAGAGCCTCAGTCGTCGACTCGAACTTGGAAAAAGCGCAACGCCACCGGTTGAGTGCGTACAGCCTCGAGTCTGTAGAAGGATGTTTTCTACCCTGTTTGTTTTGGCACGTCCCAACCCAGGCCCTTAGCCCCTTAGTTGCCAGTCACTTTTGTAGAAAGACTGCTCAAAACTGCCCAGCGAGTTTTAGCTAGTTTTTCTGATCTTTTCAGTTTTTTTTTTTTTTTTTTTTTTTTTTTTTTTATTATTATTATTGAACTTGCAGTCTCAGCTCTTCTTTTTTCTAAAAACTTTTTAATCGAAATGTGTGCGGTAAGAATCTCATTTCCAATCGTGCAAACAAGATATTGCAAACTTCACTTCGGCTTCCGCTGGCACCCCGACATTTGCAATGAAGCAAAATCTCCATTGAGCCAACAACGGATTATCCGCGCCTACGTGAGCCGGGTCCTACGCCAGATTAATTTCTACTCATCTCTTGACCCGAGTGGCCAGGAGACTGTTTCCACTCGTTCGCCACGTGCGACACCGGAAACGAGATCTTGGGAGCACGGTCAAAGCCTTGCCTGACAGTTGAGGAAACCGGTCCTCGGAAAAGGGATGGAACATCATTTTTCCTAAAGTGCCTAGTATGTACCGGCGCCGCGTCCAGGGTAGGGGACAGCCACCATATTGGGTCAAAGCTGCTCTCGTCGGCACCGTCTCGAGTTGATGTAGTCCAAATTACACTAAACACTCAACTTTTCCGCCTACTCCTAAGGAAGTGGGACTTGAGGTGGCTCCGCCACGTCAGATTGACCCGGGGGTCAATGGGTCCCCTGGAAGCGGCACTAGCATCGAGGCACGCTAGATTTTCCCACGACGGTAGCAGCGAGAAGTGGACACAACGTCCGGTCGGTCGAGGGGATGCCCCCTTGCCGACGGCAGTGTTCCCCTGTGCAGAGCAAGCCCTGGCGAGGGGCACCCTGGGGGGCAGCAACGCAGCCGTCATGTCCATAGACATCGACTCAGAGGTGGGTCCTCCCTTTGCTCGCTTCTTGCCCAGACCCCCGATAATGCGCTCCTCGGCGGCACGCATCTACCTTTTTGCTCGACTATTTGCGACTCTAGCTTCCTATAGGGGGCACCACCTTTATTCAAACATGGCTGCCAGGAACGGGTCCCGTTGCTCAGGCTAACTGAACGAGAGTTGCGCGTTCAATTTAGCGGATGTTCTCGGTTTAACACCCTATTTTCTAGACATATCGACTGTGACAATTAAGTGTAGTTGCGGCACCCCAACTGCAGGGCATGGTTTTCTTTTCCCAGTTCTGCGTATTATTTTCACATCAGTGTCTGGGTTCAGAAGGGTTGAGTCGAAACCGAAACTACAGGCTCAGCGGTAATCGACTTTGATCAGTTAACGGGGGCGGCGACTCTATCGTGACACTGGGCGTAAAGTTTAAGTCGTGTAAACCTTGCCTACACAATTTTTTTGGTGGCGAAATCGAGCGACTGTGCACGTCCAAGAAACGGCTCCAACCGTCAACAACGAAGAGCACAGGCTGCACAAAAATGACAAAAATGAAACCAGAGCATCTTCAGCGGCAGTTGACCTGACAGCGCATCTTTAAAGGTGCACTGACACATCAAAATAATTTTTTTTATTATCCAAAATGATTGAAAACGATGCATGAATACTACCCTCAAAATTAAAAACTTGGGAACTCTGTAATTGCGAAGTAAAAAAACAATTTCCCAAAGCCGAACTTGAAGTTCCCGTGCAAACCGTGCCGGTGCAGTGACGTCAAAGATTGAGTCGTCCTTCAACTCGAGCTTCCCTCACGGCTTTGAGCCGTTTTGACCAGAAGTGTCATGTTCGCCCGCGTCCTGCAAACAACTGCTCTCCAGCGCCTGTCCCATCTTGTTTGTTCCTTCTCTTGTCTTTGTCATTCTGCGCTGTTTTACCTACATAGTGTTTAACTGCTCTCCTCTGTGTGATGCCTATTGCTCAGAGCAGATGGCGCTTCACCTTCAAGTTTGAAGTTCCTTTAGGGCTCTTTCAGCAATCTCAAATTCTTTGAAATAGTGTGAGATCAAAGAGAACTCGCAGTGGACTTTTGTGCGTGACGTGAGATGCCACGTCACGCCGGTTTTGCATGAAAGGCTGCCCCAGTGGAGTCACAACCAAAACTATGCTACAGAGACACTAAACCCGGTTGTTTTGACCGTTTGACGATTTGCCTTTCGAAGTCTGAGAGGTTGTCGGGCATCTAAGAAAGAGAAGTTTGTCCGATTCCTTGATTCAGCGATCATCCACAGTGCTACATATGTCTAGCACCGCAACACCGCCAAACGGAGGGTGATGAGACTGAGTCTCCAGTCTCATCGCCAAAGGTTTATGTCACTGTATCATTACTGCATAGACTTGACTCCAAACTCTAAAAGGCACTAATGCACAAGCAGATGACCTTTGTGACTCGGCAACCTAAAATATGAAGATGCATCACTGCTGCGACGTGGGCATTGTGTACATTTTGGAGGCGCGAACAATTGTGGTGCTATAGCGGCTTCAAACTTTGCGAGACCATACCCCGTGCCTTTTGATAGCCTTCTCCTCACTAGTCGTATGCAGGAGGCAGGGTACTACAGGGTGTTCAGAAGGGCTTTCTCAAACTCATGGAATCATGAAATCAGCCCAACTGTACCGGTGTTATCGAGGGACTTTTTTTTGCGGGTTAAGCCAAAAAGGCGAGATAGATACTTGATTTGCACATCTTGTAGATGAAAAATACCAAGGTTAAAATTTCTTTATTTAATGCATTGCAATCTTTTCCACTTTGACGCTGTACGTTACACAAAGCCACAAACCTCTGACAACTTCCGTCAATTTACTTAGTTTGCCAGTGACAACAATAGATTACCGCGAAAGCCACCAGAGTCAAGTAGAGTTGTGCGGCGACCTGTACTGGCTAGTTCACGTTTTTCCCACTAGGTGCTGTCCGTTTTGCTGGAGTCTCGAATAGTCGAGCGAATGCTTCGCCCGAGCGAGTCGCAATTGTTATAGTCCTTGATTATTTGAAATCTAGTCAAATGAGTTAATCAAACTGGTTGAGTGCATGTCTGAGTATTTGCGACGCATATTCATTCTGTTTAGTCCAATCGTCGGAGTGCGCAACGAATATCCATGTTCTATTTTTTCCTTTCTGCATAGTAGACCCCTAGGTCCGCGGCATTTTTTATAAATAAAGAAAGAAACAAAAGGACGGGCGTTAGCTTTTGCATCTAGAAGTTCCCCGTTTCTATAACTCTGGCATCATTTTGTGGGCTTTACGTGCCAAAAGTCTCGCGAAAGACTCGAGGGACGGGCAGCCCCTAGACGGTGACCGACTCGGCACTGAGACCCCGGAAAAGCCCACAACGCGTCGGCTGCCAATAGGAAGCTCGCTCTTCCGAATGGCTGCTGTCGGCGTCCGCACTCTGCTTTGAGGGGCGTACCTTGAACCTGGGAGGGGTGAAAGTTGCCGCTTCGCCCTCCCAGGAGAATCTGGTGCTGGGTGCCTCCAACGACTTCTCCAGCCGGGTCTGGACCATGGGCGACCAGAGGCTCAGGGTGAGTCCCCTCGCAGGCCGGCCACGTCGGCCGGGCGGCACGAGTGTCCGTCACCGGCCTAACGTGCCCGGAAAGCATCTTCGACCGGTGTGTGTCACTTGTTGCCACTCAAGGATCACTTTGAATACGCTAAACATGCCCGTCGGAGATGCGCTCCTGGCACCGTAGCTCGCTTCCCTCTGGTGACTCCCCCGCACGTGCAGCACACGCTGACGGGTCACAGCGGCAAGGTGCTGGCGGCCAAGTTCCTGGGGGAATCCAGCCGGGTGGCCTCCGGCAGCCACGACCGCACTCTCAAGATCTGGGACCTCCGGAGCCGGGCCTGTGAGTGCTGCCCCGAAAGGGAGGCCGCCCCGCCTCTTTGTGGGGGCGCTCGACATCGATTTGTGCGCGTCTCTCGACTAAGAGCGTTTTGGGAAACCTTCGTGCCCGACCAGGGGCCCTAATCTGGACACTTGGCGAAAAAGTCAGCGAGAAGTCTGGCGGCCGTGATTGGCCAACTCCGCACTTGACCTTGGTGCCGGCCATTCAGAGCTGCCGGATTTCTCGCTGACTTTTTTGCCAAGTGTCCAGATTAGGGCCCCTGGCCTCTGCCCTGCGGTGCTTAGAAGTGGCGGTGTTTGGGGGCTCGCCCAATGAAAAGCCTCAAGACGCAATCAGCAAGAACCAGAGTCGTCAAGGCGAGCTCGATTAAGGGAGGGGGGAAGATGTTCACTTTCTTTCCCAGAAGTATCGTCTCTGTCCATGGATGCTTTCTGAAACGCGGTGGTTACCGTTGCTGCGTTCTAGTGCTCCCAAGTAAGCAAAAACAGCAGTCATTCAAAGAGCACTCCGATGATCACCAGAGAAGAGGGGAAGAGGGAGCTCCCCTTTTATCAAGATTGTCTTTTGTGCCTCCCGGATTTGCACAGACGTCGCTATTCTCCTCCCAGAAGATTATAAAAGAATAACCCGTCACTCCAAATTCTTACAAAAGCAACTTCCCTCTCCTCCTCTTACATGGTGGTCAAAAGTATGCGATGTGACATCAGTGCAACCTATGTATGGTGAAGATTGTGTGTCGTCTTTTGTTCTATGTCCCGGATGTTGTAAGCCTCGGAAAATGTCCTGGCAAAAAAGACTTTGCCCGTAACTCGGAGCCCCGATTGTGCTGACCGTGCTGCAACATGGCCACTGCTGCTGTTCCACTCTTTCTTTTCCTCTTGCTTGAGGAAGGAACAGTCGATTTACACTGCGCAACAGCAGTGTGCAACAGCACTGCGGTATGACCAATTGTTCGAGCACTAGTGCCTCCCTTTTAACTACAAAACATTGAGGTTGAATTCATTTGCGTCATTCTCGTCACAAATTGACCCTTGTCTCTCGATTGTCTGTGTCGAAGTTGAAATGCATGCGTTGCGGGGAGCGCCGGTTTCACGATCTCGCAAAGAACACGAAACACTCGTGAACACTCTGAACGCAAATGTCACTCCGCGGCCGTTTGGCACTCTTTCTTCGGCAAAGAAGAATGCCGATGCACGCAGCCTGCTTATTGTGGTACGTACGAGGAAGTAGAAACAATTCCTCGTAGACTAACGAAAAGGAGGAGTGCAATTTGAGTGCTTTTCTACGACCAAAGTGATTTGAAGTGCTTGCAGTTCCCTCGATTGAGAGTGGACCATTCTCGAGAGGCTGGGGGGGCCACGCAGGTGTGCGCACCATCTTTGCGGGCTCGTCGTGCAACGACCTGGTGACGAGCGACGGTGGGGGCAGCACGGTGATCAGCGGCCACTTCGACAAGCGCATCCGCTTCTGGGACACCCGGGCGGAGAGCAGTGCCAACGAGATTGTGCTCGGAGGCCGCATCACCTCCCTGGACCTGTCCACCGACCGCTGTCTGCTGCTCTGCTGCGTGCGCGACGACTCCGTCAAGCTGCTCGACGTGCGCATGAACCAGGTGCTCAGCACCTACGGGTGAGGGCCTCCCCTCTTTGTGCGTCTGGCCTCCACCGGTGAGGACCAGTGCTCTAGCTCCACCATTGTAGTCCCCCGGGACAAGAGAGCCCTTGGGGTTTTCCTAGCCACCTTTAATGCGTAATGTTACGCGCACAAATATCGACCTATTCGGCAGAAGATGGGAGATTGCTTGCTTCAGTTCAGAAACTGTACTCTCCTAGCTGTCCCAGAGGCACGAGGAGAGGACGCCCTAAAGAGGAAAGCAGGTGCCGAGAGTGAAATGGCTGGCTGGCTTGTGTTGGCAAACCGGAGCCACAAGTCGGGTTGGAAGGACTCGCCTCGACACGGTCAGACGTAAATCTTGCTAGGCGGACCGATGAGAGCGAGGTGCGTACGAGAAAAGAGGAGTCGAGTTAGGTGTGCCACCGACGCAACCCCTATTTCTATTTTCTCGTCAAATGTGTAATTATGGACTTCTGAGGCAAATGTGTTTTTTAACTTGGCACTTTCTTGCTCAGGGGTGGTTTTCGTAACATAATTTTGCATCTTTTAATTCGTCGAAATAGTATTCATGAGCCATCTGCCAATCCTGCATTTTAGCAGTGTTTGTTGCATAAAAGAAACTGGTATTCCAATTAGAGATGTGCGAGTATCAAATTTTGGTCTGCAGATCGAATATGAATATTAAAATTTGACTGGGAATATAAATTAAAATTTTTTTGGAACATGAATATTTTACGTTTAGAGTGAATGAAGCGTGAATACTTTATTAAATTGTGGCTGGAAATCTTTTCTGGAAAGCATGCCAATGAAAAGGAAGTTTTATTGCACGAGAAATATTTCACTGCATGATCATGCTGACAAAGGAGCAGAGAATGTCTTGCACGAACCACTCTGTGGGTGATTTGTGCTGGATACCTTCTTATCTATATTTTTTTACTTATTTTCCTTTCATTGCTTTTTTTTTTATCTATCAGTGTTTTACTTTATTTTTTGTGTTTATTTTTTATTATTTTTGTTTATTTATTTTTGTTATTTACCATATTTTCGGGACTATAGGTCGCAGAAGCAAATTTGGGGTCAGAAATAAAAGATTTTACTCGGATAGTCTGCACTTAGTGCTTAATGAGAACATTATCATATACAGCACACCTTGACAAATGTCTGCTGTATTAGCTCGCAAAGAAGCTTGTATAAATCAACATTAATGTACTCTGTCATTCACAAAAGCCTTCATGTCTTATCACAGTTAACAACATAGAAAAAAAACAAATCCTTGTATAGTCCACACCTGTAGACAGTCCAGGTGTCGGCAGACTATTCGCGGCAAGTTTGGATATCACCGCCTAGTGGCGACAATACCCAAACTTCTATGCACTATGAAAAGTAAAGCATAACTGCATGGATAGCACATGCACTACCCATAGTGAGGAAAACAGAAGCACCCCTAGCGAGCTTCTCACCGCGAATAGTCCAGAAAAGACGGTAGTTATTTTTATTTATTTTATGTAATATTTTATTATTTGCATACAAAACCTGCAGCTCTTGCGGGAACGCTTGCATTCCAATAAAGAAATTTATCCTTCCAGACGAGCTGTGCCAGCAGCTCGGTGGGTTTAAAGGGCATTTTTTCTTGAGGCTTTACAGATTTGTTTCGTAAAAGCCGTGGAAGCTGCATTAGTGCGGTCTGTACAGGCGAGTTACACAGCTAGGAGGACACGATATGGCGGCTCATCGTCACAATAATTCATACCGTTAACTATAGTTCGTTGATTAACTTTTGAATTAGTGAAAATAAACATGGTTCTAATTAGAAATTGCCGAGCGTTGTTAAAAGCCACTAAATCAGTAATTTTGAGAAAGACTTTGAGGTCGCGGGGAGTGCAGTAGTATGCTAAAGTTACCACCCGTTCAACAGGCAGAAGTCTGGTGGTGAGAAAACATGGATGATAATGGCCGATTCACACAACGAAGTGATCCGCAGACGGATTGATCGCGTGACGACATGTCCGTTTGTCTCCCAAGCGCTTCCACACAAGGGAGACGACGAGCAGAGGCCAGTGAAGACGAACCAAACCTGTTCAGTGCTGCGAAACTCCAACATCGTTGTCCAAGAGAGAAGTCATCATTTGCTACCGCAATTTAACACTGCTCTTACATACAGATCGAGACAAAACACAGTGATAAGGCCCGTTCACGCTCTTGCAACCAAGTATAACCCAGAGAGACAAGACCTGTTGAAACCTCTTAAAATTTCTTCCGACGAGAGAACACACTGGCACTCTGGCGCCATCTATGCAGTGACCCTGGAACTGCATTTCCCAAGAGCAAAAGTTTCGCGGGATTTCCGAGGTCCAATGTGCGTAATACCTATAAGAAAGGCTCGTTTATAACTCCAACAAAAGTTTTTTAAGCCAAGAAAGAAAGGATAATGCGCGAGAGAAATAGAAAATATGCCGGACCGCCAAGTTTACACTGCTACCCAATAGGTGGCGCCAGTGTGTCCTCTCATTGTAAGAGATATTAAGAGGTTCCAAGGCACCCGGTTCTAAGAGGTCGCAAGTGCATGAACGGGCCTATAGGTTTTGCACCAATAGCTTTACTAACCCATTTACACAGGCGAGGTCCTGCTTGAGAAGACTTCGGCGTAGAAGCGACCAAGTTCTGGGCTCGCGGAGGTGCGTTAGGAGATGCCTTCATGCACTCCGCACTCATGTGCAACACTTATGTGCTGCACCACAGTCACAAGAAAGGTCTTGCTCGATGAAAGACTACTTGGACATGCAAGAATTTTCGCGGCGTGCTAAACAAGTTTTTATGGAAGCTTCTCGACACGGAATATAGCTCAGCTTGAAATTTTCTTTCCCAGCACTGTCCTTCAAAACCAAGGACCCCACTCCAATAATAACAATACTGTCCGAGAGCATCCAGTTAACCGATGACGCTTCAGTAGTTTCTTCTACTCCACCGCTGCAAAGCAGTACAGCTGGAGGCCCGAGCCAGGTGGTGAAGCTCGACACCAGAGTGCCAGAGGTGGACGCAAGAAACCCGACGATTCTAAAGACATTTTTTTTAATTCGACAAACGTGGAAAGTAAAAGTGCACTGCACACCGAATGGCAGACACTTTTTGCGAGTTATTGGAAGATATTTGCACACCTCTAGTTCTAGCTTGTCCGGAACAAGAAGCATATTTGCAATAAATGCCAATGGGTGCCCCACCAAGAGGGTTTCGTGGCACGCCTGAAAGTCCCTTTGTGGTCTGCCCGGCACTGCAGGGACGACAGCTTCAAGGTGGCCTTCGACTGGACGCGGGCCAAGCTGAGCCCCGACGGGAGCTACATCGCGGCGGGGTCCCAGGACGGCACCCTGTTCATCTGGAACACCGCCACGGCCAAGCTCGAAAAGAAGCTCAAGGAGATGAGGTACGCTGGCTAGGAGGTGGCCATCGGCAACCGACCGTTCTGCCGGACGTAATTTTTTCAACTATCTCTGTACTCTGTTTCACGACAACTTGGCAAACAGCGGAGGCCCCCCGTGGTGTGACGAAAGTTTTAGAGTGAGGCACGCGACGCTGTTTAAACTCGGGTATTTCATACTTCCGGTTAATTTAAACAGCTATGTTTTTAATGTATTTATAAGCCGCTTATTTCGAACGTGGTTTTCGCTTAATTCATACTTTTTTTGTTCTCGCGGCCCCGTTGAGTGCGCTTCTTTCCGAGCACAGGTGCACCGCAGAGAAGCGATACCCGCGGAGCTTACTTTCGTGAGTGTTGCTTCTCCGCAGTGCACCGGCGCTCGGAAAGAGGCACACTCAGCAGGGCTCAAGCGTGCACACATTAGCGGAAAACGGCGTTCAAATTATGTGCTTCAAGACTAGCGATGATGACCAAGACGACGTCGAGGATGAGGAACAGCTCACCGGCATTATGCTTTCTGGCCTTGAAGCACGTAAGGCCCGCTTCAGACGGGGCGATTTCGCCCAGCAAATTGACGTCGCAACACCAGCAACACGGGCCGCCCTCGTCCACACGCAGCAACGAATCGCTGCACTTTGCCACGTAAGGCCCGCTTCAGACGGGGCGATTTCGCCCAGCAAATTGACGTCGCAACACCAGCAACACGGGCCGCCCTCGTCCACACGCAGCAATGAATCGCTGCAATTTGCCATCATCATCATGAATTTTTATTTTATTGCACTATTTAGACACACAATTACACTCTATAAACATATTTTTATGCATTTAAATCACGTCACGACGACCGCCAAAGCAACTGCAGCTGTGGTCCTGGGAACCGCCATTTCCTAACTGTGCTCCTCTTGGCTTTAGCCAACTTACCATGCTTCGCGTATCCTCCTTCGAAGAGCGCAGAGACTCTGCGTACGCGCGCACTTTCCGAAAAGTAGCGCACACAAAGCGCAAATCACAGTTGGCATTTTATATGTGTGCAGTGGCGACAAAGCTATTATTTGCATTTGCAAAGCTTTTACGTACGCTATTCTAAAATTCCCTACTAAGTGGAGTGCCCTATTTCAATTGCTAAAAATTGATTTCGCTCTCGAATGAATTGCAACACATAGGGAGAACAAAACGTGTGCTCATCCGCAATAACATGTGGAGCTCCATTTGGGGCAAGGCACGAACGAACGCCCACAGACGTGCAATGCGGAAGCCACCGACATTGTCGAAACAATGCAAAGGTTTAGGCTTTGTTTCTGTTAAAATAATATGGTCAACTGTTAGAAGCAAAGGTGCGTCGGGATTACGTTCTGGCGAGAATAGCACACCGTCCCGCAGCGGTTAAAGAGGCGTTATAGCCTATGCCGAAACGAAGCACAAAGGTGGTAGGGTTAGCGTGGAAGGCCGCCCTCCACCGAGTGCCGCCTCCTTTTCGCAGCTCCGCCATCATTGCCTGCGCCTGGAGTCCCAGTGGCGATGACATCGTCAGCTCGGACCGAGACAAGAGGGTGTGCCTCTGGTCCCATTTCTAGGCAAGGCAGCTGCACCATCGGGGCACGCTCCATACCGGACCACGGACGCTCCAGTCGCCGTCCTCGTGGCAACCGGAGCTTGCGGGGGCTGCTCAGGGACGTTGACTAATTCTCCTCGCGGCGACAGGAAAGGACGTTACTGCTTCTTCGTGCGGAGTGCCGACACAAATTGCATCTTTCGCAAATAAATGAACTTTCGAACGAGCGTTTCGTTCCGACAACGTGGCGTACGCATGGCAATTTAGGCCACACGACACAAACGACCTCGGGCTTTGGAGCTTGGCCGCAGTCACGACATCTGACAAAGCCCGGTACGTACGCAGTTTAATGGTGCTACAGATTTCCCAGAAAGGCTCAAGAGCACGCTTCCTCCGCGTCGCTCGAGTCTTCCATCTCCTCGTCGCTGGTCACGTCCGGCTGCTGCGTGGCCTCCTCCTCGCAGCGCGGGCAGGTGCAGGTGAACAGGTGGCTCTCCCTGGAAGGGAGAGGTGCGTCTTGCTCACTCTACCGAGCCGGCAGTGCGGTATGTGTGCATTGTCCTCCCTCGCCCAGCCTTCGGCGCCCGGAACGCGTCTGCGATCGGTGCGTCTCATGCTTTCGATTTCTTCCCGATGCAACGTGACTCGCGACACCACAGACCGTCCAGAACCCGGCACAAAGGTGGGACAAAAGCTCCGGCAGGCGCGGGACGCCCGTAGTCTGTTACGCCGCCGTCGGAGCCGTTCCTTCCGTGGCTTCCGAGACGTCGCTTTTCGGTGGCACTCTTACGTCCGGGCGATGCACCGGTCAGACACATGTTGCAGGTGCACTAGTGAGTCCCTCCAGACAGTTGCTTCTTTTACTTACGGCCAAATCTGCCGGCAGGTTAAGTGCTTCGTGCACTCGCTAGTTACCTTGCACTCGCAATCTATCCCAAACTTCTTCACTACCGGCGGCAGATTTAGTCGTTTCCCTTTCAGCCCCTGCCCCTACCCCCTACTGCCCCCCCCCCCCCCCCCCCCCCCCCTTACCAGCCTCCAGTTTTGGGGTTGGTTTGTTGTGCCTTCACACACGCATGTGCCAAGTTTGTCTCCACCTACGTAGTGGCTCTGTGAGATCTTGGGATGCCGGGGCAAAGTGTGAAAGCAAAAACAAATTGCTCGAAAAAGTAATAGCGTGCCGGGAGGGTCAGTTCACCCAAGAGCAGCCCGATTCCCGCAAGGTTGCGTGGATCCAAAACAGTCGGGGAGGCTGGGTAACCTTGACCTCCCCTACCGTTCGTCCGCGTCCCTTCTCTCGCGAGTCGGATGCACTTTGTGGGTCGTTTCTTCAAGCTTCCAAGCACGAGGAAAAATGCCCCTCTATCTCGAGAATGACGTCGGTTGCGTAAGAGCTTACTCGCGAAGCTGGAGCGTTTGGTCGTTCGCGTCGCGAGCAGACTTTAGGGCGAGGCAAGTCTGGCCTGGTCAGTTTTGTGAAATGGGCAAGAGAAGGCATGCTCTGCGCTGGCAGTCCGGCCGCCCGCCTTTCCACTGGTCCCCGGGTGGTCGGACAGAGCGAGGAGAACGGCCGGGGCACTACGAGGGTCGTCACCTGAGCATCTTGATGCGGCTGTGCCGGCTCCTGCTCAGGCTGCACTCGTCTATGTAGGACACTGTCACCTCCTGCGGGAAAGGGACGGCGTGAGGACTGCCCCGCGACCCGGGTCCCTGGGCTGGCTCGTGCTGAGTTCGGCAAGGCTCCTAGCCATGCACGGCCGACAATCGATCGTAGAGACTGGTTTTTGTGAGCGAGATAGAGTGGAAGCCTGGCTGCCCAGTTAACCTTAAATAGTACTCCGTCGTGGGCAAGGAAGCCCGGACGTTTGTGGGACACTTGCCTCTCCCGGCCGGATGTCCCTCAAGGCCACCAGAGAAAGGGTGTGGTCGTTGTGCAGGAACCTGGCCTCTGCGTTGGGGCAGCAGCTGTGCGCACCTGCAGACAGGCCCTCGTCAGTCACCTCTGCCCGCTATGCTGGAAGAGTCGCCCCTTTTGGGGGAACGAGACCGACGTGCCACTCTAGGCTTCCTGTCTTCATTTCCTCGAGAAAATTAAAAAAAGGATGTAAAATTAATGTCACTCTCCCAAAAAGTGACACGAAGATAGGAATAACTTGCGGCACTCGTTGTTCTTGTTTTTCGGCGAGGACGGCCGTCGTCTTCGCATTGTTGGGAGTATTGCTGGGCAACACGGAACGCAAGTTCGCCCGCTTCTTTGGCAGGGGTTGTGGGGACGTTGGAACGCCAAGTGCCAATTGGCTCTGACTGAAGGATAGTGGGTAGGCCTCAAAGCAAGCTGCCTCGAGGTCTACCCGCTATCCTTCAATGAGAGCCAATTGGAAGTCAGCGTTCCGACGTCACCACAACCCCTGTAAAAGAAGCAGACGAACTTGCACTCCGCACAGGATTTGACGCCGTGCATAGTTCGCAATGCCAGTTTCTAGTCGCTAGTTTCAGAAAAAAAAATGTAACTTCACTAGGCAGCTAGTTTATAATTTCCTCAACAATGCCTATCCACCTAGAGTCCATAGAGGTGGGAGAACCTTGTCCCGCCCTAGGACGGTCGTGGGGGACTCACAGAGGCTCTGCAGTGGGTACAGGCCACAGCCTTCGTTGTTCAGGAACACTCCGGACTCTGGAAGAAGAATCCACGCTCACCAGGCACTCCCGGCAAGTGGTCCACAGTCCTCTCGCACACCATTTGCGTAAATAAGGTCGTGGCTTTAGAGCAAGAAGTCCACCATCTTCCTTCGGCCGTCTCGAATCGGCGAGAGGGGGACGGTGCCGGTGGACCCAGGCTGCTGGTGTTAAAGGGACACTGACATGGTATTCATGCTCGCCGATGTTTTTAGTTGTACATGACATATGAGAGCCCCACAACCCAGAACAGAACGAGGCTCAAATTCGGCCTCTTTCTGCCCGAAAACCACCGATCAAGAACTGGCCAGATTGAGTCGCGCTCACTCTCTTCTCCGTGGTCACGGGCTGTTTTCTAAGGTTTAGACACGACCACCAAATTTAATTAAAGTCAAAGTTTTTTGCGCGACACAAGGGACAATCACAAGCGAGTAGACACGGACAAGCACAAAACACTTCTAGACCGCATCATGAACCAACTAGGCCAACAACAAGTTTTAATTAATCAAAGTCGTAGGTCATCGAAGGCACATGCACAATATTAAAAATAGAAAAGAAATACAATACCCATTTTTTGTGGCTTCTAAAAAGCTGCAAATGCGTTTTTTGGCAAGGTAAAAGTATCACAGCCACGTGATTTTGACACCTCTCTCCTCCTCTATATTTCTTCCTCCCCAGTCCATTTTTGGTTTCAAGCTTTTGCATTTTTTTGATTTCATTAAAAATGTGACGCTGAAGCAAAATATTGATTGGGTAGTCTTCTGACACCATAATGAATCGCCTGGCAAAAAATAAAAAAAAATAAATGTGGGGGGTGTCAGTGTCGCCTTAATACAGTGAAAGAAGAGGGGAAACTTTGCACGCAAGACTGGTACCTAGTTTTTTCTCATTTCATTTGTTTTACCCTCTCACGGGGGGCTTTACATAAGGGAGGCAATATTGAACAGATGATTAAAATGGTATAGAATGAACACTAGTTTACTTTTACTACATGCAAACACAATGTATGTAGTAGCATGTGCGAGGAAACTCTCATCGTGTATTCTTTAAAGAAAGAAAAGTTGACGAGCACTTGCACGATGCGTCACAGCGAAACGAAGGTTCCTAACATATTGTCTTTCTTTTTCTGTCGCCCTTTTCCCCTTCAAAACTGCCACAATCTTTCACACTCCATTCCCGTCTTTACCGTCCATAGCTTTAGGTCAACAGTTCCCTTTGCAGAGCCTCAATCGAGGACGTCTCCATAACGTCGACCAACCGTCCCCTCCGCCATATCGTCCGGAATAGGTGGTTAATGGGTCAAGAAGAAATGGCAGTGTTTTGGATCATCTTGCTTCTCTGAGCAGACTATGCATCAAGGTGTAGTGGCTGAGACGGGCTCTGATCCGGCGAAGAAAACCGCCCACGTTCACAAAAAGGGTTCCAGTGTGACGCAGGTGCGCTGCCCAAAATGCATGTCTATCCGGGAAGTTTGGTGCTCTGTACCTCTCACGCGAAACACACTACTCTAAAATACTGAGCATGCGCCCCCGTGTCAGCACCCCCTCCCATTTTATAAAAATTTATTATTTTTGTGGCCCCCGTCTTAAATGTACCTGGCCGAGTAAGGGTCCCCTCCCCATTTTGATTGGATAATCTCTCAATTTGGAGAAGGCACTTGCTCGGTATTTTATGGTAGTTTTCAGAAGCCCTCGAAGGGACTGCCAAATGGGCATCTGTCCTGCCAAAACGCGCTTCCGACAACCGTTCGAGCCGTTCCCAATGGTGCCGTCGACATGGCGCAGACAAGACGTGACTGTCAGACACGTTTCATGCACTGCGGTTCGAAGGCACTTTTTTATCGCTGCGTCTGTGCTCTGCCAACTCAGGAAAGCGAGCTCCGCGCTTTGGCACCCCGTGCGATAGAAAGGCTGCTGAGGCATCGCCCGGGGTCAAGAGAGGGGCCGGGAGGCCTCCAGGCGTTGCGACCCAAATGCGAGACGGCGCAGATGTAACTTTACCCCTCTCTATGTCGTCGTAGATCTCCTCCACGGCCGAGTCCAGGGCAGCACGCTCGCTCGGAGGCAGCTCCAGCTCGTCGACGTTCCTTGCCCAGACGCTCAGGGCACTGCATTCGGAGATCACGGTAACGTTACCTTCGTACGTCTCGATGTAGAAGCACCCTCTAATACCGAGACCCGCAGTCCGTGCAATGGGTCACAGCACAGACGAGTCTAAAAGCTACCATATTTTCTGGGCTATAGGGGCAGGCGAGGGGGAACTCGAAGAGCCGCTGGGCCCTTGGAAACCAATTCTTAAAAGGCGAAACTTAAAAAAGTTTGCACGAGCCTGCTGCAATGATTAGATGGTGGGGCTTCACTCTTTGTTTCGGTATTAAAAAGATAAATATAACTTTCGGTACAATGTTGGCACAAATCCTTAACATTTTGGCAAAATTCAGCGGGCTAAGCACGTTGGTGCAAAGCAATTGCATCGCTGGAAGCATTCACTGTTTTCCAGAAAATGGCCCTTGAGCAGCAAACACCTGGTAACTTTGTTCTACTAACTTGAAGACAATCGTGAAATGTGAATGGGTTGCTTCTCTTTTCAATTGACCATCCTACCTACGTTTTGTTCATCTCTCGAGATTGTCCCACTACAATGCACTCAGCAGATTGAATCTGGAGAGAAGAGGGGGATAGGAGAGAGAACAACTGACGACTCGAAAAATCCCGGCATTTGCTTCGTCGACCGAATTCGCAAATTGAACAAATACTCCCCTCGGGGACATCTACACGGTCGCACAAATGTCAGTTCCCCGCAGCATGCTCTACCACGAGGGGAAGCACGCTCGGCAAAGTGAGCTTCGAAAGAAACCTGGAAATAGTTTTAGGCTTTCAGAACTATCCAAACTCTAGCGTTCAATAAAGATTCTATCAAAATTATTTCCAAGTTTCTGACAATCGCAGACATGCAATAATGAGGTGTGGACAAGTAATGTAATTTGCGGGAGTGGCATTTGTCGCTCCCGGAAAGTGCACGAAGACAAACAACGCAGTTGCGTGGTCCGCGAGACTGCCGGTATGAGGACCCACCGACCTGGTGCCGATGGATTGGCCCCTCTTGACCAGCAGGGCCACCAGCAACTCGAAGTCCTCGGGGGCCGTCCACTGCGCCGGGAAACATTCACCTGAGGAACGCACACCGCTGTGGTGCCTGCAACGCATCTCCGACCAACGTGTCCCCCCCCTCAACAGACGAAGACCGTCACTATCATGGCAGTTCTGGAAAGCCAGAGAATGCGAGCGTTACTGTCGTCCTAGCTGCCAAAGCTTCCGTCAAGCTGGAGGGCGACTCGTAGTGGAAATGCCACGTCCACCACCTCTGCTGCGACACCGCCAAGACGCGACAGTTTTTGCGGGTCCGCTTTTTACGATGCGCTAAACACGCCGGTCGGAGAAACGTTCTAGGCACCGTACAAGCCCCTCGCTTTCCGACCATGCGTCCGGCCAGCGTTGCGAAGGCCGCCCCACCTGGCCGACGCGGGGGTGTCCTTGGAACACGTCGAGGATCAGCCGGCGGAGCAGGGCCAGCCGGTCCCGCCACTCGGGGCCGAGCAGCCGGGCCAGGGTGTCCTCTCGTTCCCGGGGTCCCAGGCCGGGCGTCAGGCGTCCCAGGGCGGTTGCCAGGGCGGCCCCGTCCTCCGCCTGGGCCATTCGGGCCAGCAGGCGCACCGCCAGCAGCACGCTCGTCGTCTCCGGTGGGTGGTGCAGCTCCCTGTGGGGATGGCGGCTCTCTGCACCCTAGGGACGCCTGCCCACGCCGCCCCGGAAGAGGGCTCCCTCGCGAGATCCCCGACTAGAGCAGTTGTGTATGGCAACTGCCAGTGGACCTAGATGCACGACGCACCGACGGTGATCTCCGTATTTCGGGCCCAGAGGTTACCATGGTAACCGAGCTGGTAGTGGTGCCTGGCAGCTTCTTTATTCGTACGGGTCATTTTATCTCTCCATACTAATGGGGTACAAGTTGGTAAAAGTGAGAAAAAGAAGGGGGCGGTTGGCATACCGGCACGAGCATGTTTGAAGTCTCGAGTGCCTCACTAGCTGTAACATATGCAGATACGCACACCAATGGTTTGAACTTTGCACTACTCAAGAAGCAAGTGAAGCGGATGACAGGTACGCACTCCGAAATATCCTGACGCTACTCCAGCAATTGTCGGTCTAGTTCAGCTCTGTCGGGTTCTATATGGCGAGGAGGAACAGACGAGACTGTGCAGGGAAGAAAGCCAAGCTCCGACTGAAATGATCGGTGGGTGGACGGAAAGCTAGCGGACTTTGTCTCTATACTCGCTCTTAAAACGCTTTCGAATGCCGGCGTCCCGCGTCGTAAACCACGCGTTGCCGCCAAGGGCAGACCGACCTTGCGCTGTCTAAACACTAATGTCGAATGTGGTTTGGGTGGGAACCATAGGGGAACTCACTTCCAGGCCTCCGTGAGCCTCTCCAACGGCTGCGGAGGGTCCCTGCCAGCGGTGCACAGCACCCGGTGGTGCAGCGCCCAAGCCCGAGCCCTGCAGGCATCGCTGCAGTAGAGCACCTGCACAGGGTAAAGCACGCTGCCTCGAGGGTCCCCCTGCCAAGTCGGGAAGTACGGGAAGAAGCCGAGAGGCGAAAGGAGAAGCTTCCGAGGGGACCACCAGAAAGCGTCTGGAAGCGAGCAACTGTCACCTGGCAGGCAGGGCACGAGACGTGCTCCTGCGGCCGCGTGGAGCAGCACTGCGGCCAAGGCAGGCGGAGGCCCGGCTTGGCAGCTAGGCGCTGCACGTTCTCCTCGGCGGTCTCCAGGGGACGCAGGCAGAGGTCGCAGGCGGCGTACCTGCGGCAAAGAGCCCCATGCACATTCAGGACAGTAGGGGAACTGAGCGACGCACTCCGGTCCGAATGCTCCGGCCCACCCCTGCCATGCGTGCAGACCCGCCCCGGCAGTCGTGCGGCGCACATGCAATTTTTGCTTCCTCTTCCCCGGCTCCCAATCCACCCTTTTTGGAAGAACTGGTGCACCCTTCGGAGGCTCCATTTGAGGATTTCTCGGTATGAAGAGGAGTGGAGAAGCTTCTCTGTACTGACTTGGGGACGAAGCCACTATGAGCACAAAAGCAACGTTTCGGGAGCTCAATCCAGGTTGCCATAGCTTAACGAAGCCAACCAGACCTAACGCTCACGCTGGCTCGTACCACGTCCACGCAGCTGAGTACCGAAAAACTCAAACCGGGAATGGGTAAAATGGTGAAGGTGACGGAGACCTGCAGGCACGGTTCCAAGCGAACTGGACAGAGGCCAGGGGGCTTTCGACGAGCAGCACGTCTCCTTGGGCGTGGGCACCCCGCGAGAACAGCCGTTCGGACACCTGCGAGGAGGACGGCCCCTCACTGCAGGTCCTTGGACGCTTTCCTGGTCACAGAAATCGACTGGCACACCCCGACAGGGGTTCGGGCACGCTGGGGAGTGTTAAGAGGGGCCCCGAGCTAAAAGGTGGATGAAACGCAGGCCTTTCCCAAAACAGTAAAAAGCAACAATTAGCACCTGGCTTTGGGAAGATCTTCACCATGTACATATTTTACCAATGCAATTGTCATACAAGCATTTCAGGACGCTGGCTGATGTATATGGCGGTATTTTCTCGCAAGACGACAGTCGCTGCCCGACCTGTTGGCGCTGACCCCAAAGCGGAAAGAAGCGGCTTTTATTTCTTAAGCCGCAATTCTGTCTATCCCTGTGCGGTAACATGCAACTGTTAGTGCAAACACAACTTATTTTTGCATTTTGTTCACATACAAATAAAAACGCCACATTTTGCCACTTCTATTCGTTGCTGTTCCAGACGAGCAAGAAGCGCAACACTCTTTGTGGAAACAATTAACTATGGTGGCTGTTATCTTTTTCAATATTTTTGTTAAATTCAAAAGGCTAGCTGAGGCACACATAAGTGATAACAAAAAATGTGAAAAGGTGTCAAGTGGTGTTGGTGCTAGGAATGTCTATCAGTGTACTCCACCATGGCAGTCTCTTCGATGACAGAATCCCCAACTTTCTTGGATTAATTAATGCATCGGTTCATGCACTAAAATATGAGAATTTCATCTGAACCACAAACATTGCAAAGTTCCCTCGGGAATATTGTGGATGACAGTCATGAAATATCAATAAGTAGTAATTAAACTTTTGAAAACTTTTTTTTTTTTTCATTGAATATACGTTTACAAAATTATCAATTATTTCTGCTCTTTTTGACAAAAAATCGTAATGTTCCTAGAATTTTGATATTTCATTGAAAACGTTTTATTCAGCTGAATGTCCCAGAAAGTTTGCCATGCCCTCAGTTGAGACCAAGGTGGTTGAGACCATAGTCGCCATAGTTGGGACAGAGGGAAAACCGGCACGTTGCAATTTTTGCATGTTGGCGCCAGACATGTTCTAAGATTACCTCTTCCCAACACTGACGCGGGTGCAATGAGAAAATGCACCGTGTGGCGAAAAAACGTCTCGAAGCTAAGGCGGCTGCTGAACGGTATTTTATGCGTTGACCGGTGCTCTGATCGAGCAATAATTAAAAATGGATCTGACCGAGCCTCTGAGAAACGGCGGGCTCACGCACGTGGTGGCCCGCAACGACTCCTGTACCTTGGACCCGTCACCTTTAGAGCGAACTTCCAAATCCACTGAGCCGTCCATGACTCTCTGGCACCGGCACCGCTATCACGCACCTACACGCACGTGGAGCCACAGTTCACGCACACTGTACCAACCGTACCAACTGTACTCACGCCACCCGCACTCTGATGAGAGCTTTAAAAATGGCGTTGTTGACTTTTTTTTTTTTTTAGTCGTTTAGATGGATGAATGTTACTACGGCTATACTTTCTGTAATTGGCGGTAGCTTGCGCCACCTAAAACGCGCGCGCCCGCGCGCTTCGGGGATCTTGGAGGCCATTGGATTCTTTATTTTCTCCCTCTAAAACAGACATCACCGTTACATTCATTGTAAAAAAAAAATAAAAATGTAATGATAATTGTTTTGTTTATTTGTTGTTGTTTATAGAAACCCGCCGCCCGTTAGGGAGAGATTTAGCGCTGCCGTCTCAATTGGAGTATTCCGAGGGTTTATAATGTCCGATTTTACGCTTTGACTCTATGCGGTGGCTTCAACTGTGGTGGCTTCCGTGCTGTGCGTTTGTTGCTTAGCGGCATAGCCAGCTTATCAGACCTACGGTGTGCACGGTTGTATACCAGTTGTGTATCTTATCCGCAGCCTGCTGTACGGAGGTAGTACCACAGTGGGTAGTACCGTAGTACGGTACGGAGTACCTGCACCGCGCTGGTAGTGCTGGTAGTACTGTGGTGCTACCAAAGCTCCGTCAGTTGCCGGAGCCGCACGCTGGTTACGGCGCAATGTAAACTGGGCCCGTGAAGAGTACCACGCGAAGGGAAAGATGCTAAAGCTGGGTGATACGTTCGATTCGTTCGCCGACTGGAAAGCAGCGCTGGACGAGTTCTGCCGGGCGACCGACCAGGGCTTCAAGGTGTACACCTCCAAGTCGGTCATGAGCTACAACAAGAAGCTGCAGGCGAGCAGACTCAAGTCCAAGACCAAGGTGTCGCCGACGGATGAGCTGGACGAGAAGTGGCAGTTCGCCCACGTCCAGTACGTCTGCGTGCTGTCCAGGGGAAAGAACCGGCCCAGGGACGACGCCAATGGCAAGTGAGTGGCCGCCGCTCGCTCGCGAGCTAGTCTAGGGGGCGGCAGTTTTTCTAGAGATATGACGTGCAAGTCGACTAAAACTAGTCTCCCCGCGCATGAGTGTGGAAGCAGGAAGAAAAACAAAAAATGTAAAAATTGAAATTGATCATGTGTTTAAAATCTTTTGTTTCTTTATTTGGGGGGGGGGGGGGGGGGAGAGAGAGAGAGAGAGAGAGGGGAGGGAGTCATTTGTTGAGCTACACTGAGACAGAGGACACTATTTCGTTTTTATGCACACAGTCTGTGGGCTTGACTTGGGGAGAGAACACTAGGGTGCCTCAAGGACCATGTTAGTGTAGGAACGGTGAAGTGGCCAGATTAAGCAGAAAGAGAAGGGGCAGTTATGGCCACATCCGTTTATGCCCGCGTAAACCCGTACGCTCGCTCGTCACAGATGCCGAGCTAGTGGCGGAATTCTCTCCCAGGCTGGTGTACAAGAAGTGCCAGGCAGGGATCGGCATCAAGTATACGAAGCAGCTAGACAAGCTGCTCATCATCAAGATCAACCTGGAGCACAACCACTCTGATACGCCAGACGTGCCACCAGACGGCGGGGGAGATCTCTCCCAGGATGCTGCCGTTCAGGACGCTGCCATGCAGGATGCTGCCATGCAGGACGCTACCATGCAGGATGCTGCCGTACAGGATGCAACCATGCAGGACGCTGCCGTGCAGGATGCAGCAATGCAGGATGCGGCCACGCAGGACCCGGACGGGGAGCTGGCCAATGACGCGGACTCGTCGACGACCAGCGACAGCGAGGAGGATGACGACCCCGTGGGGGCTGGGGTGGGGGAAGAGTACCGGGCCCTGAGTGTGCGCCTGGCACGGGCACTCCCGCTTTCGCTGGGCCGGGAGGCAGATGCGGGCGAGGTGGCGGCGCTCCTTGCAGAGCTGGAGAAGCTGGAGGCATCGGATGCAGACGCGGCGGTGTCTATTGTGGTGAACCAGGGCAATGTGGTGACGGCGGTGCTGTTCCAGACAGGTCCCATGCGGCGCTCATTCCGGCAGTTCCCGGAGCTTCTGCTGCTGGACACGGGCTACGCCTTTGCCATGGCCGGGGGATTTTCCCTGGTGTCCCTGAGCGGCCACGATGCCTCCGGCCTAGGCTGCCCTTTTGCCTTTGCGGTGCTCACGCGCCCCATCCGCATGGTGCTGGGCCTGCTGCTCAGCGTCTTTGCCAGTGCCAACCCCTGCGCGTCCCAGGTGCGGGTCGTCCTGTTGGGCAAGGAGCAGCTGCGGCTCCGGGGCCTGGGACACTACTTCGAGAAGGCCGACACCACCCTGCTGTGCCACTACCACGTCATCAGGTGATGCCCGTAGCCCCTGTGCCTGTCTCGTCTGGGCTGCCCTGTCGTTGCTAGGAAGCGCGGCTGAAAGAACAGGAAGCGGTCGCAAACGAGCGTCTCGTGGAGCTGCGCTTGGTGGCGTGACCCGACTGGTGGTTCCGGTTACGGAGGTGTCCGTACTGGTTGTTGCTAATATACGCTCAGGAACCGCCAGCTTGCCAGCACGTTGTATTTGTCTGCTGGTGGAGTGTGGGCAAGCTCACGAAGACTTCTGGCTATAGGGGCTGCCATTGGCCGAGGGGTAGCTCGTTGACGCGGCGGCGAGTGTTGGACAGAAGAGCATCATTGCCACTGTAGTCTTCGACTAGACTGTTGCTCCTGCCTTTGCCCAGTCATGTGGCAAGGGAGGGATCTCCATTACTAGCACTGTCGTACAATACCAAAAAAGTAAATGCCCAACTGTCGGTGAAAAAAAAAAAAAAAAGTGCCGGCATTTCTTAGGTTTTTGCAGTGCAAAGCAAGATGTCGGAGAAGCGAAAATGGTTGCGAGAAGTATAAAGGTACAAAGAAAATGAGAACTGTAGCACCCTCAGTAGCCATCACTTAGCCTTAAGTTGAAGACCGTGAATCATTGATTAACCATGCGATTCTTCTTTTTAAAAATATGGTACCCTTGGGTATGACTCATTTATTGCTTGAATCAGAAAAATGGACTCGAGATGTTGCAAGACATGCCTCGGAAGTTAACGACGGTGAGAAAAACGAGGGCTCTATATTTGCCTCGGAAACTTAACGAAAAGCAAACTTGGAAGGCACGTACAGCTCATGAAAAAAAGGACTGAAGACCGCCCACAGCGTCTGTGGTGGGAGGCTGAGCTTCCCGCCCCTCGCAGGTCCCTGCTGTCCAAGATGGAGCAGCTAAAGCTGAGCGGGCCTGAGCAGGAGCGGCTGTGCCGTACCCTGCGGGCCATGCTGGCCTGCCTGCACGAGCGCAGCTACAGTGACAACCTGAAGCGGCTGGAGCAGATGGACGCCCGCTTTGGGCGCCACTTCCGCCGGGCCTGGCACGAGCGGCGGGACCTGTGGGCGGGCTTTCGTCGGGGGGGCATCGTACCCTGGTGCCAGGGGGTCAACGACCGCATCGAGGCGCTCGTCCAGTTCCTCCAGGTGGGTCGCGCGGGATGGCCTCAAGGGAGCCTGCGGGGGCGGCCGGCCAGCCGGCTCGTGCTTTCGCCCGGCGGGGCTTGTGCCCGGGGTTCCGTCAGCCTTGTCCCTCTCTAGTGGCGACGTCCCGGACGAGGGCGGTCAACCAGCGGCCCGTCGATCGTCGTCGCCGGAGCGGCAGTTCGGCTGCGGACACGCAGCTGCAGTGGCTCTGGCTGGGCCGTTACCGCCGCGCCGTTGGCGGCAAGATGCAGCTGTCGACCGACTCGGCGGGGGTTTAACTCTTTTCGTACCACACCCGTAGGGCTTTTATCACCCATATTCTACGGTTTCCGCACGTCGCCAAGAGCCAAATTCGGCGTGCAAGAACATGTTGCACCATCTCGTGGACGACAGTTTCGATTTCGGTTTGCGCTTTCTCTCAAGTTTGTGAGCTATCAGAAATAGAACTCTAAACAGCAATGGCACCCATCAAACAAAGTATCATTTTGGCATTGAGGACCGGTACAATGATGGCCTTTGCTGCTTGTGTTTTTAATGACGGCATCAGTGAGGACTGAACGATGTTGAATCGGACAGGTGCTCGCTGGAGAGCGTCTTTTTAGCTTTCTTGGTTGTCGCGAGCCCAAGCACGCATTTTATGTGTGCCGTGGGCCATAAAGACAGAAGCAGAGAAGTTGGAGCAGTGCTACAAACCAAGATCTCCTACAAAGACAAAAAAAAAAAATCTGTTTGCAGGGCATGCAAAAACTTGTGTAAATGGCATGATGCCACAAAAGCACCTTTGCCGATGGGCCAAAAAAGATTGCATTGGCTAAGGCTCCTAACTTACAGAAGTGATAGCAGTGAATATGGGGCACGCATCATATATTTAGGATTTTTAAAAATCCTAGTATGAATTGATATAGCTGCAAATATTTAATCTTTTTGTTCTAATTTTTGTGCAAATTCCAAGTTGAGCATTTAAATCTGACAAACTATTTTGAGACATTAGCATAAACCTTTTGTTTTGTCTTAGGGCTGCCAGCTTTCCTCGAAAGAAAAAACGGGCCATGCAGGGGAGGGGGTAATCATGTGGTACTAAACTGGAAAATTTATTTATTTATTTATTTAATCGTTATCTACATTATTGTAGGGGGGTAACTTACATGTTAACACAACAAATACACAAATGGAGATGCAAAAAATGTCAATGCATGGTGACATCTGCGACAAGTAATACAATGCGCAATCACACACACAAAAAAAAAACATTTGAACACAACATACACGTATCTACTGTAAGCTGCTAACATCAGCAGAATGCAAAACATTACATTAGTCATGGATCATTCTCGTGTAAGTAACGACTTAAAAGACTTGTTGACAGTTAAAAGCGTGTTGACAGTCAATATACAAATTCAATTAATTTTGACGCGAGCTTCCCAAAGTGAAATCAATTAACATAGATATAATAATACAATAGCACATGTAAGTGCACAAACACACCACACTGAGCTCAATAGGCATGCATAAATATCTATATTATTTAGTGAAAAGTAGAGCGCCAAAATAAAATCCCGCATTTTTACTCATTCTGTGCAGCAGGGACGAGTAAGCACTGTCAATCTGTTTCTATTGTACACCGCTTTTGAGACACAGACACGCAGGCCACAATTTTGCTACAGATGTCAGCTTTTCCCGGAAAGCTGACATCCTCAGTAATGCCAGATAAAATAAAATTAACCCGAGTTTGAAAGCAGTGAAGCAAAAACATTTTTAACATTATCTGGACACGCGTGATTGAAATGAAAACAAGCGGAAATGTGGGAAAGAAAGTGGAAATGCTGCGGCCGCTCGCCTCCGTGAAGGGAAGATAGAACCACGCGTATCTGTCAGGATGCCAATTCCTAAAAGTCGTAAAGCCATAAAACTGTTAAAAGTATGCGCTTGGGTAGTTGAAGAATTCGGCAGTGACGGCCAGTTATAGATACGGACCGGCAACTAGCATGCTATCCAAACAGCCGGTCGAAAACCTGGCAGGCGGCAACCTTACTTCCTCTAAGGAAAAGCTTATTCGCTTTGATGTATCATACTTAGCCCTAGGTGGTGGTTAAAATAAAGAAACTGTGTGGGCGCAGGCGGTGTGCGGCCAGTCGCGCAGCCTGTGCGAGGTGGTGTGCAACCTGGCGTATGGCGCGCACGGGGTGCTGGCCCGCACCTCGACGGACGCTATGCTGGACGAGATCCGGGAGTACAACGTGCACCTGCTCCAGCACGAGGCCCGGCTGTTGGCGGCCTGCTGCGACTACGCCGCCCTGCACGTCCTTGTCCAGCTCCGCATCTCCCGCAGCCACAAGTTCTCCGCTGTGCAGACGGACCAGTGCTACGTGGTGGGTGGCGCCCCGCCCTTGCTCGGGGACCTGTCCAGATTCGTGGGCTGTTGCAATGATGGATCGAAAGGACGGACCGCCTTCTCGATCTTGCCAATTGGCAGGTTCGAGAGGATGGGGCGGTGTGTTGGGTGCGGCTCCGCGAAGGAAGGGTGTGGCTGGCCAGTTTTTACTCGGCCATAACGCAGCTGCGTTCGGTAGCCGTCTGGAGTTATTCGGCTAGGAAGGACCATGAGCCGCCGGTCCGAGAGTGCGTTCCCAAGACCTACGTGCTCGGGAGCTTTCTTTCAATAAGACCTTGGATGAGTTAAAGGGACCATGACATTCCCTTTTTACTTTTGCCAAGTAACTTTTACATTAAACATGTAATGTTCACTGAATGCCAAACAGGCATCCGTTTTCGTTTCGGTTTATTAACTTCTACACAAAAACAATTAATGAAATATTGACTTCTTCCGCTTCAACTCATCGCAAAACAAGCTGCGGCATAATTTTGACGGTCGTGACGCCCGCCGGCATCGGAACCGGAAGTTGTCTCGGCAGTAGGAAGATTGGAGCGTTAGCGGCGGCGGGTTGGCAGTGTGCTGGTAGGTTTTACTGCGCTGATGCCACCGACATGATTTCTGAATCGTCGCCTCTCATCGCTGCAGAAACTGTAATTCGGTTTTCGGTACGCTGCAGCCTTTTGGCATAGCAACCCAGCGATCGATCACAAACATTGTAAACACTACTCGAGCAGCCAGAAATGAAAGTCTGCTCTGCGAAGAAAGCGCGACCAGGAGCAAACCCGTTCAGCAGACGACGCTCGTGTATTGACTGCGCAGGCGCAGTTGGGTCATTCTGTTGCTTCTTTTGCCGCACAATAGATGGCGCTTTTCTCTGAGCATTATTGAATTCGGCAATTTTCGTCACATCTCTAATTATGCTACAAAATGTGGATCTGAATATTATTTAACAAAATTTTTAGGAAACATTCGCCGACTATTTATTGTTTATGATCACAGTGCTGGTGAAGTAGGCTCTTGCTCAATTGGCGACATAGATTTGGCTGACGTGCTGCGGTTCCGCGGATGCATCGCAGTGAAAAGGCAGAGAGCTTTCGAAGGAAAGAAGGTCCAAACGAGTCCAGTTTTCTTTGAAAAGTTCTATAGCGAAGAATTTTAGGGGCGAAGCTCCTTAGGGGCTAGCCATGTCCGTCCGATGTCCGGCATCGGGAGCTCGTGCTCACGAGCACGTGAGCATGTGCTCCCGTGCTCGTGTAGGGCAAAAAAAAACAACTCATCTCCACGTGGTGAATGATGTTGATTGGGGCGAAGCTCTGGTGGTGCTTGTCTGCGTAGACGGTGAGCCGCAGCATGCCAAGCCTTTCGTTCGTTTTCATCCATGTCAGAAAGAGAATGTGTGGTATGGAACGTGGTTAAATACGCATTTGAGCATTTGACCGCAGCGCGACATGGATGAAAACGAACGAAAGGCTCGGCATGGTGCTGCTCAGCGTCTACGCAGACAAGCACCACCAGAGCTTCGCCCCAATCAACATCATTCACCACGTGGAGATGCGGGGGATTTTCTTTTTTTTTTTGGCTCTATTTTTGGGTTTTGGAGTTTCTTTTTACACCTTTTACGACGTGCGGTGGATGAAGTTCGATTTCAAAATCGTTTCATGGTCCCTTAACACGCCGCCGTGGGAGGTGGTGCTCTAGTGGACGACGGAGTGTTTTACCGCGCATTCTGTGCTTCGGGGACTACTCGAAATTTCTATGTTCCCTTTAAAAATGCAGCACCAAAGAGTCGAGCTTGCGTCATGCAACGACCCAATCACATTTTGTTACCGCACGTTTTACCGGAGAGGCGTGAAAATGTACAATAAATTGAATTTGAGAAAAAACACTATTTTTTTTGTAACTCGCATAATTGACTCGGGTTATTACGTGAGTATGTAGTTCTAAGGAAGTGCAAAAGTCAAGTTTGCCAAGAACGTGCCTTTCTGAATTGTGCGGGTCGGAAGCCAAATTTCTGTCGACGTACGGCAACCCGTCTTGCTGCGGGCATGCTTTTTTGAAATGGCGCCCCTGGCATTGCTCATCAAGTCCGGAAAAAAGTGGAAGTCACGTGCCAAAATGTCATGTGACTTCACCGAAACGTCACGCGACGTTCCGGTGAAGTGATGTTTCAGCGCGGTGCATTATGGGAAGTTTCCCATAACGCACCGCACGGTTACGTTGACACCGGGGACGTCTGGCCGGGCCTTTTTTTTTCGAGAGACTGAGCAGTTGGACGTCGCAGGTGAACTCCGCGGCCGGGCGCGGCGTGGTTGGCCCCGGCAGCTACACCTGCACCTGCGCGTTCCGGCAGACGTACGGGCTGCCCTGCGTTCACGCCTTTGTGCTGGCCCACGCCCGGGGCACTACCATTCCCCTGGAGGCGGTGGACCAACGCTGGCGCAGGTGGGTGAATCGTAGTCCAGCCTTCCGGGCTCGCCACGAAGGTCCCTTTGGGTGCAGGTGCGGCCCCTTCCCCGTGGACCTCGGCCGGGCGGCCTCGGGCCCGGACGGCGGCGGGGCAGAGGAGGCCCAGGCAGAGCACCGGGAGCGCCTCTCGAGGGTGCGGGACCTGGTGGACTCGCTCACCTCCCTGGTGGTCACCAGTCCCCCCGACGACTTTGCCCACATGGCCGCCCTGCTCGGGGAGCTGTACCGCACCTGGGCCCAGGACACCCGCCTGCAGGTCTCCCTCTGTCGTGAGTGCCGCCCCAGAAGCCCCGGCTGAGAGGCCCTGTGCCGTTTGTCTCCCCGTTCGATGGCTCCCGCCATTTTCTTGTTGGAAATTCCCAACACTCGCTCGTAACTTTTGAATCTGACGACGGCAAGCTTTAAACCTTAGACGTCTGTTCTGGGCCGCCAGCGCCGGAATTTTGGCGGAGACTTTAAAGTTTGACGATGCATAGTTAATTTTTGCAGTAAAAAAAAAAGTGAAAGCCGTTTACAACTCCCTGTAACGCCGAATTGGAGCGCAGCTTTTGAGGAGGAGGAGTGAAGGGTACTGAGGGGAGGGTAGACCCCTCCTCCTCCTCCCCTCACTCTTTAATATGCTCCGGGGGGGGGGGGGGGGGGTGTCACGCGACCTCGGGGAGGCGTGACCTGGGGGGTCACTGGGGGTCACCTTGGGGGTCATGTGACCTTGAGGTGATCTTGGGAGGGGTCACGTGACCTTGGGAAGGGGACCACGTGACCTTGGGATGACCTCTGGGGTCACGTGGAGGACACCTTGGGGGTCACATGACTTTGAGGTGACTTGGGGGGGGTCACATGACCTGGAGGGGTCACGTGACCTTGGGATGACCTTGGTTACGCCGATGGCGACGCCGCTCAAGCCGGAAACGGGCGCCTAAGAGCTGCGCTCTAAAAAACGTGGTTTTCTTTTTTTGAACATTTATTCGTGGCATTAGTACAATATTTAGGATACAGCAATTGCTCGTTATAATGAAGTTAACGGGACGGAAATAATATTTGCTGTGAGCGGTAATTCAGTTTTTTTTTATTTAATTTACCTCAAAGCGCCCTTTCGGGCATTGTATGAGGGGGGGAGTACAAGGTTTTCGACAAAAATATTGAAACGATACATATCGTACATATTTGCTTAATAAACAAGAAACAATGCAATGCACCCACTCGAAAGGAATACACTTTTACACAAACAGGAAACAACGTGCCAACCAGGCTACAAAAAGAGAGAGAAAAGACCATATTTGCACATGAAAAACAAGAAAGACACCATCCCGCGGTTCATTCCATGGAAAAGTGAAACAAACGTTCACATGATGACTTGAATTCAGTTTTATCTATGATATCTACAACGTGGTGGGGCAAAGAGTTCCATTCTGCAATGGCAAGCTGTAATGGTGAGTTGCGAAACTGGTTAGTGCGACAATTTGATAAACGAATTTTGTGAGGGTGATCATGTCTGGGAAAGATGCGATGAGGGGGAGGTAATAAGAGTTCCTTAAGGCTAACATTATAGTAATAAATATTGTGAATGAAGGTAAGACGGGAGACTTTGCGCCTGACTTTTAATAAAGGTAAATTAGCCCTTTGTTTCAGTGCCGAAACGCTCGTGTAAGGTGAATAGTCACTAAATATGAAGCGCGCGGCTTTGTTTTGAATTCTTTCAATTTGGTCAATCAGGTAGTCCTGGTGGGGAGACCATATGATGCTGGCGTATTCGAGCTGCGATCTGACAAAGGACTTAAAAGCTAGCAAACGAGTTTCAGGGGGAGCTAAATACAACTTCCGCCTGATGAATCCTAAAGAATGATTTGCTTTCCCAACTAAGTAGTTAATATGGTCATGCCAATTAAGACTATCGGAAATAAAAACACCCAGATACTTATATTTATTTACCTTTTCCAGAGGGACACCGTTGATAGAGTAGCTGAAATTAATTGATGTTTTCTTTGTTGTCACGGTCATATATTTGGTTTTATCTATGTTAATTCGCATTTGCCACTTGTCGCACCACGAAGCAATAGAGCTCAGATCGGTTTGAAGTGTCGAGGTGTCGTCTATATGTACTATCTTTTTATACAATACACAATCGTCTGCGAAGAGTCGAATTGATGAGGAAATGCTAACAGGGAGATCGTTTATATATATAAGGAAGAGAAGGGGTCCCAGGACAGAGCCCTGGGGCACGCCAGACTTAACATCAGTGGACGATGACAACTGATCAGAAATTACAACGGATTGAGTTCTGTTCGTAAGGAATTGTCTAATCCAAAATATCAGTGAGGGGTCTATATTCAACGTTTCAAGTTTTTGTAATAACCGCTGATGCGGTACACAATCAAAAGCCCGGGAAAAGTCTAGAAATATCAAGTCGGTCTGTTGGAGCGAATGAACGTTATCATAAAGATCGGTTACAAGCTCGAAAAGTTGAGTCTCACACGATTTGCCTTTTCTGAAGCCGTGTTGTCCCTCAAAAAGAATGTTGTTCTCCATGACAAAATTAATAATGTGACTATATAGGATATGCTCTAATATTTTACAAGGGATGCTCGTTAACGATATAGGCCTGTAGTTATTTAAGCATGACGTGTCACCAGACTTGTGAACCGGAATTATTTTTGCATGCTTCCAATCACTCGGCAAATGCCCATCTTCGAGGGATTGCTGGTACAATAAAGCTAGTATGTCGCTAGAGAACGGCTGCGTAAGTTTCAATAGTTTAGTGTTAATGCCATCTATGCCTGGCGAGGAACGATAAGGAAGGTCTTCGATGAGTTTACTTACACCACGTGAACAAACAGTGATCTTTTCCAAGAAAGCGTGGTCATAGGTCAATTCACAAGAAGGTAACGGAAACGATTCGTTGGTAAAAACTTCACTAAAACATTCATTAAAATTGTTGGCAGTTTCAAGGTCAGTGCATCTATTTCCCTCCGCATCCGTAAAGTTAAGATCACAACTTGTTTTCGGTGGATTTATGCAACTCCAGAATTTTTTTTGATTTGACTTCAGAAGGCCATTTAGGTCATCTCTGTAGAATGTTGTTTTCGCTTTTTTAATTTCGGAAGCACATATAGATGAATGGGAATTATACAAGTCCCAAGACAAATTCGTGTTCCTTTCCACAGCCCTGTTGTACAAGCGTTTCTTTTTGTTCAAAAGAGACTTAAGATTTTTAGAAAACCACGGACGTAAAGGGTTGTTCGGAATTTTGATTGTTGGAAAGAAGTTTCTGAGGATATAATTCAGCTGATTTTTAAATGCGATCCAGTTTTCTTCAACAGACCGTAGGCGGAACGACCGCTCAAAGTCATCAAAAAAGATCCTCATAGTTGTGCTTATTTCATCAGTTTTTGCCTTTGAGTAGTCGTGGATTTCTTTAAACTGGTTACGGGGGTGCTGAGTTGTCATTTCGACTTCGACTAAAACCATTTTATGATCACTAATTTCTTCAAGAACATTTACGCGCTTAATTAAGTCAGGGGCAGTCGTGAAAAATAGATCTAGAATAGAGGTACCTCGGGTAGGTTCAAGAACAACTTGAGAGAGGAAAAGTGATTTAAAAACATTCAAAAACTCTAAACACTCGGAAACATGTCTGCAGTCAGGTATTGGTTCACAAGAAATCCAGTCAATTCCTGGGTAATTAAAATCTCCTCCAAGAAACACGGGACATCCGGGGTAACGAGAAATAACGTCATCGAGGCTAATACAAAGATCCTGGACAAAATCAGCGGTAACATGAGGCGGCTTGTAGCATACACCAACCAAGACATAAAAAAACGAAAACTTAACGCGAACCCAGAGCATTTCGAGTTCGGTTTTTAATTCGACAGGGACAGAGTGGAAACATTTTTTAACAGCGATAAGCACCCCTCCACCCTTTGAGTGCAACCGGTCTTTCCGATAAACCAGATAATCTTTATCAATAACAAGTTCACAGTTATCGATTTCACTGGAAAGCCAGGTTTCCGTTCCAAGTATGACATGCGGATTACAGATGTCGATCGAACACAAAAGGTCATCTTGCTTCGAAACAAGACTCCTAAAATTAGCAACAAGAAAAGACACAGTTCCGGAAAGGCGCTTCTTTGCGCGACGTCATGATTCAGTTGGTGTGGACATAAAGTTTCTTCTTTCTTGTTCGATCACATCACCTGATTCGGCATTGTAAAAGAACATACGGTCGCCAACGAAAAGCTTGTCAAAAACGAGGCGCACACGCGTCTGGGACGAACGGAGGGGCCTACCGTATTCCCATACCATTTTTCGAGCATGACGAATGTTAGGTGAATAGTCTTCGTCTATCCAAACACGTAAGTTCTCAAGTTGTTTCAGCTTTGACGCATTTTCAAGGATTTCCTGTTTCTTTTTAAAGCTACGGAAGTTAACAATGATCGGACGAGGGTAGTCCCCCCGCCTTCCTCCCAGACGGTGAGCGCGCTCAATTTCTCCGGCCTCAATTCCAAGGTGCGTTTGAATAAAGTTCTTCACAATTTGCTCGGACCTGTTCCACGATTCTTTGTCTTCTTCTGGAAGACCTTTAAATATCAGGTTATTCCGGCGTTGTCGGTTATCCAGCGCGTCCAAACTAGTTGGTATACTACTTAGGTGGTTACAGGTAGCGGATATCGCTTTTACTTCATTTTGCAGAGTAGCTATTTTTGCTTGGACATCGACAACGTCGTTCTGAACCCGTACCAAATCCTCTAGCCTTTTTTCTAAATGAGTCACTCTTTCATTCAGATCTTTCACCCCATCTGCAATGATAGAGAGTTTTGTTGCGTTTTCCCGTTGGTATTGCTCAGTAGACTGAACAAGTTTTTCAAGCGTGCTCTGAAGTTTATCCAAGTCCCCGGGGCCGGGGTTCAACTCCACATCACCGGCAAGGATCAAGACATTGCACAGACACAAAGCCAATAACAATACGTGAGCTCTAGGGACAAACGCTAACGCCCGCGGAACAAAGAGATAGCGTCGACTTGAGCCGTGCGAGAAGGAGTAGGAAAAACATCCTATGTGAGCGCGATAAACGGACAGGTCAACACCCATGCCGCGAAGGCAGGAAACACAGGGGATCTGCAGCCTTACTTTACAGTGTGACTAACTAGAATAGTAGGACAGAGTTCTCACCTGCAAGGTCAGACAGGAAAGGTTTAGCCGCTCAGCCTACCAGGCCGCAAATCCCAGTGAACTATGGTGCGATAGGGCCAAAAAAAACAGTGCCAGCAGCCTTGAAGGTAGACAGGAACAGTACGGTACACTTTTACTGCATATTTAATCAAACAAACCTTGGTTATGAACATCTTGCGGCAGCTTTACCGAGTTAAAAAATAATTAAGTGGAGTTTGCCGATAATTTTATCCGGGCATCAGTTCTCCTTGAACTACTCCAGGCATCGCAACAGCACAGTCACCGCCGCTGCACTCCACTTTGTTTCGACGCAGCAGTACAATGTTTTGCGTCTGCGCAGTCGTTGGCGTTTCCTGAGGTGCTTCTTTGACGTTGCTTCTCATTTACACTGGCCGCACGCAAGATCTATGATCGTAGCATCCGTGGCTGGAGCAGCAATGTGAGCGTCTGCATTGACAAGCGCAAACAAATTAAAGTTATCCTCGGTGGCTTTGCTAACATGTTTTCACACACTCCTGGAGTAATTGTAGCAGCTCTAAGAATCGTGTGCCGGCTCGGCAAGCATGCTTGCGAGAGAAAATCCGACGGTTGCAAAGCAGTTGGCAATCTTTCATCTTTGGGTCACTGGTGCACTTTCCCTAGCATGAGAAACTTCTCGAACCCGTCCAATACCTTGCTTGTCCTGCAAAATGGTGGGCAGTGTCGAACAGCTGATGCTGGAATGTCGAATTGTTTGGCGCATTCAGATTTGGGGCGGCCACTTTTCTCAACCTCGCAGATTTAAGAGACTTTCGGTAAACACTCCCAATCTCAAATGCGGCGCACGTCTGCATGTAGCATACATCCTCAAGGCTCAGTCGCTCCCTTGACCTCATTCCGACAGAAGTCGGACAGTGTCGGCCGCGGGCACCACGAGTAGCGTCGGAACATGGACGCTGTGCTGCTGCTCCCTGCCCGCGTTTGTGCATCGGAAGAGGAAGTGACGGTCTGTCGCTCTGCCCTCATTCACCCGTCTACTCCGTTTTCTTTTTTGCCGTTTTTCCAGTTTGCTGTTTGCCTTGGTGCAGAAGGGGGAGGGAACGCAAGGGTCTCCGTGTGCCCCTGTGTAAACTTGCATGCGTTCGGCACTGCGGCTGTTGTAATAAGCGTGGTCGGTCGCCCATGCATTTTGGTCGGGACCACATTGAACTTTGATAATAGCGATAATGTGAAAAAAGCAATTTCGCTTTAACGAGGGATTACTGTAATCGATGAGCGACGCGTTGGGAGGTCCCATATCCTTGTCGCAATGAACCTTTTTCCAGTAAGGAGTGCCTCACGACGGTTTCGCCGCCTACTACAAATGGAGGGCAACCGGACTCGCCTTCTCCCATAGGAACAGATTAGTGTTGCAAGAAAACAGTGCCCCCCAAGAATGGCGAAAGGGCGGTCAAGGTCAAGAGAAAAGGGTGTGCGCGTGCGCAGATGCTTACTGGAAAAAGGTCCATTATGCGATCATGTTTTGGCTGTACCCTGGGAAGGTTGCTACGGCCCGTACTAAAGGCACTTTTCGTGATGTCAGCGAAACGGCCACAACCGAATCTTGGCTAGTTTCTTTTTTGGGAGAAATAGCTACCACCATGATAGTCTTCTATTGGAAAGATTCAAGCAAATCGAGCCACCTCGTAGTGCGGTCTAACGTGCAAGGACCCCGCCACGTACGTATGGACGGGGCCTCCTTGAGGGAACGCGTTTGCAGCCTACGGCGGGTTGGAGAGTGGGTGCTGCGTTGCAAGCCCCGCGAGGGGGATTCTGTTTAAACAAGATGCCTGGAATGCGTTTTTGACTGGCGCGTTTACCGCATCCTCGTTTGTGGTCGCTCGATTTCTGCTTGACGACGTCCCGGAAGTGTCACGCGATCTTGGCGGTGGTTCTGCGGGAAGGCGGCATTTAACGGTGCAATGTGTACATTGGCCCCTGTGACGCAATTAGCCACTTTGGATCCACTTTTAATGCGTGGGCGGATGGGACGCCAATGCACCGGTCGAAGAAACGTTCCAGGCACCTTAGCGACCCCGCAACCGGCGTAAGGGGCAGAAGCGCAGCAGGTCTGTGTGCTGAGCCTCCTCTGGTCCTCTGCTTCCAGCCAAAGTCAAGGAGGAGCTCCTGGACCTGGACCTCTCGCACAAGGACGTGGCGTCAGGTGGGTGCCAAGGGTGCCTCGAGGGTGGGGGGGGGGGGGGTTACGTTTTTAACCTTTAAAATACTGGTTTCTGATGTTAGGACGCACATGGACTTTTAGGAAGATGGGAAAAGTTAGGAATGTTGGATGTGCAACGAACAGCATACAAGCTGTGTTTATCATTTTAGACAAAACCCTGAGACTGGGGGGAAGGAACGACAACACAACACAAAGTCTGAAACACAGCTGAAATTTATTGGACAGAAGGTTGTGGTTTCATAGGGTACAAGTGCCCCCAAAACCAAAAGGAAGGAAAAAGGGAGAGGTTGAACTTCTCTTTCCCGAACGTACAAGAGAAGGAGGACATTGACCAATAGCACACCGGTATTTTTCTAAAGGGGGGAGGGGGAAGATTTCTTATTATACCTCGGCGAGGTCCTGATACACATCACAAAAAACACTTCTGCGGGATGGTGACATATTGGAGGAAAGCCCCAACAAGGACAAAGGCAAATAACCCCCAACATTCGTCACACCCGAAACAAAGGGGGCAGGGGTGAAACTAAAACTTAAACAAACAAAATCCTACACAGATATAAAGATGACCTCCAAGCAATCAAATTTGTAGAAATCTTTTCATTTCCGTATAAATCCACAATCTTCTGTCCAATAAATTTCCGCTGTGTTTGAAACTTTGTGTTGTGTTGTCCTTCTTTACCCCCATTCTCGGGGATTTATCTAAAATGTTAAGCCTTCACCAACTTGTTTGCGCCCTAACTTTTTTTGTTAGGTGTATTTATTTTTATGCAGATACATAAAAACCGTATAATGACAATACCTGAAAAAAAAAGTTTTGGCACAAACTATTTGTAAGCTACAAACCTAATTGTTATAATTGCGAGGAGTACTTTAAAGGAATTGTCAGTCAGTGTTTCACCTAGCTCGTTACATCACGGGAAAGGTCAAATGAAAATCGTGTCATTCAGAATGCACCGCATCATTTGTCACTTGAGCAGTGGACTGCGCAAATTACTGGTCGATCTTCTGTTGTTGAGGTAGAAAATATTGGAGAACCACACTCCACAAACACACAGTTACCGTGTTGCCTACTCCACATTTCGTCGTAACCGCTGCTTGTACTACACAGTACGATGGTAACCGCACGACTGCACGGCGTCCATTTGCAATCTATGGCACTGTCGCGTCCTCGCGCAGACCTTTGCCGAATTTTCCTTCAAAAGTTTGGCGTGTGGCGAATCTGAAGTTCGGCAGATTCGGTCCATCACTACTCGCCACGATGCGTGAAAGGCGTATCGCTGGAGCTTTTTTATTGGGTTTGGGATCGAGGCTTCCTCTGTAAATGGCGCTAATCCATACTTTGCTTCGGATAGATGATGTTACAATACCAAGTCAGAATATGGTGTTTTTATAAACTTTTCTAAATTTTGGTTATTTCAAAGAGTGGTCTCGCTTCAGCGAAATGTATCAAACTTCGTATGTTTCATGCTGCATCGGTTTGAAAGCTATAGTAAATTTCTTTGGGACGTGTAAATCTTGGGAGTTTGCATAACTACTACTATTACTACCCAGCTTAAAGGTGCCTCTTGTTAAGGAGGTCTCGTAAAAGCAGTTGTGGGTTTTAAAACATCTGTCAACAAAGCTGCATTAAAACTAGCCAACACGCAAATGCTTGTACAAAGGAGTGCCTTGCACGAATGCCATAAGAAGACGCATCTACACTGCAGCTTATTGCGTCCGTTTTTAAATGTAAGAATATATTCTAAATTACTCTGGATTACCGCATATCATGCAGATTAAAAATAGAATCCCAACGCATTTTTTCCTTAATTAATGTGGGGAGGTTTTGGTTGTTGCCCCTAGTCTAGAAAAGAACCGATGGGGAATAACTGCTCGTAGTCCCTCGCCCGAGAACAAATGCCGACCGCCGCTTCCCCTCGCAGGTCTGGAGGGCAGCCACGCCGTGCTGTCGGACGATGACGCCGACATGGTGCGGGACGGCATCGACGTGTTTGCAGGTGAGGCCCCCTTCCGTCTCTCTGTCCCCCTAGTTCGAAGTTTGTTTTGTGCCCGCACCACCTCGTGGGGGACTGCGAGCTATATTTTGCTAGTTTTTTCAGTTCATTTTTAGGATCGTTGACACGTGAGAACCTTCACGACCACTGCTGGGCGCTCGACGGCGGCAAACAATTATTAAAGGAGAAAACTTGTAAGGCAGGGAGCTCGGCGGTGTCCGGCGTGAACCGCACTCCCAAAGGAAACCACCGTAGTGGCTGACAAGGCGAGACCGGCGTCTCTCGAGGCTCTTGAGAAGCGTTATTGCCAGAGGCGACCGGGGACTCTCGTCCGGTGGGCGACTACGGCAACGTACAGATTCCCTCGTTGCGGTCCTTGGGGCACCCGTAAGAGGACCTGGCAGTTGGGGACGAAGAACGGCCTCCCGTGTGCGGTTTCGGCCCACTCTCGGGGGAGGGCAGTCTTTCTTTCTCCGTCGCGTCTGCGTTGCTCTTGCTTGGAGGGCCCACCGCAGCATCAACGCGAGCATGTTAAATACGCAACAGAATCTGTTTCGATGGACCAATCCACTCGTTGGCTCTCGGCCAAACTTTAGGAAATACTATGCGGACGTGCCGGACTTGGGACGTTGGGGTCGAGCTCGCAGTGGGCATCCCGGGTCTCAGAGCGGACGGCCTTGCAGGGTCGGAGAAGCGCGAGGAGCCCCCCGCGCCCCTGGTCAAGCTGCCGGACGAGGCGGTGTTCGGCTTCTCGGGGGGCATGTTCAAGGAGGAGGGGGCGAGGGGTGGGGAGGAGGTGTATGGCCTGCACTCGGGGGACCTGGCCTGCTTCACCACCTCCATCGGCACCAACGCGGGACCCGGCCCAGGGGACGGGCGCCACCTGGGCGACCTCTTCGGCTACGGCTCGGCCGCCGACTTCCCCAGGGGCCGGGACAGCCCCGTCCTGCTCAGCATTAAGGACGACGAGCTCGGAGACGGTAAGTGCTTTGCCGCACGCGCGCGATCGTGGTGCGAGGCTGTGAGTTTGTGGAAAACTGACGACCTCGTGCTTCGGTTAACCGTCGAAGGTAGACCGACCCGGTGCACGAAGCGCATTGCGCATCGGCCAGTGGTTGGGAAACGTCATATCCCGGCACCCGGGCTTCCGAGAGTGCGGGCCTGAGACTTGAAACTCGTTGTTCGCCGTTAAAACTATTATCTGCTTCTCGGTGTCGAGCTTGAGGCCTTGTCCAAGATACGTAACCGAGCTTATCGGCATCGGGAGCTGAGCGGTGTCACGCAGCGAGCTCTCTGTTCGACCACAGAGCTTTAGGGCAGACGTTGGCATTGTTTTAGCCAGAATCCCACGGTAGCCGAGGAGGGCACTTGGTGGCGCTCCTCGAGTAGTGACTGCCGCGTGGCCATAAAGACTGTTTCCATCGGTCGAGACAGAGTCGAGAGGGGGTTCATGCAGCAGGGTCGGTAGCTTCCGGTCGAATGCGCCAGACCTCGAACTGCCCTCGCCCGTCGAGCCAGCCGGCAAGTCGAGCTGGCCCGTTTTGTAGGCCTCAAAAATTAGAGTCTGAGATTTCATAAACCTTCCTCGAATGTTTGGTGCTCGTTTGGCGACGCGCACCGAACGAGCTGTACCCGTGAGAAACTGCCGGAGGCATTCGAACTGTTGCACGCCGCCGCTCCTCGAAAGCATGCCAGCCGGACGGAAGGACAGGGACGTGGGAAAGGCCTAGGCAGAGGTCGTGCCCCTGCCAAAGTGCGGGAGCGGGTTCTGAGCTGCGTCTCCCCGGGGTCCTCGCAGGTTCCAAGGAAGTGGCCCGCATCAAATGTGAGTTGCGGGAGCCCCCTTTTTTCGGGCACTGGCACGGTGCCATCCTCTCTCCAGGGGACAACGAGGAGAGCTACAAGCTTCTGGACAGCATCATGGAGGCGGAGGGCTCGGAGAAGCTCGACTGCGTGGCCGACGACATGATGGCCGCCGGTACGTACCCTCCGCCAACATGCGGGGGGCCGCCGTGAGCCCCTCCGTCCGTTCCCTGCAGGGTCCGGCCAGCGGCTGCAGGCTGACGTGGAAGGCTCGCTGCTCCATGATGCCAAGGACGCCGGCGAGCCCGCCCAGTGAACGGTGCGTGCCTGCTGGGAGACGTTCACCTGTGCGGCATCCCGCCCAGACGAGCAGGCGTTCTCCACGAGTCGCTAGCCGTCCTCGGGAGAGACCGCGAAGCGTCCTGTGAAATTCGTCTCCGCGATGCCAAAAGTTTTGTCGCCCACGTGTTCTTTTTTTTTTTTGTGTTGGTGCCGTTCACTAACCACCGCGCAATAACCTAAATATTTTTTTTTAACGAGCCGGTTTTCGAGACGCTTTTGTCGACAGTTGTATTTGGGTAAATAACTTCAAAATGCATTGTAGTCCTAATTTGCTTCGAAGCGGTAGATTACGATTAGAATTACCGCCGTATAAGAAGTTGTTAATTAAACTGACCCGTAACTCACGCTAAGTGATGCAGCTACTTCTTAGTAATTTTTTTTTTAAATCTAGCAGACTCCGACAACGTTGATTGCTGCGAAACGTTCCCCTCGAAGTCCGCATAGAACCATATCAATACGTTCTCAGTCTATACTTATTCCGGACGGTTGCGCTCATGAATGCCAGTCCCATTTAACTCCCCAAAAGGGGAATATTTTCGTTAGGTTTTCTCTAATTTCCTGGAAAAGGCGTCGGCGAGGCCCTACCTGCGCGCACGTCAGCGGCGTGAGCCCCGACGACGCTCGACAACTTTCCAGGGCCCTCCCGCGGACTTGGCCGAGCGGGTTCCTCGAGGATTTGAGTCCCCAGACGAGCAACAACCTCAAGAGGGCAGCCGTTTTCCGGGCTTGCCCCCGGGCAGAGGCTCCGACGGTCTCCCGTGGTTGGAGCCACAGGCTGCCCTGCTTGCTCTGGGTCGTCTAGATTGCTGCTCGACACTTTGTGCGTACGTTTTGTGTAATCGACCGTGTGCGTCTCGAAGCCGTGGCTTTGCCCACAAACCTGCCGGTCGGCTCTGTGCCGTCACGCTCCATCTTGTACATTTCCCGTGCCATGCATCCTTCGCCGTAGGCTTCCCATTCGGCGGTGGCTGCCGACTACACCAAATCCAACCTCGACGGGCACCGCAGCAAAGGTTAGAAGTCAAAGCTCGAAGCTTAGGTAGTCGCTCCCGCCGGTCCAAAGTTTGCGCGCCCTCGAGCGAGGAACTTCGGCTCGTAGCCTTTGCCCTGGCAGATCTTAGAGCCCGTAATGTGCAATTTAAACTGGTTACGGTTAATGCCGGTCTTTTAAAACCAGTTGCACTTATTCTGGAGCGAGTTCGTCGGCGCCACCGTGTTTGGGTTGTCTTCGTGCGACGAGTTCCAATTGCGTGGTGGACAAAGCTCTCGATTGTGAGATTAGACGTGCGCGATGCTGCTCACCTGGGTCCCAAGACGGAAAGACGAGAATAAAAGAGACCTCTCCCTTCTCATTTCCCTGCTGTGCGATGCCTACAGTGTGAGGGAAGGTACAAACCACATTTTACAGAAGTGCGCATCGCTTGCAAACAGTCGCGGGCTACTGCTCTCAAGTGTCACCAGAACCCTCACGCCCCATCCCAACACCAAAACTGTCATTCCAAAAGAACCTACAGTTGTGACAAGAGTGGTCCTCCATTTTTTGTCGTTGGGCGGCCTCGCACCACACTTGTGAATGTTTCCTCTCACTTGTGCCCCCCTTTGGAGTCCCATTCTGAACAATAAACTCGCAGGTTGATCCGTTCTCCGGGATTCGGCGCATGGTTAATTGGGTTTTTGACCCGTTTTTTTGCTATGCACGTCTCTTTGTTGGTTAACCTTTTTTTAAGCTAGTGTAGGCAGGTACGGCTGTAGACGATGGTAATCCTTTCTACGAATTAGTTTGGTCGTTTTGCTGCCGTACCTGGCTGAAATTAGCAACGAACATGACCAAATGCGTCGCAAGCTGTTTGCAAAAATAAGTGCAACCTAGAGATAACGCTACTGTTGCACTGTCATCATCATCATTTAGGGGGGGGGGGGGGGGGGGTAGAAGCATGACCGCCTCATAGGTTCTCCACATTCGCGCGCGAGACTGTGTAGAGTCTTGCGGTTATTTTGTCACGTACTATCGGCGGGAAAACAATTTTAGCGGAAAATGGTGCGGTACTGTTCGGTGCTTCAGTGAAGATTGAATGTGTTTCCAGCGTACGGCCTAAGTTTAAATAATCGCTCGTGTGGACGCGCAGCTCGCTCTAGGCGGACTTTGGGAAGCATGGGCCACCACGACAGGTGCCTGTGTCCGTGTGAACTGCACTAATTTATGTTAAATATTTTTTTGGTTCACCTTTGTGGGAATTTTGCAAAACGATGAATTGCAACCCTTATAACATAATACTGGTACTGTGAAATCGCAGGTTCCATGCATTGCTTTTGTCGAAACTTTTAGCTTTTGCAGTAATATACGTATTTCGCATGAAGAGAAGTTAGTGCTGTATTTGAGGTTGACATGCTATTGAGTTTCGCTGCAGGAAATGTTTCCCTTTACTGTGCCATGGTGTGGGCAAGTTCTTCGAAATCGGAGCAATTGTACTACGTTGCGATGAGGAGAGTAGTTATGATCCACAAACTGTTCGTTGGCAGGACAACTGAGACAAGTGAAACAAACTGTTCCAATATATCTGCTGCGAGTGGAATAAACGAGTGTAATTGAGTGCAGCAGCGTGCGTGCTATTAGATGCTCTCATCGGTAGTGGATGTTTACCCGCTTCGATTTTCTCTGTGAGGACTGCGGATGTCAAGAGAATAATATCATAAATTTCTGGCTAAATAATTTTCGATTCAAACATAGTTGACTCTGCAACTCCAAGGAACAATCTGCACAAACGTCATCGGCCACAGCGACAGTCTTTTACTGATGAGGGCTAGCAGCTCTCGCGAGACGTTCTGTTCGCCCTTCGTCCTCACCTAACACACATCGGGACTGTGCAGCTCATCAATTAACCTTCAGATTATTCTAGTGCTTTAATTGCAATATTTTTTTTTGCCATTTAATCGGAGTGTTGTGCTGGAGAAAGTAAAGAAAAAGTAAAAACTGCCTGCTTTAATATTTCTGACGTTTTTATTTCTTTTAGGACACAGGCTTGCACGGTAAACCACTTCATCGTGCTTGTGATTGTCAATGAAGGTGATTAAACTGTTAAAATAATAACTTAATAATTACTTCACGGCGGGGCGGGGCGGCCTTTCCATGACAAAATGCTGTACGAGTGGGAGGGGGGAGAGGAGGTCCCAGCAAAATGGAAGATTTTGGGGAGATTGAACAAGAGGTTGGGACTGACGTTCAGTCGGTGCAAGTCTCAAGCGAAAGCCGACGCAGGGTCCAAACTGTGCCGTGGTCTCTGGTGGAGAAACTCCGGTTGTCTGGGAAGTGTGCGTTGGATGCCACTCAAGCACCAGCGTAAAGCAAGATTGTCCTCATATTCCTTGGGGAAGCAGCTGCGATCGCCAACTATTCTCGCGAGGTAGTTTCAGAGGATTAATTGGAATAACTCGTAATTTAATGGAATGACCGATTATTGAGTCCGGTGCTTCCTAATTGGGTTGTGCATGTTTATACAGCCTAGAACATGGTCTGCCTCAGCGGGCGACGAGTCTCTCAGCTGTAGATGAGAAATTTAGCCAGTGCAGTACAGCCGCTTGCCTGGGGTCTTTAAAGTGGCACTGACACATCAAAATCATATTTTCTTTTTATTGTTTGAAAGGATTGAAAACAATGCCTGGACATTACCTTCAAAACTTGGGAATTTAGTATTTGTGAAGCAAAAAAAAACAATTTCCAAATGCGAATTTAAAGTTCCCGCGGGATCTGCACCAGTGGAGTGACGTCAACATTTGAGGGCTCTTAAGAGTCCAGTTTCTTTCGCGCCTCCGCTCCGAAAGAGAGGACGTGAGAGCGGTAAAAGGGCGCCAGGCGCCGGAGTCGCGGGAACCACCGTACCAGGAAACCGGTTTCCTGCATGGGTGCCGTGCTGCCTATCGCTTCGAGCAGACGACAGTGGCCCGGCGGTGTCACAATCGGAACTATGATACACAGACACCAAACACAGTTGTTTTGACCGCTTGACGATTTTCTTTTCGAAGTTTGAAGGGTCGTCGGGCACCTAAAAAAAAAAACACTTTGTACAATTCCCCGATTCACCGGTCACCCTCTGCTACATGCGTCGAGTGCCGCCACGTTTTCCGAAGAAAGGGTAAAAATCCAGAAGGCGACTTTGCAACGAACTCTGATTTTTGGTATTTCAAAAAGGGTCGTAGTGCATTTACAATTGCGTTGAAAAACATGTTTTATGATTGCCGTTATTAGATGTTATAATAATGTCACCTACAAGGCTTCTAAATTTCACGATTCTTGACGTCCCGAATCAAAAGAAGTGAGGAGGTGAAAAGCGGGAGAGGAAAACGCCAAAAATAAAAAGGAGCGCGCACGCGTAAAATTTTTTTTTTTTCTAGATGTGTTTTTTTTTTTTTGCGTGTCTATGACTACATTGTGTATCGTTTTAGATAATAAAAAAAAAAAAATAGACCTCTGGGGTGTCAGTGCCCCTTTAACGCGCATCACGCAGTGGTGATACATGACCGCACGCCGGTACGATGCTCATCCAGATCGAAACTGGCAGGGGTGGGCGTCGAACCCTGGATTCTGCAGCGCGAGCTTTCGCTCCCCGTGGTCCAAGCTAGAGTGCGCTAGCCCACTCAGCCACCGATTCCCCCTCTGGTGCTTCCTATTAAATGTAGAGGCTGCATCAGGAACAAATGTGAAAAGTCATGCTCAGAGACGACTCCCCGAGTCGAATCGCCCGAGGATAGGTCACGTGAGAACTTTGGGATGAAGCGCTTTCACTATTCCTGAGTCGTTATAAAAGCAAGGTGTAGTAGGGGTTCCCGCCATCTTCTATATTTATGGAAGCAAAATGGCACTTCTCGCTCGCCGATGCTAAAGGACCCGTCCACGAGTAAAGGAACGACGGTATAACAACGAGGCAAATCTTTCTGGTTGCGTGCACTGGCCGAGTCCTGGGAGCCAGTCCGGTCAAGGATGGTCGTCCCCCTTTGGCCGCAGGGCCCGCTCGAGAAGAGCCTCGCAGGTGTCCCAGACCAGGGCCGCCAGCGCAGGGTCCTGGGCCGCTGCGGACGGCTTGCAGCGGCAGCAGTTATTGAAGTAGCAGCCCCCCACCCCTTCCAGCTCCGGGGCCGTGGCGCAGAGCACGCTGGTGGCAGCCGCCTGCTCCAGCGACTTGGTGAAGGGCCGCACCAGGGTGAAGAGCAGGCGGTAGGGCCACCAGTGCCTGGGGAGGGAGGGGGCTCAGCGGGGGTGGCTCGCCTCGGGGGTGCGTTACATACCTGGGTAGCCCGCTGGCCACCATGTTCCCCGGGTGGAGGGCGTTACAGCGGACCCCCCGCGGTCCCAGGCGACGGTCCAGCTCGGCCGCCAGGAGCACGTTGCACAACTTGGAGTCGTTGTAGGCCAGCGGGGACAGGTAGCCCCGGCCCGAGGTGTTGGACAGCCGCTCCTCGGACACGTTTTCGGCCGACAGCAGGCTGAAGCGGTGGCTCTCCGAGGCCACTACCACGACGCGAGCGGGCGCCGAGCGCACCAGCAGCGGCTCCAGCAGGCGGCACAGGTAGAAGTGGGCCAGGTGGTTAGTTTGGAAGAGCGCCTCCACACCGTCGGCGGTCACCGCGTGCGGGAGCCCGAACGCACCGGCATTGAGCACCAGCGCGTCGAGCCGCGACCGAGTGCGGTTGAGCGCGGCCGCGAACTCGCGCACAGAGTCCAGCGAAGCTAGGTCCAGCGGCAGGAAGTGCACCTTGGCCGATGGCCTCTGCGCGCGGATCGAGGCGATGGCCTGGGCCGCGGCGTCGGCGCTGCGGCACGCCAGCACCACATCGCAGCCGTGGTGGGCCAGCGCCCGCGCCGTCTCAAGGCCGATGCCGCTGCTGGCCCCGGTCACGACGGCAGTCTTGCCGCTCAGGTCCCGGCCGTGCAGCACGTGCATGGCCGTCGAGCTAGCGTCAAACCGCTGGCGCGGCGGCGCGTCGCCCCTCTCCTCGACGGGGAAGGCGAGCCGCGGGTCTGTGCCGCTCGTGCGGCCCGTGGCCGTCTCGACGAAGGCCACGCGGCCGTCGGCGGCCTCGGTGCGGCGCCAGCCGAAGGGCAGCTGGGGCGGCACCCGCTTACGCCTGCCCGTGCGTGGGTGCGTCCACTGGGTCCGCTGGGACCCGTGGTCCGCGTAGTACACGCTACCTTCGAGCGTGGCGCGCTCCTCCCAGCCCGCCGGCAGCTCGTCCTCGCTGTCCGTCTCCGGCAGGAAGCCCGACATGGTCGGGGACACGTCGGGGAGCCGCGCTGCGAGGCCTACGCGCTCACCTTCGAGTGGACCGTGGTCAGACAATCGGAGACCCAGAACCTAGATAGCAACCCGGACAACCCGGACCGCAGCAGTAAACCCAAGAGACCACAGCAAACAGTTCGCCATATTTTGATCATATTGGCTGGATATGGATATGGATATGCAGCTTATGGGTCTAGACAATTTTTCTGCTATTTTCTTCTTTGTTTCTCTTCCACTAGTGGTTCAGTCTTCTTTTTGTCCACTCCACCAGCGTCATAGGCCGAGGGGCCCCTGCCCACGATGCTGTCGGCGCCGTCGTTGCCTTTATCGTTGCCCTCCTCGTGGATTTTCTAGAAGCCCATCGTTACCGCCATGTCTTCTAGATTAATGGATGCGTAATAAAGACTATGTCCTTTGTAACGGGCGGTAGCTTGCGCCACCTAGCCTAACAAAATGCTTCCCTCTCAGGTGAACGGCTGGATAGATGAATAAATGTTAATAGATACACCCTTTGTAATGGGCGGTAGCTTGCGCCACCTAGCCTAAATCTAAAAAGACAAAAACATTATTTTTTTTGCCCTTGTAAGATCAATTTTCTTCTCCTATCACCAGACAGTGTGGGATATCACCAAGATGATCTTCAAAAAAAATAGGGAAAAAAACTAGAAACACTGGGAAAAAAACTAGAAACACTATCTTGGCGAGGGAGTCGCGTTACCCCAGCACCGAACCGGACCCACTGGGAGACAGGGTTGAGACTTTGGGCCGGAGCAACGCGGGAGGGAGTCCCAATTTTCTTCTGTCCGGCCTGTCTCCAGCTGTGCTAGTTAGCTGTCCATCATTCAATTTTCCCTAGATAATTTCCACCAGTCTTCTAATCGCCTCTTCGTCACCGTAATCCTTTTCTCTTCCAACCTCCCATCGTCGCCAGTAAAACCCAGGGCCCCAGCCAAATCTGTTACCCCTTCAGGGAGGGCAGGGCGAAGCCCCGTGCACTTCAAAACCAAGAGCTCTAGCGTCTCGCTATCATTATGGCAGGAGGCACATAATGTGTCTGCCTCCTGAAATTTAGACCCATACATCCTCGTCCTAAAAGCTCCCGTTCTCGCCTCGAAGGCGCCGTTCTGCCCTGGCCCCCCCGGGGCGAGAGTACTCCGTGCGTAGGCGCGTCGCGGCGCTGCAGTCGGCGGTCGCTCGAATGCCACTCACGACACCCTCCTTTCTTAGGAGTAGGGAGCTGAGCTACAAGTCCAACCTGTCCGGTGGTCTGCTTGGTCGTCCGCTCCTAGTGACCGCCGTTGGCTGCATGTGACTTCCGGTGCGTCGTGTTAGTCCTGTCGATGTGCTTACAATGTAGGACCTTGGTTGGGCTGCTGGCCGTGTCACTGTACCGCAGGATGCCGGACCACTCAGTATGCGCACCACTGTCTTTGGCGGCAGGCATTCACGACTTCTCACTCTGTGACGCACGTTGTAGGTCTGCTTCACTCGCGCCCTGTACGCTTCATTCCTGCGCCTGAAGTCGCCGTCGTCCCACTTAGGTGCGAGCATCTTGGTTGTGGTTGGCACAGGCGTATTCAGGCGGCGACCCATTAGCAGTTCGCTGGGTGAAAAACCTTCGACTCCTGGCGTAGCTCTGTGCGATAGAAGAGCCAGGTTTATGTCCTTCGACTTCTTCAGGAGTTGTTTTGCTGTTTGGACCGCACGCTCTGCCACGCCGTTGCTCTGGGCGTAGTATGGACTTGAGGTTACGTGGTCTGCCCCCCAACGTTCCACCAGGTTCCTGAATTCAGCTGAGGCAAACTGTGGGCCATTGTCTGTCCGCACAGTTCTTGGCGCTCCAAATCGTGCGAAGATTGGTTCCAAGACTCGAGCGATGTCTTTTGTTGTAGTGCCCTTTAGTTGCTCCACCTCCAGGAACCTGGAGTAGTAGTCCACAACCACAATGTAGTCTCTCCCTTCAAGTTTGAAGAGGTCAATGCCGATAGTGTCCCATGGGTTTTCAGGCAACGGAGTCAGCAGCAGTGGCTCAGTTGGTGGCTTTCGATGTTGTAGGCAGACAGAGCATCTTTCAACAAAGTCTTGTACCTGAGTTCCGATGCTAGGCCACCACACCGACTGTCTTGCTCTTGCGCGACATCTGCTCGTGCCCATGTGGCCGGCATGAAGTCTTTCCAGCACCTCAAGCCTCAGGTTTGGTGGGATGACGAGTCTGTCACCCTTAAACAGCAGACCGTCGACAATAGAAAGTTCACTCGCCACCTCTGCATAGCGCTTTAGTTCCGGTGCAAGTCCATGTACGGTCGGCCATGACGAGGTACACAAAGTAGCCACTCTGGCGAGTGTAGGGTCTGCTTGGATGCCTGCCTTGATTCTGTCCAACATTTGGTTTGACGCCGGCAGCTGTTCCAGTGTCAACTCCTCGTACTCTTGCACAGCGCTCTCAAGGTCTCTTTCTTCGTCCTTGGCTGGCTCTGGTTGCGGCTTTCGGGACAGTAAATCAGCAGTGTACAACTTGTTTCCAGGAGTGTGTGACACTGTATAGTCGTACTCTAGCAAGCGCATTCGAAAGCGTTGGAGACGAGGACTGAGCTCGTCTAGTCGTTTGGTTGTGAGCAGCGGCACAAGAGGCTTGTGATCCGTTTCTACATGAAATGTGGATCCCAGGAGGTACTTGCGAAAGTGTTCACATGCCCATGTGATGGCTAACGCCTCCTTTTCAATTTGGGCGTATCGTTGCTCTGTTTCAGAAAGTGAGCGTGATGCATACGCCACTGGTGACAGCCTGTCGCCTGCCTGCTGCAGAAGAACGGCTCCCAGCCCGTAGGATGAAGCGTCGACTGAGAGTGTATGCGGCTGCTGGGAGTCGTAGTGGACGAGAACTGGTGTTGCGCAGAGTGCCTGTTTGATCCGGTCGAAGCTCTGTTGTTGAACCGGACCCCAAAACCCCTCTGCATCTTGGTGCATCAGGTCCCTAAGTGGCCTTGTCATCTCTGCCAGACCGGGAAGGAACTTCGCCAAGTGATTTGTCGAACCCAGGAAGGACCTCACTTCGGACACGTCTGACGGTGGTTCAAGTTGAGCGATGGCTTCCAGCTTGCTTGGATCAGCACTTACTCCTTCTGCAGATACCACGTGTCCTAGGAACTTGACCTTGCTTTGTCGAAAGGTGCATTTGTTGACGTTGAGGGTCACTCCGGATTGTTGCAGTCGGCTCAACACCTTGTGTAGATTCTTGTCGTGTTCCTCCATTGTCCGTCCGGAAACTATGATGTCGTCCTGCAAGCACGCCAGACCGTCCAGCCCCTCCAGCACGCGGAGCATCTCTCGTTGGTAGAACTCAGGTGCTGTCGATATTCCGAAAGGCAGTCTGAGGAACTGGAACCGTCCAACAGGTGTGATGAAAGTTGTGTACTCGCGCGAGTCTTCTGCGAGAGGCACCTGCCAGTACCCGGCTCGAGCATCTAGGCGGCTGAACACTGTTGCACCGGCTAGCCTTGCGAGACACTCATCAACTGTCGGCATCAACATGCGCTCGCGGACTATCTGTTGGTTCAGTTGACCGTAGTCCACGCAAATTCTCAGTTCATCATTCTTTTTCTTGGCAACAACCATCGGGAAGCACCACTCCGTTGCTTTTTCCACCTTCTTGATGACTCCCATTTCTTTCATCCTTTCCAATTCGTTCTCCACTTGTGAGAGCAGTGGAAGAGGAACTCGCCTTGGGTATGTGACGGCATAGGGCTTGGCGTCATCCTTCACTTTGATGTGGTATTCGGTCTTCATTAGTCCGAGTCCAGACGTCAACTTGGGATACTGTGCCAGAAGATTGGAGATATTGCTTGGTTTCGCACATGTCTCCCCAAGCTCGAGTGGTCGCCGTAGTATGCCAAGAGACTCGACTGCTGGTCGGCTAGCAATGCCTCTTTCAGTCCTTTGATGACAAAGACCTTGTCTTGTGTGCTTGTGTCACGCCGGTTAATTGTGGCTTCGAAGTACCCCGCTGTCGCTATAGGCGTTTGACCTGGGCCAGTCAGTGTCTGCGCTGAAGTCTTCAGGGGTCCCATGGTCTTCTTGTTGTAGTCGTTGAGTGATATAGCTGTCACATCTGCACCCGTGTCGACTTTGAACGTGAGAGGCGAGCCGTTGACCTTGACAGTAACTCTCCATGGTTCCGAGATTGACTGGGTTTTGACCTCACCGAGGTAAACTTCCTCGACGCCCTTGCTGCGTTCCGAAACACGTGCCAGTGTTTCATGCTTGTCCTTTCGTGACAGGCACACTGATGCGTAGTGGCCCTTTTTCCCACAGTGGTTGCACGTCTTGTTTGAAGCCGGGCAATGCACTTTCGTGTGGTCGCGTGCGCCACCGCACCACCTGCGGTGTCCTGCTTCTGTCCTGTTCTTGTGCTGATAGGAAGCTTGGATGGGCGGTTTTCTTGTTTCCTTGCGGCGATTCTTTCTGACCTCGTCGACGGCCGGGGTCGCTTGTTCACCTCCGCGAATCTCTCTCTGTTGCTGCTTGACCACCTCGGAATTGCGCGCCTTCGTGATGGCGGTCTCCAATGTCAGTTCCGAGTCCAGCTGAAGTCTTTCACTCAGCTTAAAGGGGCACTGACACATCAAAATCGTAATTTATTTTATTATACGAAATGATTGAAAACGATGCCGGGACATTACCCTCAAAATTCGAAACTTGGGAATTCAGTATTTGTGAAATAAAAAAACTATTTCCAAATGCCGAATTTGAAGTTCCCGCGCGATCCGCGCCAGCGCAATGAGTCAAATTTTGGGGTCTCCTGCGACTCGACTTTCTTTCGGACCTCCGCACCACGCTGTGAAGCAAAGCGCCGTTGCTACCGCGACCCGAAGAGAGGAGGAGGTGAGCAGGCGGGATAGAAGGGAGCCGACGCGGGGAAAAACCGGTCTTCCCCGACTCGGCGATAAGCCTCTGCTTGAGCGCCGCCAAGGTTTCCGAGGGAGAACACAAATTCAGGAAGCGACATCACACCGAAATCTGAGTTTTGGTATTTCAAAAAGAAAGGCCGTAGTGCGTTCGTCATTGCGTTAAAAAACATGTTTTACGATTGCCGCTATTAAATGTTATTGAAATGTCGCCTACAAAGCTTCTAAATTTCCTGATTTTTGACGTCACCGATCAAAAGAAGCAAGGACGTTAGCGCGGGAAA